AATGCATCGAATCTTCGTGTCCGGCATACTTTCTCGAGCGCCGGCTGCCCAAAGCAACGCAGCCCATCCTGGCAGCCACAGCCAAAACTGTTGCAGCCAGTTTGGGGTTTGGGTTTAAGGGCCAGTTTCGGACTGATGTAGGGGCCTGAATAATTAGAATGGGGCCTTGCGGCCCATTACACTATAATTGTCATATTGGCAATTATTTAGGCCCCTATATTATTAGATACAACTAGATGTCGAGATTTTCCCTGCTAGCTCTGTTCTGACACTGATGTGCAACGCCAGCAGTTGTCCAGATGCAGCCGGAAGTCACAGGACTACTTTGGGGCCTTAGGGTAATTAGACCCTACATCCTCTCGATGGGTTCGGCAGCGGCGGTCCCTGGCACAAACTCCCTGCTGGCCACCGACCGGCCGTGCTAATCAAAGGGGCCTCTTGGCTTCACATTTATGATAAAGTGTTTGAAGTTAAAGGCATTGACGAGCTGCTCCACAGAAGTTGTGGGACGTGGAGGCTCTCCCTGACCCAGTTGAAACATCGAGCGTGCTGCCTGTCGACGCAGCGTGAGTCATTCAAGCGATGCCATGGCGCGACATAGCCACATGAACTCACGAGTCTTGCCCGGTGCCGCCACACATTACACATCTTGATTTCAACTCGTCTGCCGCCTGAATCGCATGCCTCAAGTTCCAAAATGTGTTCGTATCGCTAAGTCTTCAAGAACTCCGAATCAAGTACTTGCTCGGGTTCATGTCTGCCTTTGGTCGAGTCAACGCGGACTCTGGAGGTGCTTAAGGCTTAAATAAGTCTTACAGGAGTCTTACATAAGACTTGCGAGCTTTGCGGAGCTGTAAAACAGTTCCATATGCCACATGTCTGCCTTGACTTGAAACGCCCAGGCCGCCAAACGAAGATTCGGAAGGCTTGTTCAGCTTAGTTGATCAACTGCGCTTGTCGAACGCAGTGAAGACATGATTTAATAAAAGCCGCCGTGGCCCTGTAAGGCAGAAAAGACAACTTCAAGTCCCAAGTCTCACACTGTGAAAGTGAAAGCTTCCAGAGACTAGGCAGCTGACAAGTCCTGGCTGCTGCCGGTCCCACGGGCACACAAAACACGAGCCCAGCATCGCGGACGATCTGCACCCTCTGCAATCTTTGCACCTGCTGCACCAAGATAGGATAAACAGATATAAAGAGAAACTCTTTTCTTACGATGTCCTCTACCAGACAGACCCAGGGCATTTTTCAATCCTGACGCTGTCACAGACGGGCCAGGGTAGCCCGGGTGGTGTGTCACGTCGGCTGGGGAGTGACTCGGGCAGCGTGCCACGGGCTTTAAAGCTCCCTCGCCCGGACCCTTCGGGTAGGCTCAGGGAACTGAGCAGCGAATCGACATTCAAAAGATCTCCACTTTGAAACTGCGCAACGCTATCCGCTATCAAGCAAAGACAGCATATCTTGCCTACACCGCTCCGTGACGTCTCAGGATGTCCTCAACAGCTAGCAACACAGGTCTTGAGTAGAGAAGTAGCTATCGAACATGCGCAGGGTATGCATCTGGCCCCGTGGCTGCAACCTTCTTCCGTATTTCTCAACTGATGCTGCAGCTATCGCGACACCTTCGACCGGGACAAGAGAGTGTGCGGAGGCCAGAAGCGACTTGCGGAAAACTCGCAACCTTCAACGTCTAAGTCTGTGCATCAAGCTGCATGTTGCACTGGGAAGTGCGACGGTCTATACACCGTGGGCATGTGAACGTCGGTGCGGACAAACCTGCACTCCTGCGCTGGCCCCTGCTGTGTGCAGAAGGCCGGCGTGCCTGCTGTAAGCAGGCCAGCCCGCCGCTCATGCTTGGACCGAAGCACATCAAGCTATTAGCCACACGACTTTCGACATGTTGTCCTGTGCTATGATACATTATAATAACCACAGCATCAATGCCCCATGCAGGCCAAGCCGAAATCAGAGACTCTACACCTGGGAACTCCCCAGGCTGCACTCCCGCTCCTGTGCCACGGCACAAGAGCTGTCATCCACAGCCCGAGGTCAACTTCACAGGCATCGATCCCAGAGCCGGGTTGGAGTGCTGGCTTTCCAGATGTTTGCCAGCATGACAGCCAAGAAATCGTAGAATACTCTAGGGGCACATTCTGCCGTGACAGAATTTCAACCGAGCCAGAACGACGTCCAACCCTGCTGGGTTGTCAACGGCAAGAGCATGAAGCCACAAGAATGCTTCACTGAGGGTTGCTGAACGAATGGTTCGATTTTGGGTATGTGGTCTTAAACAGGATCGTTATACAGGGCCTGAGGCCAAGATCCTAGCATCTGAACAGGTGCTCTGTAAGCACCTGCATGACTTTCTTCATGTGCGTTATGACGCGTGGGCACTTGCGGTCTTGACAAAGACTTGCTGGCCATCCTTCGGATGGGCTGTCAAGGACATCGACTCTTCCGCTGGAAACACAGCCTGTTGAGGACAATGGCTGCATCATCTGGCATCACCTGTCCTTAGCCACCGTGCACTCCCTGCAGCTCCGACGCGAATCAACTGTAAGAAACCAAGGCTCTGGCAATGCTGAATGCCCATGCCGTCGAATGGTTCTTCGGCGTCGCAGATTCCCACACAAACCCCGAGGAACTTGACGGCTTTGAGGAACTTACTCTATCTGTGTAGATGCGTTTGAAATTTCTAGACCTCTGTTGCTTGGCATCAAAACACAATGTGGGATCAAGTGTCACATGCGTGGTCGAAACATGAGCACGGTCCAACTGACATCAAAAGCGATGGTTCTGCGCTACCTTTCGTAGCACCATGGGGGAACCGTAGATTTAACCGTTTCGCCGGAATCTGAGACTGCGGAAAATCGAATCAGGAACCAGCCGAGGCCTCCATCTACCGTCGAGGGATTTGTTTTTGCGGGGCATGACTACTGTGCTCATGAGGTTGTGGCGCAGAGGCCCGTCAAGTCGGCTTTGGAGACATCGACCTTCACCTGCTAACGATTGCGAAGAGCGTCAGCGAGACAACGGCGACCCCTGGACGACCTGGGAAATGTGAATCAAGGCTAATCAAGGTACGGCTCAGTGGTGGCATTGTCCGAGCGTCGTGAGAATGCGCTCCTGTGTGTGTGCGTGTGTGTGTGTGTGTTGTCCGTGTGTCTGCGTGTCTCTGTGTGTCTGTGTGTGTGTGTGTGTGCGTTGTCTGTGTGTGTGTGTGTCCGTGTGTTTCCGTGTTTGTCAGTGTCCGTGTGTCTCTGTGTAGGGAGCCGGGGAGCAAAAAAAAGGGAGAGAGAGAGAGAGAGAGAGAGATAGAGACGCAGAGAGAGCGCGAGGGAGATGGTATTTGCATGTATTTGCACGATCAAGACTGCACCGATAGCTGCAGCGCAGAATGTGCCGAAGGAAGACGCACTGCGAGGAATCTAGCAGCAAAACGTTGGCAAACCACCATCGTGGCAAAATCATCGATCAATTGCTCGGTGTCCCACCTTCACACCGTGGAGCATCAGAAACCCAGCTCTGCAAATGAAGTCCAGTCCCGTCCAGTCCCGTCTCCCGTCAAGGACCATGGGCTAGGAACCCCAAAGGGTTAGGCACGAAGCCCCGCCCCCGATGCCCCGGCCGAGGCTCTTGCGGTCCAAGAGCCGCGCTTAACCTCAGGCCTGGGCATGGCAGCGGCTGCCGCAAAGCGTATACGTGCGCCGTTAGACCCATCCTCTGCCTTGTTTAGGCTCAATCCTGCCTTAGCGTATTGGCAGCCCATACTCATTCAGCTGCAAGCCTGAGGTAGCAAGATGGATTGTTTGTACCAAGGGTATAACTGTAAAACTGTAGTATAGTTTCTCAAGGGTACGGTAGCGGAAAGAGTGCCTTGCTGCTGCACTTCTGAACCTCCAATTCAATCCCAAACTCTTGCCCCCTACATGCTACACCTGAGCAAAACCATCCTGTCAGTGTACCGCAAGCAGTGGCTGAGCAGCGCGCACCGGGTCCAGCGCTTCCCTTGCTGGCCAGGGCTGCAGCGACCTTCAACTTCCGCAACATCACCGGTGTAGCTTATAACTCGTTGATTGCTGTAACTCCCTGCTTTATTTTGTCACAACTACTTGGGATCTTGTCGTTTGTGATCCAGGTTTGCGACTTCTCTCATGCTCTAATCCGGTCCCGGGGCGGACGAGTCAACGGCAAAGGCATGCGGTCCATTGGACTTGAGTAGGTGAGCCACGAGGTCATAAGGATACGTCTCAGTCACTTCATCAACATCAACATCTATACGTAAGTTGAACTGAAACTGATCCTCTCCGAACAGCTGCGTCGGTGGAGGTAGACGCATGCGAGCTCTACTACATGTCGTTTCGGTTGTCCCAGTCCACACTCTGCAGTTCAGCTCGTTCAGCCTCAGGCCTTCCTTTTCTTGACCCTGGATGACCCAGACTCAGAACCAAACCCGCAACAAGCTACTAACATTAATATTCATATAATGATGCCAATAATTACTGTAATACTACCTAACTTCCAATATTATTCTTGTTGTTAATACTTGTAGTAATAATAGTAATAATAAAATTCAAAAATAATAAACATAAGAAAAATAATAATAGTAGGAAGTGGAGGGTCGAAAAGGGCTCGGGCTAATGCGTTTCGACTCACACGCTCGCACTCGGCAGGCATGGCTTCAGACAGTAGGTCCGCTGATTTTGCTACTTGGGAGTTTCCGAAAATCGGGAACAGTAGCCTAAATAGTAGGATCCTTATATTATAAGGACCCCCAAAATAAGGTACCTCTAATTTTCGGAACTCCCACTTGGATACCAGGGAGATGGACAAAGCAACTGCAGAAAGGCTCGCCTCCAATACTGAGCAGGGCTGGAGCCAAAAAGAAAACCGGACCGTTCATTCATCTAACCTTTGGTTAGTAGGGAATGGTAGCAATCGTAGTTATAATTGTACCGCATTCCTCCATTCCCTACTAACCAATTGTAAGTCATCCGCGCCTAAACCCCTCTCTCCTCGAGAAGCGCCGACTGTACGTAATTGCCAGCCTTGGGGTCGCAGCATCCTGCCACAGCCCGGACCTGCAAATCCAACAACGTTTGTTCCTCAAACCTCTCAGGACTACCTGAACTTGAAAACAAAGGACTGCTACGACAAGGTCTTTAGGAGACCCTGGCTTCGATGACAGTGTGGCTAAAGCTTCCTCCTCGCGCACATCTAGCTGCTGGAATCGCAACCTGAGCCCACGGCATTGTCTCGCATGGGATTTTTGGCCTTCTTTGTCGCGGTGACATAGGCGCTGGTAACATACTTCTCGGCCTGTAGCCGGGCTCCAAGAGCAAACTCCAGACTTTTGCCTGCGAGGCTTGTTAGATCTGGGCATGCACTGGTCCCGACAGCTGCGAGACCTCATCCTCGGAGCTCTCGTCCAGGCCCGCGCACAGGACTGCATCTGATCTCAGGCATTGGCTCCACTGCCTGGGATCCAGTCTTTGATAATGTCCTCGGAGGTGCGTAGCAAAACAGCTACGCTGACATGGCGGCCGACTTTACACAACGACATCCGGAATGTGTGTATGTTGATATATACGTCATGTAATGAAATGTCAGTGTAATGAAAGGCGATGCTATGTAATGCAAACCCAAGGCTGAACATCACGCTAAGGTCATGCAATGCAACATAATAATGTCACGTAGTGCTGTGTAGAGTAATATGGTCTGGTCTGGTGTGGTGAAGTGTGGTGCCATGTATGCCTGGGTCCAAGGCCTGGGTGTACATAAACTTGTATCATTTGTGTCTGTATGCGCTCGTACTCTGAGATGCAGCTCATGATTTATTTGCATCCGACTGGACTGCTTGCATCATGCCAGGTGCCCAGCCGCAGCATTCTCTTTGATGGCAATGTTGATGTCAGTAAACCTGGACGGCGGCGTTACCGGCTCTAAAATCTCGCCGCATTTGCCTGCCACCTGTGGGTTCTCTGGAATATCATATCCGCGTATTCGCATCACCCACCCCCCCAAAAGCAAAAAGGTGTGACAGGCTAGCTTACCCCTCTTCCTCCCTTTCAACACGCATCCTGTCAACTCCAACTGGGGCGGCTGCCCTGCATCGATCAGCATGTTGCGCCTTGGCCCAGATGCCAAACAAGCTTGAGGCCGATGGACCCCCGCCCTACGACTAAACAAGCCTTACCTTCGGTTAGTAGGGAATGGAAGAATGGTAGTAATAGTAGATATCATTGTACCCCATTCCTCCGTTCCCTACTAACCAAAGGTAAGAAGCTCAAACCTGAACGCGCAGGACGGCTGAAACAGAGGAATCCCTGCTACCATCACTCCCGAGAGAGCAGCATCTCATCTTCAGCAGACGCCCCCGCAACCTGGGCGATGTGGCTTCGTATACTCAATACTCAGACTGGGCCGTGGTGCCGAGGGCCTACTTCCATTTTTCCCCAAACAGCATGGCCCACATGGCTTCAGTCCGACATAAGGATCAGTCATCATGCAGACAATGAGCGGCCGCATGTACGGCATCTGCCAAATCTCGGTGGTTGCTGCCAACTCTTGATCGCCGATGCTGCCGTGTTCTTGCGTTGCTCTGACGGGTCCGTGTGACTGTTCCGTGTCCACACGGGGGGTGATGCGGCACCAGTCCCCAGGATACAAAAAGTGCAACTGCAAATGTAGTGCAACCGTGAGATCAAAGTATTACACCCGCAGAGTAATTAACAGCACGATGCAGGGACTGTGTTTCAAGATACCAAGCCTTCCGCTCGACTTGCTCCAGCCAGCTCTCAGAAAGCCAACAACAACGACGAGCTCGCGGCAAAAAAACAGTTGCAGTTGCAGAGCAGTTTTTTTTTGCAGTACTTCGCCAAGAAGCAGTTGGGTTGCACAAGCACACCGCCCAAAAGAAGATGATTGCGTTCGCAACAACCTGCCCTCTTGCCGACTTGCAAAGATCTTACAAGATACATCATCGGAACGAGGACAGCGGATCGATCACCCCTCTCGATCGTCTCGTTCGATCTCCTCAGTCCACCTCACTCCACTCGATCACCTCACACCATCCGCTAGCCCAGTTTCTTGCCAGAACCTTTGCGTGTCGTCTCGTCGGCGTTGACCAGCTGCTGCGAGCGAGCTTGCAACGTGGAAATTCGGCTCTGTAGATACACATCGGGACGCTCATGACCTGAGGCCACTCCACTCGGATCAAACTTGAAATGCAAATTTTGAAAAAGTAGAAGTTACGAACCTTCCGAGACCCTACCCTGCCGAGTCTTGTTCTCATAAAGGGCTTTCGGTGTAGTAGCGTGAAAGCAAGTGGTAGTAGCAGCAGCAGTAGTAGTAGTAGTAGTAGCAACAGGAGTAGCAGCAGTAGCAGGAGGAGTAGTAGTAGTAGGAGGAGTAGTTTTAGTACAAGTAGTAGTCATTGGGAATATATTTTTCGTTCTGCCGAAGAAAAAGCAATGACGCTGTTATTCGTTGTCATGAACTTGCTTGAGATTCATCATGCAGCCACAAATCAAGATGACTGTCATGACTGGGCAACAGCTGCTCCTTCTGACAAGGACGGCTAACAGAAACGCTGCTCAGCCTGGTGTGCTGACAGTATTCATGGCTTTGTTCATGCGAGTGACAAGGACGTTGGCTCTGAAACCAATCCTCAGGCCCCGGCTCAGCAGCTGTAGCTCTGGGCCGTTTGGAGCTCTTGCGGGATGTCGCCCACGCCTCGAACACAGAAGCCAGGGTGGGCATGGTGTGCTCGTTCTTGCTGATTCCGTGGGGCTTTGCAGCTTCGCATCGAGGATCACAAGAGATTTGTGCAGTCTGAACCCGGTTCTGGCAATGTCTTGTGATGGGCTCGCATGAAGTTGAGTAAGGCTAGCAGCAGGCGCTTCGCAGGCTTGATGCAAATCTTATGTTGACATATGAGCCACAAGCCTGATTCTCGCGAAGCGCTTCAGCAGCGAGTCAAGGGGCTGCACTCCATGACGTAAAACTTGAGAGCTGGTCACGAAAGCTAGAAGCACGAGGTCCGGTGCTGAGCTCTGCAAAGCGATGTGCACGACAGGAGCGGAGGGAAAGTTTGGGCCGGTGAAGGGTGCAGGCGTTGCTCGTTCATTTAACTCTTGAGAAAGTAATGTGCGAAAGAAGAAGACATGCACTGAAACTATGCCAATCAGTCGCCGAACGTCAGACACAAACAAAACCAAGGGACCTTGAGGAGGGGGGGGGGGGGGACCTCATGATAGGGGGGGGGGGGCCCCCCCCCCCCCACCCTTATAAAGGAGGGGGGGAGTAATGACAAAGGTGAAGGGGGGGGGGGGCCCCCCCCCTACCCCCCACCTTAACTCTTGGACGTCCCACCTGATAAGGTGCAAACCCTGTTTTTTCCCTAGTGCCTTAATACAAGTGAATTGCTAAAGGGCAACTCCCGCGAGCTCCACAGAGCTAGCTTTCGTGACTTGCAACTCTCTCTCACTCTAGCAGATTGCCCCATGCAAGTCTCCCAACTGCTGCACTGCCTAAGTGTCTGGCGAAGCACATCGGAAATCGAAACGCGGCCGCCTGGCACCAACACCTGAAGTGGCTGCTTCCCCGCTTATGATCTGGATGATTGGGGTCATCTCTGTGTGTATGCATGTACGGATGTCCGGATGCATGAACGAATCTATGCATCACATGTTGGTGTCGAAACGTCTCTCAGTGCTACCGGCTTGTCCAGTGCTGTGCACGGTGCGGCATGACTGTTGCTTCGAGATGTCTGAATCCCGACGGCACTTGGGAAGCATTTAGGTCATGCTCCTAAATCCCGCCAGTACATCGGGAAAGACACTGTCGGTCGCATGTGCCGCGGGGATTCGTGCTTCATGCGGTTGAAAGGAATTCAGCGCCCAGCCCACGCACACTCCCACCAGCCCACTCACTCCCCCGATGCCCCCGACCCCGTCTAATTACAGTTACCGAGCCATCCAACCCATCCATCCACACAACCTTCCAGAGACCCGGATACACTTCTCGATGTTAGTGGGGGGGATGGTGTGCTCTAGCTGCTAGACTCTGGCAAAAGCCAACCCGGTTGCATTGCACTTCGGGAAAATCTGCACATGTAGCTGTCCAGTGGACCATCTAGTCGGTGGGCCACAGCAAGACTAACAAGGTAATCCGGAAATTGCTTCACTCTGTATCTAGAACCAACGCTCTTCAGTCTGTCATCCATCCTCTGGCACTTCTTCTTAGCACGAAAGTTAAACTATACTACAGCCTTAGCCTTTTTTTTACAAAGCCGAGCATCTCAACTCTCACCGAACCCAAACCAAGAACAATTCTTACTCTGAGGGATCAAGGCTCCGGCCCGATTCATCTCCCGGTAGACCTGCGGCCTGAGCGTGGCTTCAGGGGTCTTTCGGTGTTGTCGTTATTCGTGTTCCAAATAACCAGGGAGATTTGTAGTATGGAACTAGGCACAGAACTACAACTAGCGTCCGGCAATCATTATAGTATACTATCTGCGCTCATGTATGCGGGGTTCTTCTTCCGCTGCTAGTCCATGCAGGGAGAAATCTGGGTCCCGAGCTTGTCGGGAGACAAGTTGATGACCTTGGAAAGCTGAATGCTGATTCTCATCTCCCTCTCTGTTGTCTCCGTCATAGGGGACTCTTTCTCTCGAGGGGCCGTAGTCGAAGGAAGTCATCCCTCCAGCTCCGCTCCCGTGTATACTGCTGCACCATGCGGGAACTCCCTCTTCCATCCGAGGAGTTCGAGGGATCAAAGGACCGGTGCCTGTCCTTTGAGGTGAAGCACATGCAGGTGCATTCCTCGACACCCTGGTATCCTGCCATACAGCAGCGGGGTCGTCCAAGAGCCCGGCACAGTTGGAGATCAGGCAGTCTACGACCGCATCACCTTTTCAGGACATCTCAGCTAGTCTGAAACCAAGTTCATGTTGCAAGAGTTGCTGCTGCACGAATTTCGAGGTGCACGGGCCTACGGGATTCCACGATAAGTCACACGATGACCTGAAGTGCGACAGAGTCCTCAAGTACCGGGTAAACGACGTTGAACGACTCGACAAATCCGAAGCCTTCTACGTTACATGTCCTCACATCTTTTGATGCCCAGGCTCTAGGACGAAATGAGCCGAATCTCTTCGTTCGCTGCACCTCGACGAATCGATCACCCCAAAGTCCTCAAGCCATAAAGCCGAAGGTGCTCCTTGTGAGTGCATGGGCCGACGAGCCCATGACCCCAAACTCCCCAAGCAGCTTGTCGAAACAACCCCCAGCCTACGGGGAGATGCTCAATCTCACCCAGGCGGAAAGTCCTTGGTCTGACTAGTGACTAGAAGGAAAAGCAGAAAAGCCACAGCTACAAGTAAGGTTAAGCAGTTTTGAAACAACAGGCAACAAAGAATCACATCCTGGGTGGTACTAGTAGTCTCATCCAGCCTACGCAAGGACCACAATCTGAATCCGGGCATAGAGCTCTCAGAACAGAAATGCTGGAGCTCTCACGGCTCTGAGTGCTGTGCCCGCAACTACAAACTTCGGCAGAATGCTTGCATCCCACGCCGTGTAGGTGTGTGTGTGTGTGTACAGAGCTACACACACGCACGCCCAAACCTCCTGGTCAGCATCGCTGCATTTTTTCTACCGGCATGTCCGGCAAGTCGGTCCTGCTTCGAGGAAGTCACGGCAAAAGCTCGCAACTGGGACATTAACATACGCACCTCAGAGCATAGATAGACAGCTCCTCGCATGCGCACACAGAATGGCTCCTTGAACCAGCGGGATCCAGACTCAGAACCCTTAGCTCATGGTACATACCCCAGACTCTCACCACCCCAACCTTCTGCCTCCTGCTGGGTTGCATTCCTTCAGCCAAGCTTTTCTATCCGGCAGGTACAACCTGCAAAACAAAGAGTGCGCCGGTCTTCAGCTGCACCGCACTACGAGGGCGGTATTTCTGGAAGATGGTGGAAAGCCGGGACTTTCTGCGAGTCTACACACTGGCTTCGGAAACATTGCACCCATTCCCGGCTTCGAGTTGCAAGTCAAACAAGGCGTCACACTACAGTTGTTCAGGCGGTGAGAGAAGCAGGGTTTGCACCGTTTGCGTGCAGTACTGTCACTAGCAACAGTACATGTAGCGTGTGGGAGTGCATGGGTTCGGTGAGCAGGGTCGAGTTGGCTGTTGACGGTTACCCAAGTAGTGTGTTAGTGTGTCCAATCAATATGTTGGAAGGAGAAGTGGTTGTGCTTGTTTGTCACCGGCTCTTGGACGAGAGCCCCGCTGAATCCATGCACGAATTTGGCATATCTGTCCAGAGTCCTCTCTTCTTCCAAATACCGCCCAGATTACCTAGATATGCGCAAAGCTTTCTGCGACCCAAGTAGGAAAGCGGGTCGTATCTCTCAGGTTGTCCAGGTGCGAGCGGTTCGTGACACCACCTTGGGCTTCTGCTGCCGTTCTGGGCTCTCGCTACGTGATTGCGTCGAGGCGGCGGGTGTGCAGTATCATCATACGACGACGTATCTCACCAGTGTCCATGCACGTATGTATGTATGTCTATCTATCTATCTGTATATACATATATACATATCGGCATATTTATTTATTGATACATCTTCGGAGATTCTATGCCGATCGAAGCGTAGTTCTCACCCTACTTGTCATATTCTCCATAACAAGACACCTGGAAGTCCTCCTTTTACAACTGCGACACAATGGCCCCCCCGGGTCGAGTTTCCTGTGAACTTGTTCAAGTGTTTACTTATTTATGTACAAATACATACAGAGCGAGCGAGCGAGAGAGAGAGAGAGAGAGAGGGAACGAGGGAGAAAGCTGTGCATAGGGGGTACATCTATAGAGGCATGGAAACACACACACACACACACACACACACACGCACGCACACGCACACCCACGCACACGCACACGCACACACACACACACGTTCACTTGCATGCTTACAGTGCCTAGAAATCTGTAGAAATCTGTACACGCACGCATCCCGGGATGTCTAAAGTCTATGTCTATTATCGTTCACATCACTTCAGGCTTGGCCGCATCATCTATGATTGCTAGGAGCGCCATCGACTTCAGGTACAGATATTAACCAGACTTGAAACTACCAGAGCCAAGCTCCCAGAGATCTCAACATGAGCTAAGCCTCGCAACCCAAACTGTGATACCAGCACCGTTGACAACAAAGGTCAGGCATCTATGGCACAAAGGTTGCACTCTGCGTGCTGCTTCATGCAGCTGTCATGCGGAATTGCCATCCCTGCTGTAGAACTCTTGCACAAGGCATGGGTTCCATGGATGCCTTTATAGACCTTACAGAATCCAATCAAGATGCCAGGGTGCTCAGGACAAGCAGCGACCGCATGCCGCTCCTGACCGCCAGTTCAATGTCGGTGTTCAGCGTGTCACCAACCTGGTAAGGATTTGTCGCTTCCTTCTTGCTTGCACTGGCCGGTACGAATTCGCAGGCTTAGATCGACTCCTACAGAGGTAGGAAGAAGCACTCTTACCAACTCTTGTAGGACTTGGGACATAGGGAGCTCGACCTTCCGAAGGCGTGGCACAACCCGCAACACTTAGGCCGCCCAGGCGCAATCACCGCCTTGTCAAGCTCAACACCTGGGTTCAAAGGGCATAAGTTGCATAAGTAAGGGGTGAGCGCCTGTGGGCTCAATCCAGTGTCGAGTTGCCTGCACAGTGTACGGCAGAACTGGCAAGTTCTGCTGTCATACCGAAGTTGCAGCCTCTTTAGCGAAAGGGCTCTAAGCAATTGCCCTGTACCAAAGTTATTCGAACCACTCAAGTTCACATCTTCCGCGAAGGTTTTGCTCCACAGGATGGTTTGTATATAAGTTATGAGGTGTGCTCTGATGAACGAGACGTAGTGGTGACATGTTGTGATGATGCGATGATGGGGTGGAGATCGAACGAGCTAAATTTCCGGGTGCGAATACGGGGAACGCTGGATTCGGATACTTGCCAAGGCAATTAGCTGACTGATATGGGATCGCGGATCTTGTCTCAGCTATTCTGCACAGATGGTGCGGCTTGAGGGCTGAGGGAGCCGATATTCATAGTCAACAAAGGTCCGCTCTACTGCTCTGAAGTTACGCTACTACACGTTCCTGCGGCGACCCCTTCGGCCGGGGTACCATAGCCCTCCTCTTCTACGGGCCGGCGCAAAGCCTCAATCAGCACTTCCTGGGCATAGTGTCGGCGGTTGTACTCGAATTTTTCAGGACTCAGGTTGCTTTTTGCTTCGAGGTCGCTGGGTCTTTCAAGAGTTCCAGAATAACCTTTTATTCAAGTCTGGTTGAAGTCTTTTACCGTCTAGGCTGGCATTAGGTTGCATCTAGTGTGTGAGTGAGTGTGTGTGTGTGTGTTTGTGTTTGTATACACCCACACCAATGCCTAGGGTCCGTCTTTTGCTGTAGTATAAACTGAACGGCTCCCCTGTGCTCCCTATCCACTTTCACGGACATGTCTCTGAGCCGGTGCTACTGCATGGCATGCCATCCGCTGTCACCAGCCTGTGCCTTTGCTAGATGCTAGAGGCTCGTCGCCACAAGCCCGAATGCTTCAATCCCTAAACAGCCATCCGCCCGAGCTTCCGATGGCTTTCCCACGTCAATGGCCTGCGAAAGTCATGGGGCATCTGGCTCAGCGCACAACGCTGTGCGAAAAGTCTTCACGCAAAACCTACCATGGTAATGCAATAATGGCAGTCGATGTGACAGTACATCAAGCCCATCAAGGCACATCAATGCCGGAAAGGGGCGATCGTGAACTATGGACAATCTGCCCTCCCTGTCCCTGCCGCCCCTCGGCACCTGGATGTCCGCGCCCACCGAGTTGCAAATCATTTGGCACATGGTTCCGTTTCCGACCTTTGACGAGCGCAGGCTCTCATTGGTTTCTGCCAGTTGTTTGAGGTCGACTTTCTGCGGTGCCAAGGAACGGCCGGGATGCTCCGGTTGCACCAGTTGCGTCCAGGCAGAAAATCCTCCGCAGTAACACCGAGGACCTCGACACAAACGAGGCTGTTGTACAGAGTTGGCATTTGCAGCCATGACGTCCACTGGAGCGAAGCCCAACATTGGAAGCTGTCCTCTAAGCCACAATTCCAAACAGAGTTCAGCATGGATGCTTTCGGAGACCTCTCCTGACTGGGCCTTCGTGTCAAAGTCAGGAGTTTACCTTCTCTTGGCAGCCAAGGAGCCCCCGCATGATCAGATGAGCACTGCCTCGGACCACGGCAGAATAGGCTGCTCCAATCGAAGCAGACCATGGGGGCGAGCCTACGGCATGTCGAAAGCCTTTGCAAAACCTCGTTGCCGACCGTCCAAGTTACACGGGTTATATAAGCGCACTGACTGAAAGGACTTGCGGCGATTGCCATAACCTGCTCGTGAGTTGAGGCAAGGCCTGCCGAGACTGATACCATACATGTTTCCTTGATGAGTTTATGCTGCTATGCTCGTAAAATCCACAGCGTCTCCGAGGCCCGATGCAGCCGATACACTTCGTGCCGACCTATGACCCTCCTCATACACTCTCGCCAAGCAGCACGATCTGCATCACGTTCTGCCCCTCTTCTGCCTCAGCAGATTTCCCTCCGTCCCTCCGTCCCTCCGGCCCAAGCCGTACACTATGCCTCTACATCGCAATATAGAGGCTTAAGTGTATTGAAAGCTTTTCGGCTGGCCTAAGAAAGAAGTCAGCTTATCTATACTACTTCCACGCTCAGGCATGGTCCAGTGAGGTATGCTCGGTACAAAAAAGCTTTCCCTTAGACTGCAAAAAGATCGCCCTCAATGGCAAAGACACTGTGAGCCAAAAGAAACTGCGGCTCAGTGGCACATTCGCGGCTGAACTTCAGGAAGGCTGCAGCGACGGCCACTTTGAGAGCAGTGAGCTGCTGGTCCCACCCTACCTTGGTGGGAATGAACTATATCGTTTGGAGGAAACAATCCATCGTATTCGATCTAGTCGTTAGTCAGTCAAGCAAACAAGGAGGACACGAAGACTGCATCGCCCAAAAATGTCGGCTGCCACCAAGCTGCAACGATCGCATCGACATCTTTGGAACGATGAACCTTGTGGACTTGGTTCTACTTGGGTGCACAGGCGGAGCGCGATGCACGCTTCGGGCTGCTGTGTCTCTGAAGTGCCATGAACTAGGTGTAAGCAAACATGAATTCCAGCTTTCCTCGAGGGCTAAATTATGTCTAGTGCAAGCTAGTGAGCTGCTTGTCAATAAGCTCGCCAAAAACTAGGGCAACGTCGAAAACAAGTCAGCGTCGGAAGAACGTACACCTTGACGTAGATGATGCTCCCCTCGCGGGCTTCTGCACAACTTGTTGTGTTGGCAACGATGCATCCTGGCGACAAGCTCGGTCACATTGTCCTTCGTCACCTGGGTTCTTCATGCGGAGAACGAGGGCAGTCTCGGCCCGAACGCATGGGATCGACGCTGGCCGGGTTAAACGTCGAATGTACCCACGAGCGAGGAGCGTCAGCCAAGCTGCAGGCTTGGAGTACTCCGGCTTTGGGTGGCCGTCCTCGTCGATGGTGGCCTCTGATCAGCAGGCTGAATCTCAGTATCATGGACTCTGACCCAAGCATGTCACCAGACAACTCCTCAGCGATCCGGCTGACAGCCGTACATGAACCAAGTAGCTAAGTAGCTGCTACATCTGTACCTGTTCAGATTTCTTTGGCTGAGCGACCAAGCTGGGGAGCTGAGACTCGACGATCCTGAAAGATGAGCTCAAAGGAACCATGAATTCTTATCACGCCGAGAGGCGACATACTCGGTGATACCAGCCTCCTTCAACTCCTCAACATGGAGATAGATTCGGGGACGCTGGTTAGGAAAGAGGAGACTTGCGAGTACAGAGTTTTGAAGCCTATGGTTGACTCAAATTACCGACGCCCTGTGAGACTGCATCTTCGGACGTCGTCGCTTTCAAGACTGGGTCTACAAACAAATTATGGTATAACCGTTATGGGATTGTTGGACGATGACCCTGCAAAGCCTATAAGATTATGCACCTCGTCAAGTCTGCCACTTTTCACCGGAGCAGCCCAAAACGAAACCTACCAGTACTCTCAAAGCCCATGAGTCTCGAATTGCTCCCAACCTCGCCTCCAGAAGGCCCAGGTGAGAGCAAATCACGAAGGGCTTTCGGATTAGAGCCTCAGAGATCGCTTCCTAGCCGCCTGCTATAGTAGCATAACCATGTCTAGGGACGTTCGGTGGCAGCAGCTCTGAGGGTTGCTGAAGGTGGCGGAACCACGAATACATCAAGTGCAGCACAGCTCGAGCAAATGGCCATGCCCTAACTACAGTAGAAGGCAGCCTCATGTGCCACTCTCCGATGTTCCAGGGCTCTGTTGCTCCTACGGTAGAATCCTAGGACTCAGGTAATTATCGGGAACTCAAAACTGCTCTTTGAAGTCGAGCGGCCTTCTTCAGGAACCATGCGCAGGTAAACGATGCTGTAATCACCTTTACAGGGGCGACCTTCAAAGCAGTCCCCTGGGCTTCTCGTCCCATAAAAACTATCTGAAACTCAAGATAACTCGAGCAACCTCGGTCGCTGAACAGGAACAGAACAAGATGCTCACCTGTCGCTGATTCTTATCCACGGGGTTGACTCCCAAGATCTCCTAAGCCTGATCATTCATCCTTCATTTCAACCGGAAAACCAGGAACATATTCAGCTCTGCAGACCGCAGTTTCAATGGTGAATCGTCTCGCGACACATCCAAACGTGCCAATTCTATCCAACACGTACTTATGCTGGGACCCCACGCCCACCGCTCGGAAACCCGGCCTTCTGTCGCGCGAGCTTTCGGGAGTGCTCGTCGTTATCACACAACTGGATTCCGTGGTTCAAAAGCCTGGCATTATGCGAGTCCCGAGTCATGAACCGGAGATATCTCTGCGAAGGTTGACTTCTGATCGTCATTACAGTGGCCTGTCGATGTACATCCGCCGGGAGTAGTTGGAATCATTGGTGGCGAAAATGACTCTCTTGCCAGCCTTGCAAAGGGTAGCAGGAATTTGTATCAAGCCCGACAGCTTGTGGCAATCGTACAACAATTGATGTTTCCGCCATTCTGCAACGAATTACTTGCTTTTCGCCATGCGGCAAGGATGAGCTGGTTCACCTCAGCCCGCAAGAAACACTGAAAGTGGAAGGCATGATGGCAGCCTGCACAACTCCCGATCATGGAGGAACTGCGGGTCTCTCCTGCGTATAGTATCTCTCTGTTCTTTTGCAGGGCGTGGGTGGGACCACACCTCCTACAAAGCGCCCGTCTGTTGGTGGCGGTATCTGGAGCTGGGGTGAGTACATGGCGTCCTCACGACGACAGGGTCCTCATAATTCCAACCGACAATGACAGTAAACGCTATTTACAGTCATATTCACGGCGGTTATGTGCCTCAGAATCCCCGGAGCCCTAACTGCCCAGCGAGATCTGCAAAATGGTCTCCGTCACATGCGAAAGCCGTGGGAAAGGCCAACGTACTTCTGGAAACTTCGGCGCAAATCCCCGCTAGAGCTATCAGGAAGTGCCCCTACAAAAGACAAACATGAATCTGCGAGTTTGTTGTTGGCAGTTTGGCCCCTGCTAACCGGTTTGATTTCGTCTATGCAGACAGGCAATTTTTGTTAGCAGCCCTAGCACATGGACCGATACTCAGAGACTCGGAGGTAATACCAGGGCCACAAGCACTCAACTGCCTCCACTTTCCCGACCTTCACCTAACGCCTCCCGAACTAAATCTCTCTCTCTCTCTCTCTCTCTCTCTCTCTCTCTCCTTCAGCAGAGTCCGCGGGCTGGTCGTCTGTCGGGTGTGACAAGACTATCTAGACCTTTTCTCCACAGCCTGCTGCAGAGGCGCATTGTCCACGACCTGCCTCTCCAAATCCATATTGGACATGGATTGCGACTGGCCTCGCACGCCCCAGAGGGTGCCTTGGCTCGTTTGAGAAATCAAAGATGCGGGGCAATCGCTCGCTAAAGCCATTATCGAGCCAACTCCACAGTGTTTTAACAGCGGCACGGACAAAAAGTCAATAGAGGCCAGAAATCGCTGGTGATTTACAACCAGTCTCCCTGTGAATCTAGAAGTTGAGTAGAGTCCGACGATTGAGCCGCGCCTGGTACTCAACAAAAGTGGAATCACCCGTTGTTGGGCATTGGTTGGAGTGGTTAGCTGGTGCGAAGAGAAAGTGCCTCAAAGAGTGTGGAATTGTATAATCAACTGTTGTCCACCTTGCAAGAACTCGAGCTGTGCAGGGCTCGAAGTCTAAGCGTTGTCTTGGACTGTAAGTCGTGAAACACCTCAACTTGCCGCATAAGTCGATGCAGGCATGGATAACCAACCATGTGGCCGTGACCATCAAAAATGTAGGTCTCGGCACTGTCGAACTCCTCTCGTGGCAAGCTAGGAAGACACGCAATGCTTGCAGCCCAATGCTATAACCGACAAAGGCTCCGAGCTTGCAGGAATGCGGTGGTGTGCATCCAAAGATATCATGTGGAACGCTTCTGATATGCGGGTGGGAAGCTCAGCAACCGTTTCGGCGGTCCTCCCGTTTGAACTGTGTCGCATTGTACCTCGATCCCAACACGAAACACTGTACTTGCCAGGGAGGGGCTCACTCACATCGTCAGATCACATTCGCAGTTAACACGTGGAATGAGTAAAAGTCTTTCCCATGGGCCGGGGCATGCATGCACATGATCATTGGCAACAGTGCGGATCCTTCGCAGCTGATCAGTTGCTAATCTGATAGGGTATGCCCGTCGCTGTTTTGAGATGAGGACGCAGATGTCCATGCTGCACATTTACGCCATGCCCGCAACAAGCTGCAGAGTTGAACACGGCAAATGACAGGAAGCGCAATCCGTGACCAATGCGAGCGGCGAGTTCTCGATCCCCTCCGATCCGCTCGGCTCGGGCCCGGGACAAAGCTGCACCTCGCGCACGGCCATTGTACTACATTGTACTACATTGTACTACAATATGGGAGTTTCCGAAAATAGGGGCTAAATACAAGGATCCAATTATTATACGGACACCAAGATAAGGTACCCCTAATTTTCGGAAACTCCCACATGTAGTCAATGTAGTCTCTTATAGCTCAGTATGCTATAGTATATTTGCCCCTCACCTGTGATCTTCACTTCCACAAAGCACAACACGTATGTCACAAGGGAGACACATAGCATCAACCGAGTTGCTTGCTCTATCGAACCGACGGTCTCAACGCCAGAACCCCCAATTCAAGGCGTGCAGGTGGCTAGCAAGAAAGAATCAATCACCTAGTGATATAAGCATTATAAAACACTGCGGTATATTACAGGTGGTACTGGCGAAGCTGGTCCTGGGCACGATCCTTTCATCTTGCAGGCGCCTCAAGCTCCGATTCCAGAAGCCAGTCTGCCTTAGGTGGAGAGTTCTACAAGACCTCCTACCTGCTTCCTCGACAGGTTCGAGCCCCCAATCGGAAAGTGCAAACTTATTGCATGCACGGCGCGTTTGGAATAGTCTCACTGTCTCAAAGCGTTCCTAGGGCTGAAGCCTTTCATGCCAAAGACTGGGTGAAGCTGTAAGAGGCATTTGTGATGAGCCCGGGCTGAATTAAACCGGCGGCTGCACCCGAAAAGCCCTTTATGGAGTGTGATCTGCTTGCTCAGTTTGAAGCTCTTCGGAACTGTAGAACTGCGATCCGTTCGGTAATGCAGAACCACGGTTCCGCCGATCTCTGAAACCCTTCAGGCAGCAAAAACACGGTCAGCCCGAACACGAAACCGCTTTTCCCATGAGAGCATCTGAAAGCCGCGAGCCCTAAAATCCATCACCGGAAACCAGTGCTGACTGAGGTGCCGAAAGATTCTTCAGACTGACCGAAAGCCGCTCTTCGGAGTAGACCTGGGTTTCGTCTCTCCTCCCGCCCTGCGCTCTCGCTCTCCCTCTCTCATCCTGGCGGTTTGGCTTTGGGGAAGACCTGGGATGTCCTGATGTGCTTTTCAGCCTCTGGGGCTTTTCTGCACTTGCGATACGAGTCCGGGTTACCACAACTACGACATGTTCTTTCTGCATTCGCTGTTCCCTTTCCCATGTTTCAGTCAGAGTGTACCTTGCCCCTTTTGGGTAATAATGCCACCGCCAACCCATTAGATGATCATTCCTAGGGTCCCCCCTACATTTCACCGATATATCACTACTACTACCCGATTATCAATACAATTCTAGGAATAACCATAACCCCATCTATTATCTCTAAGGTGGCATTATTGGCCGAAATAGGCAAGGTGTTTCTCGTAGAATTTGGTTCAGGGTTTGGGGTTAAGGGTAAAGCATTCGCTTTATTTTCTCGGATTCTCCGATCATGGTGTAACTACATTGTAATTATAATATATAACTGCTTATGTATTATAATTACATTATAACTATGCAGTTTGAGGAGACTATCTATTTTGAATTTTGAACTATCATCTCATCTTAGAGCTCTGTGGTTGCTTCTAAATAATCATAATGTAATTGTTTGTCTATGTTTACACGATATTGTAAATAATGTGTTACACTAATGAAAATATGATATACTCTTTGATATTAATTAGCATAACCACATAAAATATCTTTGTAATAATTTATTTTCTCCTGATGCCATTTATAGAAGTCAAATGTATCTAGGTTCTCATACATTGTTTTCATTTCAATATGTACCTCAAGTGTATAATCTTTCTTTTGAACATCATCTCGCATTATTTCATGAACTTCATCATATTCTGGGTATTTGTTTAACTTAGTAAAGGGTAATATATAGTCATCAAACAAATTTCTTAACTTACAACATTTATCACAACCATAGTAATCTACAATCTGATTTTTAAAGCTATGTAAGACATCGCACTTATCTAGTGAATTTTCGGTATGTTCTTAACTGGGTTACACTTATCACATCTATTGAAATATTTAAATTTGTGTATCTGATATACAAATATGTTTCATCATATTCACTCTCACTTTCATATTCGCTCTCACTCATTACCACGATAATATATAAGTTGTTATTTCTTTAAGTCATTTTCCTCAGAAATATTATTTTCTTAAGATTTACTGCGTTGCGGTTTATTTGACAGACTTGCCCAAGCATTCAGAACAGGTCGCAATGCATTTAACATAACAATAAGACTGCTTACCAACACAATAGCAACGCTTGAAATAATCAATGGATTTGACTTGCTTACAACGATAACACATCCTAGTATTAATATTATTTGTTTCAGTATATGGTTCAAAATCAACTAATATCTTATCTACTCTTACTGGCGTTATTATTATTATATACACTTTTTCATAATGCGATATTATGAAAATTTGCACCGGGAGAGACTTAGCTCCTCTCGCGATTGCTCTACATGCAACCGGTTCCTTAAGATTTAACGAAACTAATTACGAATTAATGTCATTACCAAACTCTTATGGTTTGCTTATAACCTGTAGAACTTGCTAGGCACACGGGGGCATTGGCTCACTTCCTTCTTCTGTTTTCACTGGGGGCTTTTTATGCCAAGATGGCCTGTCATTATAAGCTGGATTTTTTAATCCATAATACTATGTATGCATAATATTATTAATCAGCTTCATTATTCGTTTTTCTTGGAGACCTTCAAACCTTGGTTGATGATTTTGACTTTTGCTTTCTTCCTTATCTCTTCTATGAGGAACTGTATTTATTATTAAATATTCAAACGGATAGAAAGGGTTAAACCTAATTGCAATTTTCAATTCATCATTATGTTCAATTCTACTTACTTTAACACTACAACAAGAAGATAAATACAACATTCCACCACACATTAATAGTGTATACATTAAAGTTATAAACATATATATGTTTATGTCGATATACATGAGATTTTAATCCATAATATTTAAATTATTCTTCAAAATAGATACATCTTTTTCTATCCTTTCAACCTCGGATTCTAGCTTTTCTAGTTTGTCTTCTAGCTCCTCGGGTGTCACTTGTGATTGACCCCATCCAGTGTCGCATATTGCAACTGACCCCGTTTGTTCTGCTTCATCAGTTCTAAATATTTCATCGGGTGAAACATTACGACCGCCAAATTTTAGGTTTCTTTTATCTACAACAGTGTTAGTTGTTATTCTATCATTCTCCTTAACTGTTTTAGTCTCCTTATGATATAGCTGTCTCTTGCAACGGCATGGTATGCAGTGAAAGCCCTTCTTGTCAATATGAAAACCTTTGTTCTTCTCGCTTTCATCTTCCGCTGTATCACTCATTAACCTTTCATAGATTTTTTTTAAATACTGAAGAACTGCCTTACGCAAATCTAAAGAAGCGGTGCAACATCTTTTAAGCTTGGTGTCTTGTATTACAATCTTTTCAATTTCTTCAATATCATCTATCGTGTCTAAATACTTCTCCATTATATTAAAAGATATTTTTCTCTTAGTAACTAATGAGTGAAGAAATACCTAAAGTAGAACCGATAGACATACCCGAATATAAATATAAAAACAGCAAATTTGACATAATGCCTAAGCTACCCGCGCGGATGTTATGTGTGGCTTCTTCAACAGGCGGTAAAACGGTATTGATACAGAACTTGATATTAAAAATCTACAGAGGATCCTTTGAGAGAATATACATCTTCTCGCCCAGTGTTCATGTTGATGACACTTGGTCGGCAGTAAGAAATACATAAGGGATGTAATGAAGGTGGATGCCGAAAAAGAACAGCTTTACGAGTGTGCACCTCGAATCTTCTCGCGACTCCTTGGTCATCCTTCCACCGGACCCCTGCATCTGATTCGGATCTAGGGGGTTTGCTGGCCGACTAACACGGCACATGGGATGGCGCTACAGACGAAGCCTACCTTTGTAGGCGTCGGTGAGAAACTGAGCTTTCGGCACTTTTGAGCATCAAGCATGCCTTGCCCGGATGCATGGCCTGGACGCTGACCTGACCACACAGCTATGCCTGAGACTTGACTTGCCTAGCATCCGAGTCTGCCGGGTTTGCAGATCTGAGCCACTGGAAGTACTTGGCCGTTCTGCTCTAGAAAGTTTCATTTGCTGGAAATGTCGGGAGTGCTGGAAGGGACGCTGGATGTGGAGTTCTCCGTCGCAACGCATCAGCAACTTTGGAGCTCCGAGCGCGAAGTGCGTCTCCGCTTGCAAGCGGCTTGTAAGGATCGGGCCTGAAATCGCTTCCCCAGCGCAGCAAGCACACGCCCATCCTCCAACACCTCAGACGTCCCGACGAGGAAACTTGTTTGAGAAAAGGGCGATCAAAGAGCAAGCAGCACATGTAGGTCGATGAGTGCAAACCACATCGCCTTACGATGCCTTACAAACATGCTCGGGAGGTGCGAGATCAAAAAGGCCATGTCAGTTCTCTGCAAGGAAGAACACGACAGCTCGGCAGCAGTGTAAGGCAAAGCTCCGTCTTCACCCAAGATCCATCATTCAGCTGGCAGCCAACCTCCAGCTGTGTGGCTGAAGGACAGCAGTGAAGCACATCAGGGACGTAACGCCATGTCAATCAGCGTACGTCCACAGTAGACTTGACTACACGGAATGTCAAACTCCCACTTCCAACATCTGGGAACCCCATGAGGCAGGGGCCAAAGCATCCGGCATTTCATCCTGGCAGGAGCCGTTCTGCACCAACCCTAGGGCCCATAACCGACTTTCTGCCTGGAGTCGTTGCGGCTTGCGTGAGTAGGGCTCTTGGCTCGCGTGCTGTTCATAACGAAGAATCGCAGTCGTTGCATCTCTGCTCCCCTGCACCCTGTCTGATCACTGAAGACGATGCTTTACACAAGAAAGTACCGAACTGCAAAAGCACGAAAGAGATCATCGTAGCTGCTGTGTACATGCGCTACATGGGAAAGTCTTACCTCTGCTGCCGCTCCTTCATCGGGTCGCAGTGCAGAGTGCACTTGTGCTTCGTCCCGTCACGAAGAACACCCTCTGCAGCACGACGCATTGAAAGGACAGTCTGTGCATGAGGCATACTGATGGGAGTGCCGCCGTTTACTTTCAGACGCTTTGCATGCATCCAGCAGCTGCACCCGTTCTCAATGCGCAGAATCTTGTAAGCGCAACTTTGGCACAAACTCGGCGATTAACTTCATCGACCCCTCCATCCCAAATCTGCAAATTTCCAGCACCAGGTACGCTTCAGCCTCGCTCCGGACAAACTTCAACCTGTTCAAATCCTGGCCTCCAAATGAACCTCCTCTCCGGCCAAACGCCTCAGAGCATCGGTGTTCTCTGGAGACGTCGGATTGTTTCACGCTACACGCCAACCCGATCGCTCGACACAGCGAAAGAACCAAGGAAACGTTGCGCAGCAAAATGCCTGTCGCCCTGCAGACTTTGCGGCTGAGGATTCACCCAGACAAAAGCTGAAGGAGGCAGGTCACACCGTGGTGACCACTTCTCCGCGATTGTTCGCCTGGTTGAAGAGCTTCAAGGCCTCCGATAGCTCAACTCATGTGCAATGCCAAGCAGTTCTTGTCTACCTGGGGTTTCGGGTCAACAAGCTTGGAGGCACAGACTTTCGAGAGAGCAACCTAAACCTTCTTAGTCCTCGATCCCATGACTGTCGAACCCTTCCTCTCCTTTCACCGACATGCTTTGTGAGGTGCCGCTCAGGGTGCTTATTCTCAAAGAACTGAGGCACCCCCACGGCACTTTGCATTTACAGGTTCAAAATTGATGTGCCAAAGGTGTGCATGGAGCAGAAAGAAGGCTTCAGAGGTGAAGGCGGGTCAGTTCGCAATCGGTACCGTAGGATGCGTCTGGATGCGTTTCTTGCGACAAACCGCAGTACAAGGCCTGACTGTCCATGCCCTTTCTTACTTGCGGTGATGTTACGTTTCGCAAGATGACTGCCGTGACCCACGTATGAGGCGAGCTTGGGTCAGCGAGTTTCTCACGTCTCTTTCACATGGACGGACGTCACTCCCCCCGCTTCAGAGCTCTCGCAGTAATAGAACCCATCACTGTGCGGCAGGATCTGACAAACGCCCGACGGGCTCACTGCTGCGACATGCACAGGTGCAGCTGAGCCGAGGACACTCATGTTGGAGTACCTCACAAAGCTAGCGAAGGACACAGAATTCGAGTTCATTCCAGGATTAAGCACCATGGAACTGGCCAACCACGGCGACTGCGAACGAATGACTGGCCACTAGTCGAAGGATTCCCTCCAAGGCTGCTGAAAGCCACTGCCGCGCATGATCCTGTATCCTTCTTGGACCGAGACGCGATGTATCTGCGGTGACAACGAGTAGTCCGGAGCGAACATGCCTCACCACTGTGGGGCTCTCTCCATGCGGCTGGTGCCCACTGAAGACCTCAATCTCAGTCACACTTGAGCTACTGCAGCTACTGCATCAAAGGCTTCTAGCTTGGGTTCATAATCTCGGGGGGCTGCAGCAACCGTTGAACAGCAGGCGCTTGACGAATTCGATTTTTCAGCTGTCCATGCAGTGTCTCACGCATGTCCCTTGCAAAAGACGCACTTCGAGATGCACCTGTACTTCAAAGTGTTGAACATGAAAAAGATCAGCACAGTTCCCCGTTCTTTCATGGCCAGCGGCCCGCCGAATCCCGGACTTGACGAGGAAACCCTCGACTTCAGCAGACCGTTGGGAAGGATTCCCTTGGCAGCCACTTCATTGGGCACTGCACGCATAGACGGGGCTAGAGCACAGGACAGAAGCTGACCTTTGGTTAGTAGGGACTGGAGGAATGGGGTACAAGTACAATTACTATTACTACCATTCTTCCATTCCCTAATTACTAACCAAAGGTAAGGAAGCGGTAAGGATGCACTGAGCGCTTCCTGGTCTGACACCGTGCAATCGCTTGAGCAAGTTGCATCTACGAGTACCAAATACAAGCTGTTTGGCTTCCAATGCCAGCAATTGTTCCCGTGCTATCTTTTCTGTGCTGTGTTGTGTTGTTTCCTCTCTGCCCCGATATGCCTATAGGAGTGGAGCCCTCCTCTGTTTAGGACCCACCCTCTTCTCCCAGAGTCTCTCTCTCGCGGATCCCTGGCTCCTACTTCATGTCACGGTCACGCTTGCGGTGTATTTATAGCAGGGGGGGGCATGTACCTACAGTACCCAGAAACCCCAAAGTAGTTCCTTTTTGGAGTTACCCTATAGGATTCTGTATAGAACCCCAAAAAGGCTACTTTGGGGCCTTTGGGTAGGTATTGGCAGCACCGGCGGACAGCTACCATGGCCACACTTCCAAAGTTTTCCGAGTCCTGTCGCCTGCAAGTCTGCAACACAAACCCTTAAGGACTCTTATGGCACACAGGGGATGTGCTAAAGTGCTGAGCAAAAGAACAGCAGCGCAGTTCTTAGAGTGATACCATTGTTGAACGGGTTGTGGTAGACAATGGTCTTGTTGTCCGCCCCGCCTGCGTATCATGCAGGAGCCGCAGGAGTCTATCCCTCAACATGTACTCTGTTGCGCAAGAGCTGACACTGCCAGAGCATGGCACCTCTCAGCTAAGTCAAGGTAGGGTAGCCCCTTCCGGACATAGCCGCTGATTTCAGCCAATGCTGAGCAGCAGGTCACACAGTAGTCTGTCGCGAGTAACTAGCTGGCAACCTGGGCATCCATAGTCGATGAGGAGGTCCTGACGGCAAGGAGCATTTGCATGGTGCTAGTGAATATCCTTGGCTCTTTGCTAAAGACACCTTCGAGGAATGCTGCCCTTCATCTCGGTCCTCACCACGAGATGTTCCACAGGTTTTCCGAAATCAAACTGCCGATTTCCTATCACCGGACCCTCATCCAAGGCCCGTCCCAAGACCCAACCACTTGGGCAAGTCAAGAATCCACAGATTCAATCAAAGACAGGTCCCTTTGAGCCAAGAATCACCACCGCGGCGGTAGACGCCGTCCTCCTGCCTCCAGTTGGGGCGTGTTTCGAAGTCGCGGAGCTGCACATCCTCACGGACTTTGGCAGAAACTGACTGTGAGGCTCCCTTTTCAGCATCCTTTTCAGTATGGGCTTGGATTGTGTGCTCCCTTTTTTGCATCGGGCCTTTACCACCGCCCTAAACCCTAAACCCTTTTTGCATCCCGCCTGCAAAAGCCTAGGAAACCCCTAAACACTGTAAACCCTAAACCCATAAACCCCTAAATCTGCTCTGGACTTCAAGATGAGAGCTGAAGGAAGGGCCGGGCAGCTGCCGCAGCACCGCAGGAATCGTTGACTAAAGCGATACAGCAGTACGGGAGTTTCCGAAATTAGGGGTACCTTATTGAGGGGCCCTTACTATAAGGATCCTACTATTTCGGGTTTTCGGAAACTCCCATACTCGATAGGTTCTACAGCCTCCAACCATTGAACACGTGTAATCTTTGAAGATAGCCTAGACCCTCCATCTACCCTCTATTAGACCCTAAATGCCCCTTATTTGGGACCATATACCCCAATTTGAGGGTACAAGGAGGGTCCTGGAGAGCTATAATTACTAGCAGCACTTCGCGATGTTTCAGCCCGCAAGGGTTGATTCGTTAGCCGTGAGGAGGAAGAAAACACAAAGCATGCCGGAGAAATCCACTACTATTCGTATTAGTATTCATATTAGTATTGATATTAGTATTCATATTAGTATTGATATTACTTGTAGAACTCTGTACTTAAGGTCCCTATGCTCCGAGAAGCCGAGACAAGGCTTTCGTCACTGCACACTGTCGGCAATTCACTAAACCCGATGCCCCGCGAGCAGATTCCGGACAAAGGCTCTGCCATTCCATTTTGCAGCAGAGCAGCGAAGTGCCTTGCTGCTCGTCAGCTTGAGAGTTCCAAGCTTTCGAAAACAGGCACGGCAAGCCATACCAAACAGGCAGGCATGCAGCATCGACGTGACTCTCACGATGCTGAGTCTGTGTAGTCTCGCATTCCGGCTTCGGGCAGAGACCGCTACTGTACTGAAGCATACTGAGTCGCATTGGCTTCAAGTTTTGACCTTCGCTGCAGTACCACGACAGCGGTCTCCGCTGCATGGCCCGAATATTCACAGTCTCTCTATATAGCAGCTAGACTCACAAATTCAATATGTACAGGCTGTGCATTTCGATCTCTCGGCAGTGGCGCTTGGATCATGCGGCGGTGAAGACCGGCTGGGCGGACCTGGGCTGCTGACACAATCATGGAACTATGTTTGAGAGGACCACCTATGGAGGAGCCATGTTATTACAATTTCGCTTCAGCTGTTCCACAACTAACTCAAGCCCCAGGATATCAGCCAAGTCCCAAAATCGCCCAAGCCCGCCGGCTCTTAATTACGCAAGCCCGCTGCCTCTGAGCTGCTCAAGGCAGGTTAGCCCTCAGCCACGTAGCGACGATGCCTCCATAGGGCGGAACATCTTGATAATTGAGATGGTGCAAAGCCACACAGGCAGTGTAGACAAGATCAAGATCAAACTGATTAATGGAGTCCACCTGACTTGAAAACTTGTCTGCGAAAATTTGTTGGATCGTCCACACAACTGCGCACCATTCTTGCTCGAGGCCTCGAGAAAGAGGGCTCTTCGCATGCTTCTTGCACACGACAAACTTGAGAGCAGGGCGGACGAAAGCTAGGTGCAAGAAGTAGAAACGCCGAGAGATAAGCAAGTAGAGAACATACAGAACACAGACGTGCCCCCCCATCCCGGCATTCCTCATTCCCGCTGGTTCGCTGGAATGCCCCACGCCACCCCACCCCACCCCACCGCATCAACCCACACGACCTAAACAACGTGAGGGTTCTCTCGCCGAAAGGCTTCGACTCAAAGCGACCGCTGCAGACTCGGCAGATGCTCATATTCTGCAATAATTAGCCAACTATATAGTTATTTACACTATATAGATCCCTATTATGGATACTTAAAACCCGAAACCCTTATACAATCCTGGGATGGAACCCAACTTCAAGAGTTCCAATCAGCGCCCTCCGGCCTGGGGAGGTCCGGACGATCGGGTCCCGGTCTTCCCGGCGGGGGCATGACACGCACCTCCCAAGAAAAGGGCCGCAAGCAGAAACTTGGAAGTATGATATAATATATATATATATATATATAGTAATAATAATAATCATGAATATATATATATATATATATATATATATATATATATATATGTGCGCAGGCCACGTTCTAGGCGCTTCAGGGTTCGGACAGGTGCGATGCATCCGATTCTTTTGCGATGCCTATCGAGACGTGCATGGTGCCGGTGGTTTCGGGTTGTGACTGACTAGAATGATGAGACGGCAGCTAACTCGATGAGAGCCCGCCTCCTTGAGCACAGGCTTCCTTGGTTGCACATGATCATCTCGCGGCACTTGGCAAGTGGGCCTTATAGGCCTTAGGCTCTCCCTGTCCACCGCACGTTGCAGAGCTGATCAAGGCATGCATAGAGCAGGAAAGCGTCAGTGTCCAGGAGAGGCAAGGAATCTCCTGAACCCCTCCACCTCGGTTGTCGTCGTTACTGCAGCTCAACAAGCGCGCATGCAGGCAACTTACCACAGGCGGAGTCGAGCAAAACTCGGCATCAACGATAGCTGCCAGGGAAGATACACCTCTTCATGTTGAAATTTTGCACGGCTGACTGGACGCTGGCGGACAAGACTACAAGTTTACTCGCCTCTCCTGCGACGTGGCCGGAATTTGAACTCACAGAAAATCCTTGGAGAGTTTGTTGCTACGGCAACATTCCCGACATACACACAAAGACAGACAGGAAAGAGTATGACAAACAAACAGACGTTCATGGATGCGGATAGAAAGCGAGGGGGTAATCCCCAGGGACGGCAAAACAAAGAGAGAGAGAGAGAGAGAGCGAGAGAGAGAAGAAACAAAAGGGAAGCAACGGCGCGGTGACTGTGTATGCATACGTGTACACACACACACAAACACGCGCTCGATGATGAAAGCTTCCTCTCCAAAATGCCGGCCCAGGCTCACTCCACCCACGAACACTTGTGCTCAGATTGTTCATGCTGCTGGCTGCAACATCCCGGTTTGAGGTGCTGATGGAACCAAGAGGAGCCCCCAAATATGCTTCTGGTTTCCGCCAGGAAGCTTTCCTAGTCTTTGCAGATCTATGGGGATCCCAAGCGTTCAAGTCAAACCGATACACACATTCTTGGTTGTTCTTAACAACTTGGAGTCACAAAACTCTCACAGGGAGAAGTGGTGGTTCGGCTGAACTTTATCTCACCTCGTGAACGGAAAGATCTGATCGAGAAAGCCCGGTAAACACGGTCAGATCCACTCTGCAAGCCCCCATCCATTGATCATGCACCTACCAGTAGATTGCAAGTCTTTGCGCTCAGCATGTACTTTGCAGGACCGGGCTGCCTCCATAGTGCAGAAGCGCTTCAAGCACTGGGCAGGTGGGGGCTTCCGCACGTCGGCCGAAGCACGTGGCCTTATGATCCGGTAGCCGAGGGAAAGCTTGCTTCGACATTGTATGCCGCGAGATTCTATGGCGGACTTCTCATTACGGGTCCGAGCCATCGACTACTTCTCAACTAAGGCCGGACATCCAGCAAGTCACAGACAGACAGCAGACACCTCCCCACGTGGGGTAAGGCAAGGTGCCTTGGGCACGTCAAGGTGCCAGTCGAAGTCGGAGAAGGAAGCCAATGAGGCGAAGCTGCCCTTCTCACGCAACTGCTCCAGGCGCACGGCCAAGGCAGGGGCCGAGCAGCCAAGCCTCATCTGTCACGATGACGCATGACCATCCCTGCCCTACTTTGCTAGACTTCGAAAATCGGAGTTCACTTCGGCAGTCACAGAAGAATTCAGAAGAAAGGCTTCGCACTGATCAGTCTGGAAGCATCTCGTCACGTCTGCTCACTGCTCCATATGTAGAGAGGCGGTCGATCGCTTCAGGCATGGCCTCCAGTGTCGATTGAGCGAAGGTGACGAGGTTCGACGGAGAGCTGCCGAAGTCAGCAGCGTAGTACTTCCTGACATCTGGCCATCTGTCTAGTCTACCGGTGTTGTCTGGTGTCTGCCGAACCTGAACGGTACAAGCTCGAGCGTGCCGGACAGAACTCTTTCAACATCCCAGTACAACCTATGACTATACTGGCTCGACAAACAGCATGAAGATTGACACCCTTAAAGGTTGCTGAGGTTCAGAAGCGGCGGCAACACCACACGGCGTCTGGGCGGGTCTTCCACTGTCAGTGCTTCGACCAAGTACTGCCTCGAGTCAAATGGGACAGGACAAGCACATCCATCCACTTGGCCTGAACACCAGGTCGCTAGCAGCCGCTGCCACGCCGTCACCCGGCGGGTCCAACCCAAAACTGAACTCAACGCTAACACCCTGGCAGCGGCACCCGCAGTTCAGCAACAGCTGCTCGCAAACCTTGGCTTCTTAAGTCTGTTTGGTACACCAAGTTGCACGAGACACTGGACGTCTCTGTGTGGCAATCCCTGACAACGCGCCCGTCGAGACTACTTCACGATATCCCAAGCCTCAACACTCTGCACCAACACTATGCGCGATGTGATGCCGAGCCGCTAAGCCTGCATGGAAGACCCGTAGGGGCGGGCAGCCGAATCGAAAGGGATAGAAGATTCCGAAGCTCACCTCAGCTGGATAGCAGCGGAGCAAGCAGGGTTTGGGATTCGAGCACAGTGCATTTCGAAGCGGTCATGAATACGGAAGCACAGATCCTCAAGCGGGACTCTTGGTGTCGACAGTGACACAAACCTGACCAACATTCAGGAAAGTGTTTTTGAACATCGAAGACGGTGATCTGCATCTTCAATGACAGAGACCCAGCACTTCGCCAGTGCAACCGGAGGTCAGGATAGCAAGTTTGCACGTAGCAGCGCATACAGTGCCCGACAGAAGGCGGTGCCGAGTGCACGAAATTCATCTATGCGTCCACGGCGACATCTGAACTTCATATTCACACTGGGCTCCGGGCTCCATACGGGATCGTCGTGTGCTCTTGTTTTATCAGCCCATGGAAAATATAGACATGAGTGCGTGCTATATGTATGTAAAAGTAATAAGTAATATATACACATATAGATATATACACACACATAGCACACAAGCACACACGCACACACGCACACACACACACACACAAACACCCCACACATAGCACATCATAGCACACACACACACACTCACACGCACACACACCACACATAGCACACACACACACACACACACTCACACACACACACACACCACACATAGCACACACACACTCACACGCACGCACACACACACACACACACACACCACACATACAAGTAGCACACACACACACACACACACCACACACATAGCACACACACACACACAGACACACGCCCACACACACACACAATCGATCACGGAACGATCGATCCTTCATAATTTTCGTAATTTTCGTGCATGACCACGGTCTCCATTCTTATGCGTGGCCGGCGACGCCTGTTCCGGGCCCCAAACTCCCCAAATTAGAGTCAGCACCCCTTCTGATTCTAATCCCAAGGTTGGCATCTCAGTAGCTTCAGGTGCTGGCTGTGCCAATGCCATCTCGGCTTTGGGATCTCCAGCTTTGAAGCCTTTCCTTACGGGCACAGGTTGGAGCTCGTGACGAGGTGCTTTAACCGCTAGAGTGCTTGTACCTCAGGCCTGCCTCCCCGACTCAGACTCCACAGCAAAACCACGGGAGCCTAAGAGCCCTGACCGGAGTAGCCCCGACCCCGAACACCAGTCAAGCTTGTCGGGGAGGCCATGCACATGTGTAATTCAGCACTCGAGCACTACATACGTGCAATTGCATTCGGGCAACCAGGCTCACAGGAACCAGGTTCCCAAGCTTGAACGCACAACCCAAGGCTGGCAAGATTTTGCAAATGGCTGGGGGCAGCATGAAGCATGGCAGGCATTTACTTGGGGCAAGGCGAGATGCTGGCATTGTAGAAACCATCCCAACTTTGGTGCTCGCGAACATGCTCGTAGGATGGTGTGCTCCATCTCGAAAAGGCTGAACCTCAGGTTGGTCTGGGATCATCGGGAGTGGTATGGAGTGGTCATACAATTTCCGACTTCGTGCAGAGTTAGGTCTGCACCACAGGGTCATAGCAGGCACCAGGTACTGGTACATTGGTTCAGTTCTCTCTCAGCCTTGAGCAGTAATCCGGCACGAAAGGGTGGCCAAGATACCCGGGGGTTTTTCGACCCGAGTGAGCTTTAACAGTTGCAGCCACAATCATGAAGGCTTCTTTGGGAATGCTCATAGGGTCGGACCGCAACTGGAAACGGGGGAAGATCTGACGGGATCTCGCACGCAGGGGTGCATCCTGGCATATAGTTAGCTCGAGCTTGGCGAGTGTGGCTTTGCTCTGACTTGCTACCACTGCGCTTCATTATGTGCGTCAGATACTGAGATTTTCTGAGATGAGGTGTCGTCGCTATAGTGTTCCTCTTCATGCCGCGTCTTACGGATGGGTCCTGCATGTTTGCCATGAAGCACGCGTTGCGTCTCCGAATTCGGAAGTGTTGCATCGTGACTTCTCCAAGTCAGTATGCTCAGCTTGAAAATTAGAAGGTTCTGCAATCGCAGAGTTCTGCAGTCCGCACGTACTTGTACAAGAGACTGATTGCCTAAATTATGACGGCTTCGTCATTTTCGAAGATGTCTGGATATAGCTGCCGATAGGACCGCTCCTCCACGTGCCCGCAAACTCGCGAAGGGCAGCACCAAAGCCGCGGCCCTGAGCCGAGTCTCTGACACTTGCAATCCATGTGCACAGCTTTGAAGTGCGGGTACCAAGGCGAACACCGAACACCTATGGAGTCTTGGCGAAGTTAGGCCCTAGAGACCGTGAGTGTGACCCTCAGGCAACACAAGTGGCAACCGCACTGAGGGAGAATCAGGAGTCAATTGCAGTCTGGGGATGACTGCAGGCACGAAGGGAGAGGCACGTGCCAAGAGGGATATAGCATGCTCAGAGCACGAACGTGTTGAAACAGTACATTGTGGTGGCGTGTTCACTCCTTCGGAGACGTCAAGTCGGTTGAAGGAGCGGCTACCAGTAGGGGCGGAAACCCATGGCCCGCAATCAGGTGCTCACATCTATTCAGAAGTTCACCCTGCAGATGCCTGCAGCATAGAACCTCCCAAGCCCAATCCCACACCTTCCGAAATGCTCGAGCATAGGCGGCTGAGGCCTTCCACATTGAAGAGCCATTTCAGTTGCAGCGTCAGGGCGACCAGGAGCAGGCAGAACAAGGAAATCCAGCCAGCCATTTCCGAGCCTTGCTCTGCATTCGCCTTATCGAGAGTAGCGCAGAAACCAGTGAACCCAAAGGGTTGAACAGTGCAAGTCAGGGACAGCCTGCTTACTTTGAAAAAACATATGTCATGTACAGAAAACCAATCTGCTAAGCAGCGAAGCGGCAATTAGTAGCAAGAGGTCGAAATCAAGATCGAACTGGAGGTACGTATAAACAAACGCCAAAAAGACGCTTAAGACCACGAAGATGAGCCGCAAGCATCGAGAGTGTATGGAAAGCGCGCACTTCAGCATTCGCAGACAGCAGGGGTAGAAGATGGGAAGCACCAAAAACACCACCACCGTCCATCCAATCACTTCTGACAGCAAAAACGCGCCCGGTCCGGAGTAACCATACTTCCGGAGGCAGGTTTCATCACTGCACGACAGAAAATCCGATGAGGAGAGGAAAGCTATAGGCATACCAGTTATCAAGCAAAGCCTGTAAGGCACGTAGAGCTCATCTCCGATGCTTTGAAGCACGGCATCTCGCAAAGGGCCCTTGACATACTCGTTGAAAGACTGCAAGGATGTTGCTGCCTGAGTATCGCAGACCGGAGATTCCGTCCATCCCATAGAGCTCTCATCCGCATCCTGCGCATGCAGCCTGTGGGGACGAAAGACTTCCTGGATTTGTTGCTCCACCAAAAGACGGTCCGACTGCAACGTGCACTGCGCGGCCCGGTAGTCAAAGGCTGCCATTTGCTCCAGCATCACAGCATGGCACCACAATTTCGTGCGAAAGGCGATGATCAGGGGTGGTGCTGCAATGAGGCTCCACAAACTTGAAGCCATGCAGTCGGCAAGTGTCCGGTTAAGGGTTAGTCCGCCCGAAGGGGCCCATTGCATGTCGGTGACATAAAAGATGTACCTCCAGTGACAATCATAACAGAATCCAATGCGTAGCAGTTAAGTAAAATCTTGGACTTGACCTTGACTCTGTCCTCGAAAGTTGATACAAGTTGACTCGCGCGGGCTAGGTCCTATGATTCCATGACATATGAGCAACCTTGGACTGTATAGTCTCACACTCTCGATGACACGGTGAGGGCCTGAAGCGGTCTTGTTTCCGTAAATCTTGTCTCTGCCCAGTCTGGGCTTGTTTGGCCTCTGCTTCGGAGGGCTCTGGGCTGCTGGATTCCTCTGGATAAGCCTTTATCGTCTTTACGAAACACCACACCTCAGACATGTGAGGATGTTAAAACATAGGCACATGCCCGTCGCTCCAAGCAGGCCCAGCATCAGCGCCGACAGGAACCATGGAGCTCGCCAAAGAGGCAGAAACTGCACCTGCCACACGGGATGAATTTCACTCGAAGACCCAATGCCATCTGAAAAAGAATCCTGTGACCTCAGTAGAATTGGAGTAGTAGCCGTAGTAGCACAATAGTAGCACTGGCGGAATACAGTTGTACAGTTGTAGTGGAAGTGGCGGCGGCAGTAGCAATAGCAGCAGCAGGAGTGGCAGCAGGAGTAACAGTAGGAGTAATTGTAGTAGTAGTAGTAGTAGTAGTAGTAGTAGTAGTAGTAGTAGTAGTAGTAGTAGTAGTAGTAGTAGTAGTAGTAGTAGTAGTAGTAGTAGTAGTAGTAGTAGTAGTAGTAGTAGTAGTAGTAGTAGTAGTAGTAGTAGTAGTAGTAGTAGTAGTAGTAGTAGTAGTAGTAGTAGTAGTAGTAGTAGTAGTAGTAGTAGTAGTAGTAGTAGTAGTAGTAGTAGTAGTAGTAGTAGTAGTAGTAGTAGTAGTAGTAGTAGTAGTAGTAGTAGTAGTAGTAGTAGTAGTAGTAGTAGTAGTAAGTAGTAGTAGTAGTATCGAGTAGTAGGAACAGCACCCGACGTTTTGCACCCTGTTTGCTCAACTGATTTTCACTGAAATGAGTTTTGATACTGGGACATCAATTTTAGCATCTTCGGCTTGCACCTGGGCAAAATGTTAACGTCCCTGGTGCAGTCAAGACCCCAATCCTAAGCTCCATCGGTTTAGGGTTGAGAGTTGATTAAGCCATGTATTTTCTGCAGCCGTTGTGTTTGGGCGCCCTCGTTTCCTGCTTGCTACTGTGCCTCCGGCCAAGATGGCCGGGAGCAGACAAAGTCCAAATGCCAAGGCAGACAGGCAGGGACAGACTGCTCGGGACTTCCGCAGACCAGAAAAAGCAGAGCTACAAATTGGCCAGTGTTACCACGCAAACAGATAGACAGAAACCTTAAGCGCTAAGCCCTCATGCCCTCAGCCGTTCGCCCCACAAGTCCTTAAAGGACCCCTAGGATCCGCCTGACATCCTCTGACAACCCTTAATTGCACTGCCCTCTTCGGCAGTTTAGGCAGGTTTGGGGGAGGTGTCGAGTAGTTCATGGTCTATGGCTGTCCAGAGGGCCCGAAAACCTCGAAAGCAAACCCCGATTACTTGCGGATAACTTCTGCCACCAGGAACCTTTGATTTGTGAAGTGCTCCTTCACCTACACTCCACTCTTTTGCTATCCCCTATTCAAGTACCCTTACCATTACCAGAAAGGGGCATTGTGAAAAATCCGGCCGAACACGGAGCACATTCAGCACCTTTGTCTTATCGGCACCTTCTTCGCACCACCGTACTTCGCAAAGGTCCCGAGCTCTAGCTGGCACCAAAGACGCTGAAAATACTCCTCGTCCCAGAGCCTGAGATGTCAAAGCAAGCGAAGAGAGCTTGGCGGGCTGTGGCGCCTTAGACCTTGAACAGTTTTCTTGCCCTGCTCAGGCATTGCATTCTTGTGAGGGAAGGTCGTGAACACTGTAACACCTGCAACAACGACGCCTGGCTTGTAGCTTCCAAGTGCAACTGAAGGGAATTCTGCTCCGAGAAGCATATCAAACGATGCGACAAAACAATCACCGAAACCAGCACAGTGATAACGAGCCCTCTGAGTGCAGCCCAAGGTACACGAGCATGGAAGCGGACCGGGAAACGAAGATTGGTAATGCTTCGATCTGCTGCTGCTTCAGGGTGTGGTCCGTTTGATGGATGCAAGCACGGTCCACCCACAGAGATTCTGGGCAAAGTCGGCCCATGGCATGGTGCCCGAAGAATAGGCCAACAAAAAACACCAACATCGGGAGGTAAACAAGGCACCCAAGAAACCTTGGTACCAACTTACAATGGCAAAGCGTCACGACACTTTGGAAACTATGCAACTTTGCATGACAATGAAAAACGGTCTCATGCTTCTAAGCAACAGAAGGTGGTGAGTCAGCGCACTCACTTTGGCAGCGCTTGAAAACTCGATTGTCGCCACAGCGGCGGAAGCCAAGGCCCACGTGCAGGCTGAGCACATCACAGCCAAAGAAACATTCCTTGGCTTGGCTGATTAAGCCTTTTGATAGGGCTTCTGTGGCTCGGGTCATGCAATCAAAAACGCTTGTCTTGCCCTCGAAAGTGAGTTGTAGCGGGTTGCGGTGCGCTGGCCACCCCCCTATTTACAACAGCGTTACGCCAGCCAGCCTATTTGCCTTGCCGAAGGTTTACTTAAAGTTTAATTTGAATAATTGCAGGTGTTCCTTTCGCCACGTCAATGATCTTGAACTTGCTGGTCAAAAGGCGACATGCTAAAACCATGCCTTGGTGGGTTCATGCACTTCGTGTCCTTTCTTTCTCTACAATGGCCTTAGCGGCTGTTTATTGGTGCTTCAGGATTGTCCTCATTTATGTGTCTGTTCTTCTCTCTTCTCGGTATTGTCATCTTTCTGTCTCGATATCTCTGGGATCTATCTATATATATATATACATACATACATACATACATACACAACACATGTACGCGTACACGTGCACGTACACAAATCTGTATGTATGTATCAATATCATCTATATATGAAAATTTGTGTATACTCAGACACATGTATATTGATAGTTATGGCAATGGGCTACTTAGTATCCCCCTGCAGTTCTAGACTGCTGTTTAACATGTCGACTTAAGGCAAAAGCCATGTGCCAGTCCAGACCATGATTCCTCGTATTTGACGTACAAACGGTTATTCATACAATACAGGTCGCAGAATTACTCCCCGTTATCTTTCTGTACATATCCGAAACTGCTTCGTGCTCTGGCAAACCCAATTTGCCAGAATGCTCATAAAGCTCCAATCCTTGCAACCTTGCTGGTGTTCTAAATGAACTATCCTGGCTTTTCAAGCCGATATTACTTGAAAAGCACATAGTTCCTCCTCATGACATTGGAGATAGCGTTGCTAGAAGTTGTTTATGTACCAAGCGATGCAAGCCAACAGCTTGTAACGGAGAGCTTGCTCAAACTAGGTCTGGAGCCATGGGCGGCTTTGCGGAGGGCCCCTGTTCCAAAGAGAGGCGGGGGCATGGAGGGGTGACTGAACTCCGCAGCTCAAGACCCCAGCCGTTTCACAGGAGGGAAGGAGGATGATCACATGCACAACCATTGGAAGGTGGTCTAAGCCAAAACACCCAATCATTCCAGGCGCAAGCTCAAGCCGCAAGGCGTTCTGTTCGGGGGGGAGGGGAGGGGGATGACCAAATGGGGATACCGTTGGGTGGGAGGGTGTCACGGGGGGAGGGGGGGGGGCCAGGGCGCAACCATAAACAGGAATTTCATGTCGTCGTGCTATTGCCTTGGTGTTGCTGTGATTTCATTTTGTATTTCTTCCTGTCTATCTCCCCTTGATGTCTTTCCTTGAACCGCTCACTCCAGCATGGCCACGACTCCCAGAGGGGTTCAACACCGATCCTCTGAGAAGAAATCCCACATTTCGGCTTCCCAGTGAGATATGTACATGAGTGGCGCGCCTTGGTGTAACTAGTTCGACTCCCGCTCCTCTTCCTCATGATCCTTGCACAGCTGCTGCTCCTCCTCATCACAGACATACACCACGAACATCAGCAGCACAATGGTCATCATCCTCGTCGTAACCAGCATTGTCATGATTGGAAGATGAACAAACGAAAGAAGCTCCGAACAGCAGCCAGGAGTCATGTGGAGGCACAAAGCCAGGTACTTCATCCACCGAGGCGAGCCCCAACGATGGCTGATAAAGACCTTATCATTAATGCATATTAATGCTGTTGTCAATAACACTGTTAATATTATTATTCTTCTTATTCTTCTTCTTATCATTATTATTGCTCTTATTGTTTGTTCGGAATTTTACTTGGTAAGGCAAGGCCTTCGGATCAAGCTTCCAAGCTTTGAGGCTTGGATACAGACAGCAGCTCTGACAACGTCGTGACAGACCGCCGGCACGGCTACGACTGCCGAGACAACTACAAGACAGTCTCATGACGTTGCTCCAATGGAAGACCACTGGATCCCAAGGCTACTCCAAGACGGATCCAAGTGGAGAACGTGACACCGTCGCTATATAGCGACAGAGTGCAAGGTGCCAGGGTCCTAATCTTGGCCAAGGAACGTCCACACCTTCTACCGGGGAGGTGGTGCCGAATATTTTCGCACCAGCATCAAGCACCTCTCAAGGGGTCGGACGGTTCACAGGTCCCAGCAAACTATTCCGACCAATCCCTTGACAGCTCGGGCGCAGGAAATCTTCAGCTTATTGACCTAGAAGAAGCTTCAGCTCCCGGGAAGACACATCGTTGTGATTGTACGAGCCGACTCGCTTGCTCTTATTGTGCTTCCATGGTCGGCTTGTCGAGCAGGACTGAGCACAGCATCTCCTCCTGTATGGTTTGCAAGCACTCCGCAGGCCATTCAACTGGGACAACCAAAACTTTTCAATGTTGAGGGAATGCGAACGAGTACGCGGTCAAAACCGATACGTGTAGGGCTCGAACCAACACCCTGAACAGCCCCCCCCATCCATGCTAGAACAGCGCCTCCTCCTTGGTCGGAATCTTGTTCGGCCGGAAGCCTCCCGCACCCAGCAAACCTCGACGCAGATCTCTTTTCTCAGGACTCTACGAGAGTTCATGCACGCCTGGCAGGCCCTCAGCAAAGATGGCCCCACGGCTGGCGAGTATCCTGAGGTGCACTCACGCGGTAACTGCAGTGATCTTGCCTTACAGGCATGCGTCTCTGCATGGATGTAAAGTGCTTGTTGCTTGTGATTCCCTTGAGCCTTCTTGCCAATCCAAAGTGCCTACGGAAAAAACGCACCTCGCTGGAGCTAGAAACAACCGGCAAACAAATGGCCACAAACGTCAGTATACGTCAGTGCTACTTTGGTCTTCAGGGTCGTTCTGCTTTCACTATGAACACGATTCCTACTATATCATCTGTATCTTCTCCTCCTCTCCAAAACATTTTAAATCTCCCGTTGCATGCTATTATGCTGCCGAAGCACGTTGCGGCCGAAGTCCCACGGAAAAGCCCCTGCAGCGGCCATAACACTAAGGCTGCTTGAGCTCTGGCTGTGAAGCTGTGAAGTATCAACGAATGCGTCCTATGTTGCATGGTTTTGCATTCATATCGCGAATACACATTTTGCATGCTGTAAGGGAGCTTTGTGCAGCGAACGTGTTAAGGGTTGCCGTGGCCAAAAGTCTTCCACCTAGCTGGCCTGTACCAGTGCAGTGTCAGAATTGCTGTGCGTTGGTGCTTTGGTTCATGCCTTAAGCCTGTATATTTGGGAAAGTCGCCGGCTTAAACGTGACAGACCGCGAACTTGCAAGAAATGCGATGTCAAAGCATGAGGTCGAAAACTAGACAGGCCATGCCGAGAGATTGAGATTATGCTCTCGCTCTCGGACAAGCCAGACGAGAAACTTAGGATTATCAGCACCCCCCGAAGCACCTCGCGAAGGACTCGGTCGAAGGACTCGATGCGCCGAAGGCGCTCCATGGACGAGGATGAACAGTCTAAGACTGATGGTCCATGGACATTAACTGTTGAGCCGCATCGGGTTGGACGGGTCAGGTTCTTAACTCTTTCCCCACCGCCACAATTAGTGACGTAATACTGTGGCATGGGCCCGGCCGTGTTTTCTGCAAGTCCGGTCATCGAAAAGTGCCCACGACCTAGTGGCATCTGCGTGAAGCTGCTGGGGCTAGGACCGTTGTTCGTGTCCCAACGTGCACACGTTACAGCTGCAGGTCTGCCCCGCTTCCGTCATCCTTCAATTCAGCTACTATATGCGGCCAATCTCGGCAAACCTGTATGGCAGCAGTACACCAAAACCCAGCTCCGTAGTCACTGTCACTGTAGTCGTTGGAGGACAGTCAACAAAGCCATGCAACTTCCGGGGCCAATGCCAATCCTTCAACGCGCAAACCTCTGGCACCCCAAGCTTCCTGCCTACACAAACAGATGGGAACCTGCCTTCCAACGGAACATATCAACTGGTCCGGTCTTCTCTCGCTGAGCTACTCTTGTCCACCAACATTGACCATGCTCCGCTGCAGAAAGCTGCTCCACACCTTACCGATTGCAACGATGAACTTTCTAAGAAGATTGTTCACGCGACTTCATGGTTTTGCGGGCGTTCCGACGGAATGCCCGAGTGAGGAAGATCCAACAACAAGTGCTTGCTCATGCGCATTACTCCGAGTGTCCCACTTTGCAAAAGAAACAAGACCAGAGCTCTGACTTGCCTTCCGACTCCTGCACTCATAAATACGGCTTCGATAGCCTGCGCACATGGTGTCAACATGTCAGGGAGCGAAACTCGGCAACGAGCCTTGGCAGCTCGGGCTAAGCACCCATCAGGACACAGCTTCTAACACTCTCGGCAAGAAGAGCTCCAAATCAAGACCGGGCGGCATGCATCGGGAAGAGGTTGCTGTGGAGGTTGCCTAGGTCGGCGGTCGGCCCAAGAGAAAACAAGTTCGCACAGCTCCGGAACAGGCTATCCCCCGCCTGCCAGGTGAGAGTGTTGGCACACTCTGGCACTGCAGGGTCTCTGTGCGTGTGTGTGTGTGTGTGTGTGTGTGTGTGTGTGTGTGTGTGTGTGTGTGTGTGTGTGCACGCAGAAAGATAGTCTGTCCATGCGGCCTTACTCTCTGGAAGGTGGTACAGGGTGCCAAACTCTACTAGCGAAGCACGGGCGATTTGCACTGATCTATCCTTCGACCACCCATGGCAACAGTGCTATACAAGTATGCAGTATGCTCTATATAGGTTACCACCAGTCGATGGACATGACTTGGCAAGTGGATTACACAAACGGAGAAACCTAATAAAACCTCTTGTCTGGTTGCTTGTTTTCACCAAGGATGCCTTGGGAGGCCTGAGTCCGGGTGCCCACCCCGCCCGCTCTCATCTTATTCTTATTCTTATTTTTTTTGGCTCCCACTTGGCTGGTCGAAGACCGCATAGCAGGTCTTATTCTTATTATTGTTCTTATTCTTCTTATTATTGTTCTTATTCTTCTTATTATTTATGATGAAGACCTTTGCGATGCTCTGAGTCTGAGCCTCGTGGCCGCTCTTGCCCCCACCAGCCCGGCCCGCCAGGCCTGCTCCAGTTTGTTGTTCAGGGTTCCCCAGATGATTTTGTGTTTTCAGCTTTTTCTGCTTTCTTTATACTTGTTCATCTGCTGTTTTGGGGTTTCTCCATACGAGCGAGGATTGTAACACTAACATTGTATGCGCTTGGGCATTCAGCGGCTGAGGCGACTGCGTGCGCCCACCACGCACCTTAGACTTGCAAGGAGTTATATACTATAATATATATATATGTATTGTATATATAGGCACTCAGATGCAGTCACTGCAAGTGACCGTTGCGAACCCAGGCGCAGCCATGCCAAAGTCGAGGCATTGAGCACATTCAGCCAAAAGGCCAACTTCTCTTCCTGAAGGACAATGCTAGTCCGCTGGGGCATTTCGGTTTCAGGCGCTCTCTTTGTTCGGGACTTCGAAGAGCAACGGAAATCGCATTGAACAACACTGGGTGGTGTGTCGCATGTGATCAGATGCCCCTGCCGGCACGCATGCTTGTTCGAGGCGTTCTCGGGGCATGCTCGACGAGAACTTCTGTCGGTGCCGCACAGGGGTGGGCGGATCGCCACTTCGACTTCGATCGGAGCAATATTGATGGCATTCTCGGCTCGATTGATTCGCGTTTAGACTGTGCTGCAGCACATCGCGCGTCAAAGTCAAAGCCGAGTCGCGGCGAACCCGACCTGCCCTGCAGCAATTCAAGGACGCTGCTCTCACGACGCCTTCACTGCTGCAGGACTTCGGCGTGCTGTCGGTTGACTGGTTGACGTTGGTTCATCCAGTACTCTCCTCTCGGCGCCAAATGAGACGAGCATCGTGCGTCAACTCTGCAGGATGACATGCTTGGAGCTCACCTTGGCTCCGAGTCGCACCATAGCTTTTGGCGAGGTAAGTTTCGGTTTGGGGTTCACCTTTGCACATCGACACGAGTTTCATCAATAGTGAGCCGTCGGTGTCGCCGGCAAAGAACCACAATCACAGCCATGTCAACATAACTTGCACGTGAACAGTGCAGCTTCCGAGGGGCAAGCTATAGTGACTACAATAACTACAATAATCAATTCAAGCAGTTCGCTTTTCAACTACGGTATGACGACTTCAACCGTGATCCCTCAAAACAACAATGACGTCAGTTGCTTCTACATACGTACACCTACAACCAACACATACAAACCTTTTCCTACCTATACCGACACACGTACAAACTGCCGACCTTTCTAGTTGCCTACCTATACTTGCATGGCCTAACTAAGCTTATCGGTAACACTGGGTGCATCTGGTGTTATGTTCAGACGACAATGACCAAATGGCAGCTACGCCACAATAACTTGATTCGTGGCTCTAGTGTTAGGCACAGGGCAGACTTCAACACCAACCTGCATATGCTGAACTAGCACAGCACAGTCTAAGTACTGCATAGGGCGGAACGGCAATAGCCTGCTTCTCTTATTCGCTGGCTTGCATCCGTGACTAAACTGCAAAGTTGTATGGAACCGATGCCACAATGCAGGCCACCGCAATGTTCATGCAGACGCTGCCGGTCATGTCGAACTAGCTCTGCTTGCGCCAAGGCCAAGGGGCCGAAACGTCTTCGCAGCTCCGCTACCAAAGGGGATAGCTCCGACTCGCCTGCCTCGACTCGCGGACCTCTCCAAGCCCGGCCCCCGAAGCCTAGGGCCTAGGGTCTTCCTGGAGCCTCTTGGCTTGGCATAAATCTTGTTGGGTTCGCTACGTTCACATGGAGCAGCAATATTTTTTGGGGGGGCTGCATGCAGCAGCATGCTTTGTGGAATGGAAGACTGAATCCAGGACCGTCGTACATTTTGATCCGTGGCTGCAGCTTTAGTTGTATGGGATCGAAAAAATGGCCGCCGATGCCTTCGGCTTGAAAGCACGTCACCTCGGGTTTCCTCTGGCACACGTTGACAAAACAGGTATAACACCATATCAGTCCAAGCATGTAACTTTGTTGAAGCCACTCACTGACATAGTGGAAGCTGACAGAAGCAACAAATTGCAGAAACCTGCCAAGTGCTGTGCCAAGGTACGAGTGGGACTTAGGTGGCTTGTAGAGCTCAAGACATTGGGATCGCTGCTGCGGCCCTGTTTCCGTGATCTCTCCGAGGTCCTCTCGGGCGAAATAGCAAGAGGAGAACGAGTGCCGAAGCTTCGCGAAGGGCTCACCGACACGGACAAGGAAGGGCTCACCGACAAGGAGGCCAACGTAGCGCTGCGACGTGGTCTCCGCCCTCCTCTCAAAGGAGACAGATGCTCTTGGAAGCCCTCCTCTGAAGGTGCGACGCTGATGCTCGGTGCAGTGCGAGAGAAGCGCACCCGCTTCGCCCCCCCATCTGTGCCGGCATGTCGTACCGCCTCCCTTTGCATGTCTTCCGACTGCACAGCTTGCAAGCACATGAATGCGCGCCGAAGCAGGTCCACGGCCACCAGGCACGGGTGCCGAGGCGTCTTCAAACAGCGATTGAGCATGTTGAGGACGGGCATCTCAACCGCCTCCACCTCCTCGAACTCAGCCTTCTTCCAAAGACTTGACAAATCTACGGTACCCCTGACATGCCAGGCTAGACCGTGCAGCATTCCAGTCTAAATGCATCAGTGCCTCCAGCGACAGAACACCGAACACGCGAGAAGGACAGACCCTTTTTTGCCCACCCGTTGAAGGTGTGGTGCTGGGGAACACCTGCTACTTACAGGCTTCGGGGTCTACATGCGCATCCCGCTACCTTGCCAGAACTTCTCAAGTGCCTTATGCTCGGAGGAATGGCCGTAGTCCAAGCGACCCTGAACTTTTCCATACATGAGTATGTATGTATGTACGTATACATATATACATACGTGCAAGTGTATGTATATATCTATCCATGTGTGCATATATATATATATGTATAACTCTATGTACATATACCTGTATATATATATATATATATATGTACAGTACAAATGGCTATACACACGCTCAGATCCCAAGCCGCAGCTCCTAGGCTGGCCCAAGTAACATTGGCCCTGAACCACAACCGTGCATTGGTACCAAGCAGCCAACAGCTCCCTGTCCGATTCCACTTCTCCGATACGCTGCGTCACAGTTTCCATCTCCCTTCCACGTGCAAAGCACGAAGGGAGAACATTGCACATGGACCTGGGCAGGAGCTGAACTGGTCATGTCCTGCCTCGTGCGGACATGGGCTTCTGTAGACGTCGCGCTGCTGCTTTGCAGCCAGCTTCGTTTTCTGACATGTAGTTAGCGGGACAAGTAACCACCGGGGATTTGGGCCCACAGATCCACATCCCTCTGATTTTTTGCCTACCTGAATCTACCTGACATCTGCAGCATGTGCAAACACTTGGACCTGCTCTGGAGTGTTTCTATATGTTTCAATCCATTCCGTGGTATTTGAGCTATTTCGTGGCGTTTGAGCCCATGCCCTCTCCAAAGAGGCCTCGTCGACAAAAAGCTTTCCACAGCGATCACGCCACAAAACACGAAACGAGGAAACGACAAGGGATTCCCTGTGGTTCGGAGCTGGAGGCAAGTTATGAACATGACGGTTCACATGCGCTGCCATTTGCGCTACGAACTGACATCACAACCCGTCAGGCCGTCTGAAATCGCTGCTATTCGGTCTACTAAGCGCGACAAGTACTACAGCATACGCACAAATTCCACAGGATCCGAAGTAATTGGTGTGTGTGTGTGTGTGTGTGTCTGTGAAAAACAAGCATATAAGTGTGCATGTATATATATATATATATGTACACACACACATATATGCACAGAGTCAGCAGTAGAACAATTTCTGTTCCAGTGCTTGTACGAGCGCCTACACAGCCAGTCTTGACGCACATGGCTGTTGACTTGCAGCTCTATCAACCTCATGCGACATCCTGCCTTCCCAGGATTTTTGCATCCAGGCCTAGGACAGGATGAAGAATCAATCTGCAACATCTGGTCCCGACGACTGCCTGGCCTGTCCTCAAAGCTCCGTCTGACTCGACCCCTGCCCACACTGTTTCATTGCGCAAAGCCTGCAACTCTCGAGCTCGCAATTGGCGTGCCCAGGTGTCATTTGTGCGAGGCGATAAGATAATGAAGGAATCTACGAATGCATGCTCTTCTATCTCCCTCCTTTGGAGGGGGTTCCTAATTAAGGCTTAAAAAAGGCATAGACCGGAAACTCGAAGCTGTCGAGCATGCTTCGCTCCCAGCGGCAAGCCGAGCCCAGTGGAAGCCCGGTCCGCGGGTGAATGGGAGCCTTGCGCTCATAGGCGTGCCCGGCGATCACGATCTCCGATTCGCCCCAGCCATCCGGCTTGCCGTTCCGAAAGCTCTCCCTTGGACTTGGGTGCAAGGACCGGGCTGCAAGACTTAAGCCCACAGGGTGAGGTCCTCTTCCGATCTTGCGAGACTGCCGAAACCGAATCTGCAGGCGTGCAACCGCCATGAGACATACCAACCCCACAAGCCCCAAAGATCGCTGTCCAGGGCAAGGCTCCGAGGCAGCCCGAGCTCATCTGCTGTGGCATCTGACACCTCCGGCGGCTTCGTTAATTCGCTCTGTTACAACCTGTGGGGGAAATCATGGAATAGCCCACAACGCGACGTTCTAGACTCTCCGGCTGTAGAGGCCGAGCAAACGCTTGTTTTTGCATCTGCGCTGGAAACTCTGCAGGTGCCTCGGAGGACCCGGCGCCATAAAGCGTCACCCATTCCTGAGCGAGACTCGGCTGAAACAGGAACCGAAACGGCTGAGGCCGTTCAGGATTCAGAGCCCTTGAGCCTGTACGATGGGAGGGGCATGGAGGGGCTTGACATGGCGTGCTCACGAACCCAAGGCACCAGCAAAAGTCAAGAAATGGCCACGGCCCAACAGCCAGCAGTTGAAGGCTTCGCAGGCGCACGACAGAATGACCGCATCTTCGAGATTCTTCGAGACGGATTGAATCTAAAAGCAAAAGACCTCCTGGAGTTGCAATTGGAGCCATGTCCCAACAGAGGGCATCTTCATAGCTGGAAATCAGCTGGGTTGCCTAGAGGTACTGAAAGCTTGGGGCATCAACACTGCGGTAGCTAAACTCAGCCTTGCTAGGTCAGCCTATGACCTGGTCTCCGAAAGACCCTGAACCCCATCTTCAGCAGAGGTGTGTAGACGTACGGCGTGTGTAAAGAAAGCCCGCGCGCACACACAGAATATGGTTCCAATACGGATCTAATTTGCCAGCACTCCAGTCATACGATCGACCGAGTGACCGGTTTGAAGATGTTGGAAACTGTGCAGCACATCACCTCTGGCTTCGTCCCGGGTGCTTGTCTTTTGCTTTGAAGCTTCGCGAGCTCTTTGACTAACTCCTCCGGGTGGCCTTGCCCTCCTGCTGGCGTTCCCTTACCAAGCGCAGCCAGCGGCAGCACCAGCCTTGGTGAGATGGGGAAGATCCGCGCTTTCACAGTTCCGCTCTCTGATTAGGCAAACCACTTTAAGTGATTCTATGTGGTTCATGGAATTTCATGGACGTGCTTCCGAGACTGATTCCTGATATCGTGCAAGCGGAAGGAAGACCAGGCAGAGAAGCAGTAGTGTGGCTCAGGATTTCCAGATGTGTTGTGACTGCCAAGAACGTATGGAAGGCGAAGTAATGCAAGATCATTCTCAACACGGTAGTATAGTATGCTCTGCCGAGGTCCGACATGCGCATCGTGTCTCGAGCTGGGAAACAACTTCCCACAGGTAATCGGGACCAATAGTCAACAAAATTCAATGGCAACAGTGAGCCCGACGAGTAACCAACCCTTAAGCCGGTCATCGTGAATCAAGATGGGTCGCTGAACAGACATGGCATGTGTCGATGTCAGGATGGATGCCTTCAATGTTCTGACCAAGCAGCAAACATAGCTTCGGCCAACTTCCGGATAGGAGGTTTTGCTGCGGGACTCCACCATGGATCTCCACTTCGCGTCCTGCTCCGTGAAGTTCGGCAAAGGAACCTGGCTGGTTCTAATCACCGGGGATGCATTGATACCGTGTGCACGTGCCGCTGACCAACGCAGGGGACGAAGCATCAACAACTCGATAGGTCTCAATATTCAAAGCAAGTTTGCGGAGTTGTCCAAAATACTCGGAGAGCAAAACACTACAACCGCCGGCGTCCTAGGCCAACTTCCGACAAGCAGGCCTGGTCTCGGCCACAGTCGTGGTTTGGATGCACCCAATCTCCTTGGCTGCCCATGACATCGTGTGACATCTTATTGTCTCAGCTGGCTCGTAACGAAGCAGTGAAGCGCCGTAAAGTCGCCGAGATCGGCGGTGTGTCCCCACACCAACTCCTCCCCAAACCACACCGTCGAGATGCCTCAAGCTTGTGTCGTCACGGGCAAGAAGTCTGGCTTGTGCAAGTCTTTAGATAGGTTCTGCTCAAAGCAGTGGCCGTCAGAGTGCTCGCTCTGAGCAAAATTTACTTGACGCAGCGCCCATCCAACAAATCTCACGAACTCTGTTTGAGATCAAGGCACCTTTGTCTCCGCTCTCCCTCTTCATGCTCCTGCTCACCTGCTGATGGGCTGCAGTTCAGCTGTGTGACTGAAACGTTGCATGCTGTAGGCCTTCAGACCTTACCGCGCCAACATGATGGTCGCCATCGATTCCAGCATCTTTGCATAATGCTGCAGGGGTCTCGTGAATTATAAACTGGGTGCAGGGATGACATGGAGACTTCAAAATTGCTACAGTAAACCCCAAAAAGTTGGAAACCGGATTGATGATTAAGGACAAATAGTGCTGGGATTCCCGATACAGTACGCCAAGGATCATTACTCTCAAGGATTGAGGCTACTGGGTTTCCAACTTTTGGGCTTCTACTCTACTTCCTACTTCCCAATGAATATAACGCCTGGACCCCAAAAGTATGTAAAATAATAGCCTTTTTGGGGAATCGGGCCATTATTTTACCTACTTTGGGGGGTTTAGGCGCACACCCCCCCGCGGAGCTCCTGGTCGTAGGCCTGGCCCCCAGGAATGGAGGCCCCGGATGTCTGGAAGCGCAGCCTTTCAGGTGCTGTTGGTGTAGTATGCCTTTCTTAAACTGCTGCGGTGATGGTGATGAAGGTGCTATAGCCTGATTGAGGTATGAAGTACTCTTCCTACCGAGTCCTAAGACTAGCGCAGGTGCCTCTGTCTTGGCCCAGAACCTTTTTTCAGTATTTCGGACTGCACACTTGGGGTCTTTTAAGTGCCTTCATCCAACAAGCTGGCATCCAGCCCGCACCGTCCCCACCTAAGCTGGGTCTGCCGAACTGCTTCCCCCGTCCGATCGGACGACACTCTACGTAGCAGACCTGTTTCAGAATGAAAGCTCTGCACCACCCTATACTATAGTACGTAGGCTTATCACAGCTAGCAGCTACCTGCACAGGAGCCTTGACATCAGCGCCTTCAGTCGATGGCTGAGCCAGGAATTAGCAAGAAAAGCGAAGCTAATATAGGGGCCTTCATGATTAGAACAGGTTTTTAGGTCCCATTATACCATAAATGTAAAAAGGAATCCCCAAAGAAAGTAGAAATTATTTAGGCTCCTGTAGTACATGCCATCCATCTTTTGCGATCTCGAGATCTTCTCCATGCCGCGCATTGCGGAGCTCGCACAGGTGCAGGGGACTCAGTGGAGCTTTCGCCATTTTAGAAAGGCTTCTGATTGAGTTGGCTTTTTGGGGTCGCTCTTCCTAGGTGAGTCCCTCCTGTCGGTGGAAAATTCTAGATGAGGACTGGCCAACCCACAGCACTCACGTCTACCACGGCGCCTTAGACGCTTGAATAGTCTCACGAAGTGTGAGTTGAACAATGGCATCGGCACAGTGCAATTCTCACTCCAGCTTCGACATTTCTTCCACCAGCTCTTTACGAAAGAACTGTAACATCTCTGTCTCGTGCTGCAGGCGCTTCTTCATACCTTCAATGTCTTCACCGAGCCCCCGCCGAAGCCACCGTTCAATGATCTTCAGCTGCACTTTTTCCTGAAAGCCCAAGCCATCTTGGTTCTTGGAGAGCATCAGCTGAACCTCAACCACCCCTGAAGCCAACAGTTTCATCTTGTCCTCAAGCTCACTGGCCAACCTCAGGATCTTGCGAAGTTCCGCTGGCTTCGGGGGGTATCCGCAGGAACCACATCCCAGCCCCAGTGCTGTAGCATCGGTCTGCGTTACATCCACCGCCCACCGAAAAGCATCTGCAAGCCCGTGTCTTGGAAATTTGGAACTCCTCTCCACCTCCTTGCCAAACTTGAATGTCATGCTGATAATGTCCTGAGCCGTGCTGCCGAGACCTGGCACCGAAAAATTTGGGCCAGCGGGAGCCTGCAGGCCCCAAGGACCCCGCGCTTGCAGCATGGCCATGCAAGCCGCCACACAAACCAGGAAGCGCTTCCGAGCATCTTGCGTGTGACGTGCAAAGGACGACTCGGCCATGGCTTGCCTATGCCAGGCCGATAAGACCGAAAGTGTGAAGCATGGGGTGGAATGGACAAGCGCATGGAATGCAACTCTGAAGACGGACCACCGATTGCACATTATGCATGTCTGGGCTCATGCACAAGCTTCGATTCTTTCAGCCTGCGGGTACGAGAGGTGTGGATCTCAATCGCCCAGCTCCGACCCTTTACTGACCCTTTTGAAGTGCTCATTACAAGGCCCGACGTGCTCCGCCTACTCCCGATGTGAACTGCTCGTCACGCGGTCAGCTTCCCTATGCGCGCGGATAACGACAAGCAAAACTGCACCCAATGCACGCAGCTACAAGGGAAGACAGTCCGGCTTCCGATTGACTGCGGCATAAGGCCAAGAAACCGCCGCAGATGCAAGCGTGTTCAACCTCAACCCTGTTGTGGTACCTCATGTTCGGGAAGCATGCAGGGCTGCTGTAGTAGGTGAAGATGAGACCAGAACCAGCGAGCCGGCTGCACTCGGAAAGGAAGCCTTTGTCGACCTGCTGGCCCCCCCGCTGCTTTTGAACGCCCCAGCTTCGTGTTTCAAGAGAAGCTTGGGTGTCACTATTTCTATTTCTCAGGTGTCTGTTGTCCAAGTAAAGTAAATGCATGCGCACAGACCCAGGCCAAGCATAGCCATACGTACATTTCGTACGTATCTCTTTCTGTGTCTTACGGACTGACTATATACGTATCTGTGTGTGCCCCTTTACAGTCTGTGCCACTGATGCATTGGAAGAGACTGACCGGGATACTTCCGACTGCGAGCCGTTAAAACACAGCGGGCAATGAGACTGGGACCTAAACGGGAACACCATTCCGGGGCTTGAAGGAGTGAAGGAGTGGCCTCAGATGGGCCAGGAGAGGTGGGAGGGGCCGCAGCCTACAGCCTGGGACCTGAAAGGAAATCCGGGACGGGAGGTCGGCTGAAATTGGCATATCACTTGCTACGGCTTCGGTAAGAAGGCTGTGTTCTGGGTTGCAAAAATGCGAGTACTGTGGAACTCCGCCTGGAGGCTCTTCGAAGCGAGCTTCCCCAGCCAGGAGGCCCTCGTCCTCATGGAATCGGAACTTACTAGAGTCGCTGCCATGCACTGCCTGCGTGCATGCAGCGGAAAAGGGCTCCATCTGTCGGACCCGATCAGGTATGGGTATGTCAGCAGAGTTGTGTAAGCTGCCGTCACCCCGAGCCCCTGCGCCTGTGCACAGCCTCCAGCACGAAGTTCCGGTCCCCTCTCAGATCGGCTGGTGCATCCTCCGGAACGTTCCGGGTTGCTTCATTGAACTGCGTCAGCAAAGGGCCGCCCTGAGGCCCTCCATCATCAGCTTTTCGGCTAGCTCTGTGTACCGCATTGGTCGGTTTGGGTTTCCAGGTCAGTCTCAGAGGCACCTCTTAGCCGACCAATCGGCTCGCGAATCCGTAGCCTGAAATTAGCCCAGACTTACTGTAAAAACCGGAGCAACCGAAGGTCAGCCGATCTCACATCACCCCGGAGCCCGACCTCCAGAGAGCAGCCATCCCTCATGATTCTCACCAGCCATTCCTCCCGCAGTATCTCCTCCCGAGGACAAGAAAAAGCCATCAGGAAGTGGGTGCTGGACTATTGCAGCGACCTTGTACCCTGACACTCTTCATCGTGATGCTCCGGCAATGGAACTGATTGTCAAAACGCTTGGGATGATGTGGGATATAGGTCGAGACGTCTACCGGGATTACGATGCCACCCCGACATACTTCTTCCTCCGATAAGATTAACCCTCCCCCCCATCGCTTCTCGGTCCTGTGCCCGTCTGGCTGCTGACGCGTAGAGGTAGCGCTTGTAGCTGTCAGCTTGGCCGCTGCTTGCGCCGGATCCCATAGCATCGTGCCGTAGGCGCGGGGTAGAGCTTGCTACACTGTTTCAAACTCTGTGCATGTTCGCCAGGATAAACCACCGAGCTCGAAGTCACAAGGACGTGGAGCTCGTGATTTGAGATCTACGGATCTTTCTCAACTCCAGTTCGCCATTTGGGCGCTTGTTGACTGCATGTGCTTCTACAGCATTGCCACAATCTCTCGCTCGATATCATACACCAGCTCTGCATGTACGTGGGGCTGAACTCCTTGCAATCGGTTTGGGCGAAAGGCTTGTTTCATATCGCCCTGCTACGAAAACACAAACGTGCTGACTTGAGCCAAGTATGCAATGACATGCAATCGCAACTGCTCGGATACCGCACTCGGCATCACTGGGCCAGCCCCTTGCCAAGACACACAGGCTGCTTCACAGGGCCGGCTGCAGACGCGGATCGCACTGCCGAAGTACAGCCTGAAGGGCGGTCTTTTTCGCGTCGTCTGCACACCATCCCATGATTGTAGATTCTTTCAGTTCCAGAAAAACAGTCTAACAACAAGCAGCCATGGCGTACACAAATCCTCGAAACCACTAGGGTGCCAGTGCTGAATTCGGATGCAGTTGGGAACGGGCAAAGCACCGCAACTCAAACACAACCTCTGCCGATACTACAGTACTACAAGAATGACAATCAAAGCGGCGCTCACCATGACCGAGCAGGTACTTCTAAAAACCGAAAACTCTATGCTCGAAGTTGAGCAGCAGTCTCGCGCATCTGCCATCTGTGACCAAATCTCTGAAACTGCAAGCTTAAGGCATGATGTGGAAAGAGGGTCATCCCCTTAGAACGATGTCCACTCGCGCTTAAGGGGACTTTGTCCGTACACCCTCCACACAAGTCCACAGAAAGTGAGTGCACTGTGACGACATGCTGGTGACGTCGAAACGAGGCTTTACAAAGCTAGAGACAAACCCCTCAGTCTTGCTACCTGTGGAAGCTGAAAACAAACACAATTCTTGGGCATTTCTTTCGTATGTCACCCAGTGTCAAATGATGCATTTAGTTGGCAGAGTGGCACCCTTCCCCTCGACACTCCGAATCTCAACGTCCAACTGCATCCCGAATGGCAGACGGAGCGACCACCTGCACCAGCGGCGCACCCCTCCAGAAAGTGCTCAAGCATCTCTCTCTGATGCTTGGGCAACCTTTCACGACAACTTCGTTCCGCTACTCTGTAATTGGCACACCAGCGGCTCCTGATACTCCTCCTCCGCACACCACTGTTACTTCCTCTTCACTGCCAGTTCTTCTCCTACTCCTGCCCCTCTCCGAATCGGCTGCTACTGCTGCTACTGCTGACTATAATTAGAAAGGTAGTTCAATTCTTGCCGTTGAAATGTTGACGAATACTGAAATGCAATAGATCGCCAGCGCATGCGCTCTTGCTCGTAGCAAAGCCATCCAGCCGGACCCCAAGCCTAATGCAAGCATCCAGGCGCCACTCTGCAAGGGGCCCGTGAAACACTATTGACACTATTGGCTATAGGTGTAACGCCCCCGCCTCGCTGAAGCCTCCGATGTGGCGAAAGCTGACAGCAGTTTCGGGGCCCAGGAGCAGCTACGGCCTGTCAGTGATTCCCACGGAACATACGATGACCATGCTGTGGACACGGTCAGCCTTCCTGAACCATGGCCACAACGGGCAAGTATTCGAATCTCGAAGCTTTAACGTGGCGCGCCTTGTCCCGACTGGCTGACCAACTGCGCTTGCGACTTGACTGCCGCGACGAAGGTGTCCACAAACGACGAGCAAGGTGCTGCTGCAGACTGGCCTGGCAGGAGGGCGCTTTCGGTTGTGGTGTCTTGCGCTGTGGTGAGACCAGACAGTGCTTCTCCATACAAACTTCAGGGCAGTCATCTTGTCCTGCGAAACCATATACTGATACATTCTTCATCCTTCTTCTGCGAGAGGCACTTCCCTGCAACTCCTGGGTGCGATTTGCAGCCTTTGTCTCACGGCAAGTCTCACCAAGTGTCGGCACTCTTGTACCACAACTGTAGCCACTGTAGTCCACTCTGTGTGCTGCATGCCTCTTGGATGTGGGATAAAGGATCTGAAGCTTGGCATCAGACACTTTTCTAACCCTTTCAGATCCGTAGGCAACGGAAAGTCTGCACAACTGAGCTCTTCGGAAGCACCTAGCTGACCTAGCTTAAGTCATTGCCATTGTCCTCAGAAGTTACTCGAAAAAGCTCTGCATGCGGGAAAACATGGAAAAACGCCTCGCAAAAAGGGACAGTGCAAAACACCCGTCTGCAAGTAGCACTCCATGAAACGCAAAGATAATCAACAGCACAAGTTGAACTCTGCCGCCGTCCCAGGCGTTGTCGAGGTGTAGCGATGTCGTTAGGTCGGCACGGAGATTTTCCCTCATCGATCTCTGTGCGCTTGTAGCTGCTTGCGCAATCTATGCCCAAAGATTCGACAAGAGCGCTGCAGGTAGAGAGTACACAGCAGGTTTGATATTGTATTTTGCAGACTTGTGGACCTATAGCGTCTTACAGTCAAGGCCGCTCATGCAAAAGACGACGTCAACCGGCTGTGACCATTAACTCGGAGAACAAGTCTTAATACAAAAAGATCAGAAAACTCAATTTGGCGAGCCGCACATGCAGTGACAGACGGAAGCAGACCCTTTCGCAGCTGGATGCGTTTGCAGCCGGTTGCGAGGTCCTTGGCACTGTAATTGCTCGGCATCGCCTTATGCACTGAATTCACATCGATGGACGACGACGAAAAGGGCATCGTGCCGCGTCATAGTTCAAAAAAAGGTTGCGGACACGTCCTTAGAAAGTTGGCCATCGGGTACACGCCGTTGGGCCTGTAGCGGCATCACAGCAACAAATCGCAGGCTTGTAGTAGAACTGTTTCTCTCATACTTTGGCCATACGTGCCAGACCCACACTCGATGCTCATCAGGTCATGCGGTCACAGGCAAAGCCGAGAAGTAGTCCATGCGTGGCTGCGCATCAAGCACAGGCACGGACCGGAATGAAAACACGCATGTCAGACCAGGTTGTCCCTGGCAAACAACTTCGACTTTTGATGCTTCGGTTCAACACATATCTGACAGCAAAGCCGAAACGCCATCTTGACTTCGAGCTTCGTATGCGTTCATGTCCTTTGTTCCAAAAGACTCCAGGAGCAGCAGCCGTCTTTTCAGGTCTCCGTGTCCCTCCATAAAAAGACTCACAAGTAGTCACTAGCCTCAACATCCGAATATCGGAATGCTACGAATCAGAGAGGCACGTGCAAGATTGTTGGCTCCACATGTTTTGTCGTGGGGTTGTGCTGCAGTACCTGGTGGGATCAACCGGGTATTAAAATACCGACTAAGCATAACAGTCTTAAGCTACGAGTCACGAAGGGCCCGATGGAGACAGCGCTGCCCCACTTTAATCAGTTCAGCTCATGCCTATCCCACTTCGCACGCGTGCACCCGAATTGATCAACCTCGCCTCGAGATCCACTCAGAGACTCGGAAGTTATGAATCTGATGCGATCGGCGCATCGTGTAGTCGAAGGTGGCTTTTGAAGCAACGTTAAGGCCTCTCGAGCTGGCAAGACTCGAACCTCTCCGCTGAGGAGCTGAAACACTTCATCATCCTTTACACCAGCCGACCTCGCAAAGTCAAGGGCAGTTCGGCGTCGGGAAGTCTTCTGCAAAGGGTCCACACGCTCTGAAAGGAGCAGACGGATGATATCGATGTCGCCCTGGGCAGCAGCTACATGCAACGGGTATGTTGTTTCTGACCGCTTCCAAAAATAGCATCCAGCTTGCTGTGTGTTCTTCGGCTCGTCCACATCCCTGCTGAAGCCGTTTTCGAAGAGGAACTGGTCCAGCATCTTCCTCCTCTGCCGTGTCGATGCACGCACGGGTCGGGAATGCACACCCTTTCGATCCCGGTGAATCGATGATACAGCTGGGGGATTGTCGCTGTCGGTTGTGGGCTGTCGTGGTTGGGGAATGAGTGTGCCTGGGAGGATTACCTTTTGCATGCTGTCGTCGCCGTCGTTGGCAATCAGCCCCTGCTGTCTGGCCACAAAATCGAAAGTCGTCAATCCCAGCTGGGCAAGGTGGCACGACGGAAAGATCGCTTTCCGCTCCAAGTTTTCTTCATTGATACTCTGCTGGATCATCGGTCAAGCTGGCTGACGGGAGCACGGAGAGGCTGGCAACGAAGGCCCTTGAGCCGAGAGGCCGTCAAAGTCATGACTCGAGAATACAGCATCTTGTAGCGGCACCCGAACTCAAAAAAAAGGGGGAAAAAATCCTTGGAACCCCTGCCTTGAGATTCGCCCTTGTCCCTGGCGAGGCCAGGCCTGCAAGTCGCTTCCGGGGGTCGCTCAGCTTGTGATATCAGTCTTGGCTGCAAGTGCTTCCAGAGTTTCGACTCTGCAGAACGGCGTCGTGGTCGACGGTCACAAAAACAGTCCACACGAGTTCACGGCGCTTGTATGCTTCCGGTGTTATGGGAACAGCTGCTGGCGAATGTAAAACGCTCCCGATGCTGCGGTGAGGAGAACGGGGCTCTATCATGGGCTTCCACAAGCATTGCACCTCTGCCAGGTGGCCACATGCGTCCTCGAGCTTGCGACTGCCACGCCATTCGACGCCTCCGCACTCGTCGGTCTGGTCTTAAAACCCTACCATTCTCTGACTCATAAGGTTATGGATTTTCCAACCGTCCAAATCGGCTCCACGAAAGAGTCTTCGGAACCAGAATACTCCAACTCGGCAATTACTCACGGCATCCTTCGTGATCGTAAGACACTATACTGAGCAGCCATGCTGTAGTGGTAGGAAACCCATGCATGAGCACACAAGTCTGCATTATATGTGTGCGTGTATATATATATATACATATGTGTGTGTATGTAGGTGTATATAAATATATGTGTACACATACATACATGCATACATACACACATGCATACATACATACGTACACACGCACATACCTCATACATTCAGGCATGCATGCATGCATGCATACACATATGCACAGGCACACACACACACACTCGTAACGTTTCATGTACATCTGAAAAAAGCCAACAAACAAACCAAGCAAGCAAGCAATTAAACAGTTCAACAAACAACCAATGAAACAAACAACACAACACACACACACACAATCCAAGCATCGCACAAATAAATAAACAAGCAAAACAACAAACAAACAAACACACAAACAACATAACAAATGAGAAAATGAAGAAATCAACAAACACTTAAGCAAGGAAGTAACACAACGATGCACGAACTAGCAATAAGCAAACCATACTTCCATACGTACGTACATGCATACACACATACATACTTTTTTTTTTTTGGGTAGGCATGGGTCCCGAGGACGCGCCTCTCGCAACAAATTCGGAGGTGAAACGTGAGAGAAGGGGAATCAGAGAGCACCGCTCAATCCGGTGGAGAACGGATGCAATCCGATTCAACCCAAAATCCGCAAGACTCAAGCCATGCCGGGAGAGGGTCGAGGCACCTTTGGGCGTCGGCAGAGAGGCGGAAAACAATGGGATGAGCCAGGGACTGCTGTAAGGCATTGCCGACGGCATCGCAAGCCGCCTCGAGCCAGTCAGCTTGCCGGCGAGCGGCCGCCAACGGCACACTAGCCCTGAACGGGTAAACGAAGTCTCTCAAAGGCGGCTCTTCAATGGTGGTAGAGAGCACAGGCCCCGAGAGCACAAAAGTAAGCCGTCCCGGACCAGACGGAGGCAGTGGAAGGCAGACAGCTGCAGGTGCAGGTGGTTGCTTTGGAGCCCGAAAGTCATCACACCACAACTCCGGGTCGAGCAGCAATCGGACGTCGGCCGAGAGGGCAGCCACAGCATCAGGATCCTGCAGAGGGCCGGGCGCTCGCTGCCAGGCGTCAAGGGTATTACGCAGTACCTCAAGTGGCTCAACAAAGTCGACCACGACATCCCAGACCTGCTCCTGTTCGGGCGAGTCCAGCCCTTGCAACACAGAAAGTAAGCCAGGATGGGCACAAGCAGGGTCGAGGGCAAGCTCAACTGGACACCAGTCCCCCGAAGCGAGCGAAGGAGGCGCCTCAGGGTGTGAATCAGGCAGTGGGGCCGAGGAGGGACGGAAAGCCCCCCATCCGCGGCGACACTTGGCAGAAGCGCCAAGATGACGCTTAAGCCGCCCAACGTTGGCATAAACCTTCCCACAGGCCTGGCACAACGGCTTAGCACAACCCGCAACGAGCATGGTGGACGGCGCCCGGTACGCATGTAAGCGGGAGGCGTGGCATGCCCAAGCAGTCCGGCTGGGAAACGCAATCTTGCATTGAAGACAGGCCTCAGGATAGCACAGCGCGGCATTGACGGGAGCGGGATCGCAACCCGCAAGCTGCTCAAGCGAGCGCCTAACAGCCTGCAAGGCAGCAAAACATGAAGTGCGCGCGAGCTCAAGGCCTCGGGCACGTTTGATGTAGGCCTTGAAGATGTGGGGGCGATCGCGGAGCAAACACTCCCAGTCCGACCAAGCCGTAGCCGGGTCGCCAAGGGTAGATGTAGCCTTGACCCAATGATGAACCCAGAGTAGGGCCTCGCGCAGGTGAGCAATATACGAGGGGTCCCGGCGAATTAAGGCCCAAAGCTGGGGCGGTGCAGCGTTCACAACCTGTAGCAAGTATCTAGAACGCTCCGTCAGGAGCAAAACCTCAGGCGACGGTTGGCCGATGAGAGCGCAAATAGTTGCATGGGTGAGATGCTGGTCGCCCCCATGAGGGATGGCCAAAGTCTGGCGGTAAAGTGCCATGACGGTTCTGAAGAAGAAAGCGTGCTCTCCCTTGCTAAGTACGGGCCAAGCGCCTGCGGCAAAAAGCAGCTTGGTCATGACATGCGTGGAAAGGAGCAGGCCCCTCCGCCGTAGGGCAATGCGGCCAGTACGGAAGACTTTGGTTCGCCCCTGCTGGAAGGCAGACCAGGCATGGGACGCACGATGCTTTATTTCGGTAAGCAGCGAAGCAGCAGAGGTGACCTTAACGCCAAGGTGACGATAGGAAGTCACAAGTGGGAGCGACGCTGCGCCAATCTCTTCACGCATCACGGTCAGCTCAGGCTTGGCGCCAAACAGGAGTTTACGCACACGGCGAGATCCAGCTCCGCGTGGGACGACGATTGCAGCCGTCTTGGTAGGCCCGAAGCTCAGAGTGTAGCCGTGAGCATAAAAGGCGTCAGCCAAGATGCCGCATTCGGATGCCGCAGCAAAGGCCGCATCTTTCGCATCTGGGACAATAATGCATTTTGCAAGGTACACATACATACATACATACATACACACACATACATACATACATACATACACACACATACACAAACTCACATACTCACATACATACATACATACATACATACATACATACATACATACACATACACATACACAAACTCACATACATACATACATACATACATACATGTAAAATACATACATACATACATACATACATACATACATACATACATACATACATACATATATACATATATATAGCACGCCGCACGCACAACCAGACAAACACGCAAACGATAGCAACACAACGCATGCAAACATGCAGTGCAACAAACAAACGACGAACACACACACACACAAACACACGATACTTTGGATACTTTATAAATCTTTATCACCAAATCCAAGATAACCTAGACCAAGACATTCTCCAACCGCGCTGGGGTCTCGGCCTCAGGACCTTCTGGCGCGAAAGACAGCTGCAACTCAAGCGGCGGAGCACCTCCGCGCTGTGATCGAGACAGGAGGGCTACAATAGTAGCATAGGTGCTCACACGGCTTCGTTGAGAGTGCTGTCGATATGTGCTTCCATCTAGAATCAAAAACACATTGGGGATCCTGAGTTGAAAGCCGCTCCTTGCTTTCGAATGCCTGGAATATCGTGCCGGCGGCGCGGAACACGTGCGTGGTACTGGTAGTCGGCTGCAACTACGAAGAGAGCCGATTTTCGACCAGTTCAAGGCGTGGATCTCAAATTTGAAGTAGATCCGCAGAGTCGGTCATTGGTCTGAACCACCGGCTTGACCTTCTAAAAGCCTGGACCCTGATAACCCCGTCGAGGAGCCATCGCGCCCTCCTTGGCCAAGATAAAGCGATGCTTGACCTGTCTCAGCGTCTCTTTCGGGCTTCAGGCTGGCGGGGCTTTTCGGATGTTTTGGAGGCCATGCGGATAGCAAAGAACAAAACTCGTGGGGGTTGGGGGGCTCATCTCCACCGAGTTGTACTGCAAGCATGTAGAATGGGTCGCAGATGCCATGAGATCTATAGCAATTCAACTAATTAATAGAATGGAGACCATGCAAAATAAATCGCACGCTGGTCTGGCTTGCACCTGTCAGACTCGACGCGTCCTCTGGCAGATCGGGAGGGCAACTGGCAAAGCTGGAGCGCGGCACCTGGAAAGGGCTGTGTGTCCAAAACGGGCAGTCGACGGGCACAGCACTTTCGTATCATATGGGGCGAGTGAGACAGCCTCGAACCCCTTTGAAGTAAACATTCACATGAAACAGGGGAACATCAGCCAAGTCTAGCAACACAGAGTGAAGAACTTCAGATGCGGCACAGACTGGAAAGAATCTGTTGCATGGTCGGTGGCCGCCCTTCCCAGCGCTGCGGCAGGATTGCCTGAATGGTGAGCACTTCAGTGGACAAGGCAACGTCGCTTGATTTCAAAACCATTTCCAAGCCTACCACCTCCCCCTCCCGCCGCCGAGCTTCCTCCCACTTCCGTTTTCCAGGACATTGGTTGTCTATCTCTGTGGCCTTGAAAATCCGTTTATCCGGCTTTTCATTCTTTGTTCATCCAGCCTCCAAATTCATCCATGACTTCTTCGGATATGCATTCTGTATCAACAGGATCCAGGAAGGAGAGATTCCGCAGAGCATCCAAGAAACTACTCAGTATATACTCTCTCTCTGTCGGGACGATCCTCGCTCGCTGAACATTTCTTGCTGCAGCACCCATGCCTCGCCAACATGGCAAGCAGCTCAACTTCAAAACACCCGAAGGCCAAATGCTCCTTACTGCAGGTGGTGTCTCCACTCGCTGGGCCTTCGACAGGCAGCGATGGCTGAAGTTGTTCCTGGACCTCAGTTTTGAGTGGCCAAGCCGGAACATAAGTCCGTAGACTTGAGTACTTGCTACATCCTGGTTGAAAGGGGCACGTGCGCTGCAACCCCTTGGACTCTAGTGCCCCCGCTCCTCAGCAAGCGAATTTCAGCACGCCCAAAGTGCCCAAAGCTCTTGCACCAGTCGTGCTATGAACGTACGTGCATGAAACGGCCGTCAAGGCATGATAAACCGTACAGGCTTCTGAGCTTCCACACTCGGATCCTGGGACTATGCTGCCTTGAAGACAGTCTGAACAGGGCAGTACTCCAAGTTGGGAATGGGGGCTGCCTAACAGAGAATATAGGAATTGCCGGCAGAGAGCTATGGAAGAAGAAGAAGAAGAAGAAGAACAACAACAACATTGACACGCCGTGTGTCAGTATACATCTACCCTCCTGTCGACGTCATTTGAGCGGACGCGAGGCAAATTAAAAAAACAGCTATCCTCCGGCAAACAAGGGAAGGGTTCGCAAGCATATTCAAGACAGCCAAGGAACTAAGGCCTTCTCCAGCACAGAATCCCCTGAGCTCCGTGTGGCCGAATTACAGCTCGTGGCTTTTCAAGCACAGCAAGGTCAGTTCTAATTTGCAAACTAGAGCGCGGCATTCCGCACTGCATATGTCGGTTCTCCGCGGACGCTTCCACAGCAAGTTTTCAAAAAGCTTCACTACCGCGTGATTGGAGGCCGACTGAAGCTAGCTCGCCTTCGAACCACAAGCGATGCTAGAGTCTGCTAGAGTTCCAAAAGTCTTCAAAACCGGCCGACATGACAAGAGCTGCCCCCAAATCAGGTGACGATTCTGCCGCTGAAGAGTGTGTACCTTGCTCGGAAGTTGTCGACTCCAAGTCACCGGTAGCCAAGCTCATAGTCTCCTGAAGAAGCTCCTTGCGTTTGAGCTGGGGTTGGCACGTCTTCCACTCTCTGCACACGCGCACTCAAGGGCACAATGACTCTTTGCACCCTCCTCAATCCCGTGATGTTGAACAAAGCCAACCGACTTTTAAACTTCCAGCTCGACACCGTCTTCATAAGTGTTCCCACTGCGAAATCAGGCAGCATCCGTCCCGAAATGCCACGGTCTGAGACAGCGCCCGTGCAAAGACCTGTGCCTGAGACAGGAAGCTGAGGAATACTGCTTCGACACATGTTGCCATATTAATATGTTCCGTGGCACTTTGTACTTGGTTCTGTTCAAAGTAAACGCCGAATAACACAATAACTTCATTGCGGCATGCACCGAAGCTAGCTCGACAATGCTGTAGCTGATTCATGCATTTCGCGCTCACACTCAGACAAGTCGGGCGAAGTTCCTGGCACGAGGCAGACAGAGCCAAAGATTAACGGACTGCCCATAAGACTCTCAAAGATGCTAATATAGGGGCCTCAATAATTACCTATACAATGGTTGGGGTTCCTTGTTATAAATGTAGTATAGCAACCCAATTCTAATTTTTAAGGCACCTATATTAGGCAGCAGCACCAGACAGGCTGAGGCAGCTTTTGGCTCTGGATCCGGCAAGGGTTGCACACAGAAACATCTCCCATGTTACCTTTGGTTAGTAGGGAATGGAAGACGGGTAATTATAGTAGTTATAATTGTACCCCATTCCTCCATTCTCTACTAACCGAAGGTAAGCCACTGAATCGGTGCAAAAAGATTTCTGAGAGTCGCATGCTCCGTTTGGAGCGCGCGACGCGAGCTCGCGTTGAGAGGGAGGGAGAATCCTTGCCAGACTCGGCGCCTTCGCAGGAGCCTTCTTCGGTCCGCTCTGCTACGTATTTGCGGCGAGGCGGCGACTGCTTCCAGACTGGACTGTCGACGGGCATTCCACGAGGCTGGAAAACGTGGTCAGCAGCTCAGCAAACATCTCCTGAATCTGCCGGCATTTCCGCTCCAGCTTCAACACCTCGCTCGGCTGCAGCTGCTCTCGCGCCAGAGCATCACATCGTTTTCGATCTGGTCTGGCACATGTGCAATGCTACCAAAGTCGGCCGTACCCATGACGTGAACGAGCCGCACCACTCCACGCTCCTGGAACGGAACACTTCCACGATTCCCTGGAGCCGACGGCGTCGCGTGGCTGCCTGCTGGCGCTCCCGTGCCAAGCAATGGAGGAGCTTTTCACGGCGGCCCTCTTGAGAATGCTTCATGTCGTTGAACATGGAGATGAGGTTCTCCAAGCCTTTCGGCAGCAAGTCCGCCGGAAGCTGCTCTTCAGTCGCTGTCACCTCTGCCGAAGGTTCCTGGGGTGGCTGCACAAGGCCGTATCGGTTCTGGCATACCTTCATCGCTAGGACTTTTGCCCAAATTGTCGCAGAGCATGCTGTGGGACTACGTGTTGAAGAAACGCCTCATGCTTCTGGCTCTGGATCCGGCAAGGGTTGCACACAGAAACATCTCCCATGTTACCTTTGGTTAGTAGGGAATGGAAGACGGGTAATTATAGTAGTTATAATTGTACCCCATTCCTCCATTCTCTGCTAACCGAAGGTAAGCCACTGAATCGGTGCAAAAAGATTTCTGAGAGTCGCATGCTCCGTTCGGAGCGCGCGACGCGAGCTCGCGTTGAGAGGGAGGGAGAATCCTTGCCAGACTCGGCGCCTTCGCAGGAGCCTTCTTCGGTCCGCTCTGCTACGTATTTGCGGCGAGGCGGCGACTGCTTCCAGACTGGACTGTCGACGGGCATTCCACGAGGCTGGAAAACGTGGTCAGCAGCTCAGCAAACATCTCCTGAATCTGCCGGCATTTCCGCTCCAGCTTCAACACCTCGCTCGGCTGCAGCTGCTCTCGCGCCAGAGCATCACATCGTTTTCGATCTGGTCTGGCACATGTGCAATGCTACCAAAGTCGGCCGTACCCATGACGTGAACGAGCCGCACCACTCCACGCTCCTGGAACGGAACACTTCCACGATTCCCTGGAGCCGACGGCGTCGCGTGGCTGCCTGCTGGCGCTCCCGTGCCAAGCAATGGAGGAGCTTTTCACGGCGGCCCTCTTGAGAATGCTTCATGTCGTTGAACATGGAGATGAGGTTGCAATGCCGCCGGAAGCTATACTCTTCAGTCGCTGCCACCTCTCTTCGCCAGCTGTGGGACTACGTGTTGAAAAAACGCCTCATGCTTCTGGCTCTGGATCCGGCAAGGGTTGCGCACAGAAACATCTCCCACTGAATCGGCGTTTTCCAACAGCCAATTCCGACATACAGACGATGTGACGTTGGCATTCCCCCGCAGACATGTAAAAAGATTTCTGAGACGTCGGCATTCCCCTGCAGACATGTAAAAAGATTTCTGAGAGTCGCATGCTCCGTTTGGAGCGCGCGACGCGAGCTCGCGTTGAGAGGGAGGGAGAATCCTTGCCAGACTCGGCGCCTTCGCAGGAGCCTTCTTCGGTCCGCTCTGCTACGTATTTGCGGCGAGGCGGCGACTGCTTGTTGCAATATTCCAGACTGGACTGTCGACTGGCATTCCACGAGGCTGGAAAACTTGGTCAGCAGCTCAGCAAACATCTCCTGAATCTGCCGGCATTTCCGCTCCAGCTTCAACACCTCGCTCGGCTGCAGCTGCTCTCGCGCCAGAGCATCACATCGTTTTCGATCTGGTCTGGCACATGTGCAATGCTACCAAAGTCGGCCGTACCCATGACGTGAACGAGCCGCACCACTCCACGCTCCTGGAACGGAACTCTTCCACGATTCCCTGGAGCCGACGGCGTCGCGTGGCTGCCTGCTGGCGCTCCCGTGCCAAGCAATGGAGGAGCTTTTCACGGCGGCCCTCTTGAGAATGCTTCATGTCGTTGAACATGGAGATGAGGTTCTCCAAGCCTTTCGGCAGCAAGTCCGCCGGAAGCTGCTCTTCAGTCGCTATCACCTCTGCCGAAGGTTCCTGGGGTGGCTGCACAAGGCCGTATCGGTTCTGGCATACCTTCATCGCTAGGACTTCTGCCCAAATTGTCGCAGAGCATGCTGTGGGACTACATGTTGAAGAAACGCGTCATGCTTCTGGCAAAGGTTGTGACTGCTGCCTATGATCTCCACCGCTCCGCAAGATCCAACTCGGGACTGTCAGTCTTGAGGAACTCCCCGCTCTTGCGAATCAAGTACTCGGTATTCTGCCGTGACATCTCTTACTTCTCAAGGCCTCCTTCATTAGCATAATCACGCTCCAAAGGCTCACGTAACTGTGGGTCTCTGCCGCCGTCTGCCCTTCTAGACCAGCATGCTATCTTGAGCCCAAAGCTGCATCACTTTCCCATTTTAAAATCGCAGTCAGTGAGTTGGCCACACCAGATCGCACTGGCCTCGCCTGCAGCTGACATGTCCCTTATCGGTGCCTCCGGTTCTCGGCTGTGGACATAGGCATGCACGTCGAAGCACCCGGCAACCACGCCGTCCTGAATGTTGCAATGGCGAAGAGACGTGAGACTCACTCACAGACAGGAATTGCTCACGAATGGCTGGCAACGCGGGGGGATAAGTTGCCGGAAGTGCTGAAGCCATTTTAGGCCAAGGACTTGTTAGATGTCAGCACACATGACAATTGCACATGTAAGGGCCGACAAATTCCATGCAGCATGACCTAGGGGAGCCCCGCCCTTATAAGACAAGCAGCTAAAGTTGTGCACGTGGAGGCATGATCATGATGCTGCATATGATGTCCCCCATCCTCCGGCTGCGTGTAGAACTGTCGCAGATCAGTCACGAGCGGCGCGATGCAATGGAAGAAAACTTTCTGCACCTGTCATGCACTGAGGCGCGGCAGGCAATTCGAATCATCACCAACATGATCGGGACGGGGGAAGGAAAAAGGAGGCAGGCTTGGCTGCCCAACATGGACCAGCCGGCATGTCAGGGACTGCTGACAGGCCGTTACATGGTGATGGGCGCTAATGTATCGGTGCAGTACATGCAGCAGGTGTCTGTACGTATATACAATCATAAATGTGGATCTGTATATGCATGCATGTATACAGTATACATGCCCAAAACTCCCCAACCATGCATATGGCATGTGTCTCCATTGACTTGGGTTTTCCACCCCATATAGAGACAACCGACACTCGCGCACGCCGAAAGCCGAGCCCATGTATGAGAGGCGATCCCCTCCTCGCGGTCGAATGTCGGATCTCCCTCGCCGAGGCGAGTCTGAGATGCAGCCCCCACGTCCTCAGTGAAGGATGCGCTTCACCCTACCACTTCTGCTCGAAGTGCACGCATCACTGCTTTTACGAGATTGTTCCATTTGGTTCTCACTGCACAAACCTCACATACCCTGTAAGCGCTCCTAATCAGTTTTCTGATTTCCGCAACAGTGGCGTTGTCTGTGGCGACTGGGATCGGCTATTGGGCCTCTTCGTTTCGGACTGTGACACCCTAGAATACAAAACCATTCTTGTGCTGCGTGCTGTTGACTGTTGCAAATTGTTCCCTCCTACCTAGCGGACCTAGCAAGGACAAAGCCCGCATTGCAGGGTAACTCCGAACAGCCATAGCAATCGGCTTTTGCGGTCCAAGCCTCGATGCCGCTGTTCGCCACCAAACGACTGACCCCTGCCCGGAGCCTCGCCTGTATGCTGCTGGGTAGCTCTGGCAACCTCAAAAGCAGGACGTGGAGAATTTCCAGTCTGAAGTCTGGCGACATTATAGTTCTGCCGGCTCACCGGACCAGGAACACATGAGCGTGAGCTTCATCGTGTTTCGTGCCCGCCCGAGAGCCTCCCAGCAGCCGACTCCATCTCCACTTCCCCAACATCCAGGTCGAACACTGAGAAAGTACACCTGGTGAGTCAGGCGCCAGCCATGGCTGCCAGTAGATAGACATGTGCCAAGGACTGCACGCACACACACACACACACACACACAATTAATTGGTGTGTGTTCATATGCTCCCGTACACAGACACAGAGAACACCTCTTCCGTGATGCTCACAGACCCCGCCCCAGATGGATCGCTGGTTTGGCGGGCTTGGAGGCGAGGAAAGGTCGGATTGCGAGTCTGCTCTGCTCAGCAACAGCCTACCTCGCTTTACGACACGGCTGAGCTTCCAAGACCCGTGCAGACTCAAATGCAAGGCAAAACGGACTACTGTAGGAGGTGGAGCTTTCAGAGGAGCTCCCCGACTGGCATGGGCACCTCTTTCTTCCTGTCTCTCTGGACTAGACAACGACCAGGGGATGGTCCCGAAATGGGGACATTGATGCGTCGAGGGGTCGGATGGGTCGGATGACCCGGGCCAACTTCTGCCAAGAAGCGAGCCCCCGCTGGTCCTGGAGGGCAGTGCCGTGAGTGCTGCGGTTCCCAGGTCCAGAACTTCCTTTCAAGGAATGCTTCGCTTTGCGGAATCGGATGAAACAGACACGATGTCCGTTCACAACAACGAATCATCGACCCACAAAGCTCAGGAAATTCCTAGTCGAGGCTTGCTTGATGAGAGCAAGCTTTTCAGCGCCTATGCAGTGGTCCGGAATTACAGTTGCGAGCAATGGGCCGAGCCCTGGGTGATTTCGGTACAGCGTCTTGGACAGAGCCTCCCCTCAAACAGGACAGGGTTTTGGGGCCCATTAATTATACTATATAGTTAACAAGGAACCCCCAAAATAGTATACCATGGCAAGACTCAGCAAAGTGCAGTGTCCCCTTAGCTGTGCAACAAGGCGAGGCAAGCCGCGCGATGCAGTCCCAGAACGTACGGCCCCTTCCTTGGTTGCTACCGGTTTGCGCGACTTCTGGACGCACATAACTTCGACGACAGCCAGCTGATGTGCAAATGCAGCGATGCTTCCGCTGCGAACGTGTGTTCAAATGAAATGCAACACCGAAGCTGTCCGACTTCGAGCTGCGGCATGCAAGACTTGCTAAGAGCGTTACAAGCGTCCGGCAGCTAGATTTTGCAGAACCACCATCAGATGAGTGTAACCATGGTGTATCCTATATAGAACGGTCCTGTGGCAACGTCGAACAATGGAATGCACATGATACTCCAGGCGAGCACAAAACCTACGATGACCTACAAGTCCATCGTCATGCGCGAGCTTCTGCTGCAGGTGCTCCCTCTTCACGGGCGACACCGGCACGTACGAGTGCCTCGACGGCTTCACAGAATGGAGCGCGAGTTGCACAGCTGAGCGGGGAGGTGAGCAAGCGCTGAGGCCTTAATGGGGATTGCAGGGTGCTAGCGCGTGGCACTGAATCCCGATTGCGGTTCTAATTTACTTCCTCCAGGTCCCAAGGTTAGGCACGCGTGCGTAAGGAAGACTTCGACGGCCCACATCGAAGTCTAGGTGCTGCCAGCGGAAGGGGAAGAGCAGCAGGGAGGTGATCGCCTCGCCGCAGGCCGCGAGAGTGAAAGCGGAGGAGGAGCGCAGCACCACCTCCAAGTCAGGGAAGGCTAGCATAGTCTAGTCTAGTCTGGTCTAGTATAGTATTGGATACGTTGCGATGATGGCTTTGAATGCCCCCCATCCGTTGCAATCTGCCAACAGCTTGAGGGCATTCGCGGCGGGATGTTGTCAAGCTTCGGGCTTTTCAGCAGGGCCACGGCGTCTACGTTCGACTGCCCACAGTCTTCGGAGTAGGGCTCGTGCCTCCTTCACCTCCTACATGGCGGTGCCATTAGAAACGGGCGATTCGTGCACGATGTCAGCAGCCATTAGTCACCGGTCCAGTGCGGGACTTGAAGGAAGTACATAGCACGCTTGCACACGAGGCCGCCCATGAGAGAATCATGTGAAGATCGCATAACATAGTCTGGAGTTGCTTGGCTGTCTCCATATATTTCCATACTCGTGTTTTACAGAATCACCCCGTCGCTGTCGAGGTTATGCCCTCTCTATGAGTCACACAGCAAAGTTTACTCGGGACCATCTCACCATCCGACGGACCCTAATATAATACCCCAAATAGTAGGATCCTTATTATAAGGTAGTCGGACACAACCCCAAATAGGGTGCCCCTAATTTTCGGAAACCCCCCATGTATCTGCCCTCCCAGAGATGTCGCGGACGCGACCTTCCGCTCCAGCAAAGCCAGCCGGAAGAGCAGCAAAAGCGAAGACAAGCTCAGCCGCTGTACCAGGTAACCCAAAGGAACGTGGGGGACAGGCAGGCAGTCAATCCTTAGACAAAGCCCTTGCAGAAAGTCTTCATCCAGCTGAGGGGTCTATGTAAAGGAAAGCTGACTGACGAGTACAATTCCGGATGAACGCAGTCAGATGCAAATCCTCGTGTAGTCCGAGTTGAGAAATTAAGTGGTGAACTGGCCAACAGCAAGGTTGGCATGGCTGCATGGCTGCTTCGCTTGCGCGCGGCTACGTGTCAATCGAGAGTCTACATGGATCCTTCCAAAGGATCGCCTGCGATCCAAATTCTTAACTACGACGAAACCGCAAGTTCCCCACCTTCAAGACCCAGCCGTGAGGCGGCGGCATGGCGCCAACCGCCAAGGCCGAGGCCCCGTGACGCGCACAGAGATGTAGTGAGCAGGTCGGGGGTGGCAGGGGCACCTCACCTCAGATCGTCAAGGGCGCGTCGAAGGCTTTGCCATGGGTTCCTGCAATCTTCTAGCTCTAGCGACTTCAGGAGCATCGGGCATCGTTGTGAGATCCATGCAGCTGCAAGGCTGCTGGCTGTCCCTGGCTGTTCAGAATGGTGCCATAGTCAAAAGAAGGAGTTGCAATAGAGTGCGGCATTGTTGAAACCTGGCCGCCGAGCCTGTGAAGACACAAAAACTGAAAGCATCAGGAAAGCCACTGAGAAGCCACACGCACAATTTGGCGAGGTAGTCCGGGTCATGCAAAGTCGTTCCAGGCTTGATGGCAGTGGCCGTCAATCTGGCCAAGCTCTTCACGAACGTCGCGCTTATCGCCTGGGAAAAGGCTTTCGGTTGACCAACCTCCTGCGCTTCATCAAGCTGCCAATACTTTGACCCTATTGTCCGGCGACTAACTTCGGGAAACAGCTAGAAGTGCACAACAGCATCGGCCCATCGTAAGTTCTCTTCGTTGCTTGTCCCCACCTCTGGATGCTCCGACCAGAAGCAGGTGCAAACCTGCAGGGTGCTGCCAACTAAAAACGGTTCAGCCACCGCACAACCAGCGGCGATAGCTACGATAGGCATCCAGCAGGACTGCCGGCGGCAATAGCTAGGATATGACGACATGCATCCAGCTGGACTGGAGGCATTTTCAGCCACATGTCACGTTAGCCATGACACTGAATTCAGGTGTTGTACTGCTGTGTGACACGAAGCATGCTGGAGTCTGCGGGATGTTGACGAGCGATTGTGTACTACATGTACCGATTGGCACCACTGTCTTTGGCTGCTGAAATGAATCACTTCATGTTTCATCTCATGTCATTTCACTGCTCATAAGACCAAGATCACCGTCAGCTGGCCAGCTGTGCCAAGCAATCACCACGGCTTCTGCCGCACGCTTAACAACCCAGGCCACTTACAAATGCTACTCACATCTACTCACTACTCGGACTGGTACATAGACCGATAGGCCGATCAAAAAAGTGGCTTCAGCAACAGCGATCTTCATGCTTGGCCGTGTGATCGGGAGGCCTCCTCCTCAGCGTCGCGGCCGAAGCAAAAGCGAAGGGCGGACACCTCAACAGGGAGTGCTCGTCAAGGGGCGAGGATGGCTGCATCTTGCAGTATACGGTCCGGCTTGGAGTCACTTCAGGGACGGAACAAGCCGACGGTCAAGTAAGACTAGCAAAGAACAGGCCAAAGCCTACGACACAGCCTTTGCATGCTTTGGGTTGCGAGGCACGTAGAATCGCATGCTGAACTCGGCCACCACAGTACAGAAGCATCGCGTGGTGCCGCACATCAATTTCCAGGCGCTGCCGCTCCTCCTGTGGAGCAAAACCTTCACGGAAGATGTGAACCCGAGCTGCACTCACAATCCAGGCAACCGTGGTTCGAACGACTTCATTGGTACAGGGCAATTGCTTAGAGCTCTTTAGCTAAAGAGGCTGCAACTTCGGCATGACAGCAAAACTTGCCAGTTCTGCCCTACACTGTGCAGGCAACTCGACACTGGATTGAGCCCACAGGCTCTCACCCCTTACTTAGTCCAAAGCCCCTGTCCATGACAGAAACCTGTCGACACGTGCGAATCCTCACCACATCTGACGGCTATGCATATGAGAAACGACCCTGTCTTTGCGGGCCTTGGGCAACGTCTGCAGCAACTGCTGGTCATCGTCGGGCAGCTCCTGGTCTGTCGCGGCCGCCGACAACGGTCTTCGGGGAAACGCGCAGCGAAAGCTGCCTATCATAAAAGAGGCTTGATCAGCCACGGGCCGCCTATCCCTGAAGTTTTCATGGATTAACACAATCATGGGAGGTCTGCAGGTCTTTTGGTTCAACAGTTGCCGAGCTCAGCAGGAAGCGGGCTGGTTAAGCTTGGTTTTCAACTCCAAGTGCTAGCAAAGTGAGGCAACATTAATGTGTCGCTGAGATGTGACAAGCCTCTCAACCTTTGGAGGGACAGGACCTTGAAACCTGAAGCCCAAATACCCAGAACACCATGCAACAGCGGAAACGGTATTTCCCACTACCGCAGCATTGCCGGAAGGTGTATGCTGTGCACTGCAAAACCGAAGGCTTTACAAAGAAGCGTTGATGTCGTCACCACCAGAAATGTCCTCTTCAAAGTAAGTCTAGATCACCAAGGCCACGAAGTTCAATATTCACGGGTGTGCCACCTAATGAATTCGAAGAGATTGCCCGTGTTCTGGGCAGCAAGCCCAATGCCAAGGAACCCTGCGATCAAGCCACGCCTCCCTCCAGAAGCCACTCTCAGTTTCCAGTTCACCCGAGTACAGAAAAAATTCACGAACATGTTGGAATCATTTGAAGACTGATGCCTCCCTTCTCGGCAGTGCTGCCAGCGTTTGGACGGCAGGCTCCTATGGCTTTCACATGGGTCTGAAGATGTCAGAGGCCTCTTGGAAGGGACCTTGCATGTAGGATCTTCGCAGTTAACGCAAGATTTACCACTTGTGACAAGGAGCGCTGGTGAGTATTCGCATGCACTCTCAGTGAATGGCCCTGATGACTACCGCTCACAGACCCGACATTCAATTCACAGACCTCCCCATCAAACTCCAACCAAAACAAGCTTTCCACTGAGGCCTAGCTGTGGTACTTTGTGGCCCGTAGCTTGTCTATTTAAATTTGGCAGGACTCACATACCTGCCAAGCTGGCATGTTACACTTATCCTTTTTTGCATCGGGCTTGGGCAGTCGACGGCGCCAGTTTCAATGCATGCTCGAGCTTCACTTATGCTAAATCCCACTATATCCGAAACTCTCAAACCTAACCAATTCTGCTTCCCGGCCTGTGTCATTCCGGGAAATCATAAAAAAAACTCCACTACTCCACTACACTCCGAAACTCCAGGATCCTGAAGCCCCCTTTTTAAGGCCCTTTTTTTGCATCAGGACTTGTGCAATCGCCTGAAGAACATGGTAAAAAGGCCCTAAACCCCCAAAATTCCCCATAAACCAAAACCCCTTTTTCTGAAGCCCCGATAGCCTCCGGGCCGATGCTGGCTGGGCCGAGCAGCGCCACTCCGCGTAGCATCGCTCAAGTTGGGATTCTAGGGACTCTTTAGGCTTCCTATATAGAAAGTTTTAAATGTTAGGGTTTACGCTCTCACATCTCGGACATTAGATAGGGTTTAGGGTTTAGGGGTTTCAGGCTTCTTTAACAAGTTTCGATAAGGGTTTACCGAGCTTCCATTGGGTTTAGTGTGGGAGTTTGCAGGATCCAGGCGAGCACTTCCAGCAAGGAGGGAAGGCCGCTCAGCTTTCGCCGGGAGTGGAGTTAGGAGTTGCTGTTGCCACTGTCGGCGACGTCAGTCTATGACCACCTTTGTGATGCCATGGTTCTTATGATCCGTCTTGTTGCTGTCACTTTGGTCAGCGCGCTTCTTGTCCTGAGCCTTCCTCCTTGCGGCTATTGCTGTGTCTACTGCTTGACGACTTTTCTCGTGGCTTGGAGGGTGGCTTTTTGAAGCAGGGCTCTCCAGCTATGCCTGCCGCTGCAACCCCGAGCTGATGTCAGGACAGGAAGGCCAATGAAGACAGCAATCGCATGTGGATATGACCAAGCTTCAGAATCAGATTGAATTCAATGCATATGTCGCTTCTAACATTCGTTGAGAAGACGGTGGATGACCCACAATAACATCGCACCTTGTTCTGTCTCCGCGGCTCAGTGCAAAGAAAAACCACTCCCGGAGTGGATCTGGCGTTGCTTGACTGTACAGGCGCTTCGCCGACAAGATGAAGAACAGTACAGGTATAGGAACTGTGGCAATATTGAGTGCTGCCTGTATAAACCCTCATTGAATCCGAATCCCTAAAGGCTTTCATTTTCCACAGGGCCAGCAGCAGCTGCTCTTTGGAGCTTCCGCTTCCTCCACCTTGGGCTCCTTCGGGTCCTTCTCCACCGGCCTGGCGGCCGCCCATCCGCGGGCGATCTCTGCGTTTCGGTCCGGGGCCCTCTCCCGGAGCTCTTGTGGGGAGTAGTAGCCATCGTAGGAAGGATTCTCGTGGCGGAGAGGGTCAGCTTCTGTGCCAGCACAGTAGAGCAAGCTCCTCGTCAGGGTGCGAGGCTCTGACCCGTGAGAGAACTGAGGCGTCTGATTCGCGAGGATGCCCATGACAAGAATCCGCTTCGGCTGGTCCTCGAAGTAGAGGCCGTAGTGCGAGGCCGCGGGATTGTGGGACGGCCTTTGGCTGTCCTCTAGGTAGTTCTCGAACATCACCACCCGACCACGCTTGGCCGCAATGGTACTCACCTCCTCTGGGGCATTGGGAAAGCAAATTCCTCCCACAGAGTTGAAGTAGACCACGACGGTCACGGTCGGCACCACCTTCCGGGGGTTCCGGGGCTCGGAGCTTTGGAGACTCAAATCCAGGAAATTCCAGTTTGGGCCATCCAGGTCATCAAGGTTTATGTGATCCACGTGGGCAGACTGTCCAGCACCACAAATATCCGAGACCATGAACTTCTTGAAGGGCTCCTCCAAGCTTAAACCCCAGCAGTCCGCGACCATCTCGAAGAAAGGCCTTGCCGTTTCATCCATCTCGAACTCGATGCTGCGCGATGTGAGGGGCCTTCCATGATACTCCTCTTTCGTGGTGGTGCTTCGGATATCCGAGGCAAAAGCCTTGTCGACATGATCCAGCAACGACTGGGGAACCGCCTCATCCATCACCCACACGTGGGGAAGAACCTGAGACGCCTTCATCGCCATAGGTGGACTTATCCACTCGCAAAGAAATCGCGCTACTTATGGCTGGTCAGCCTGTAGGCTTTAGCCAACACGGCAGCGGGCTCCCATCTGAGTCCTCTGCCGCAGCACGCGGCTGTACTTTATGAAACAATTATGCAAGAATCAAGCACTAACACGATGCGGTGTAGGTATCGTCCCACCGCGAACCAAGTTCCCGAAAAAACGCGCAGCTTCCGGAACATCACAGTCCCCTACAAAGATTCGGAGGTCAAAGGCCACGTCCTTCCATGCGTTCAGCGCTGCGGCCCAGGAGTGCATGCTGTCCTCCAGTTTGGCCCCTACATTCGTCCTACATGGCCCAACATGTCTACAGCACCAAACTCGCGCTGGTTCCGAGACTCCGGTTGGCTCCGTCTGTGCTGATCCATTTCTCACGAACTCGACCTACCAACACATGGCCGAAGACCAGCGCAAAACATCGCAATATAGAATTTAATAGGCAGGTCGGCTAACTCGTTCTGTGCTGCTTGAAGTCTGGGGGGTAACTGGAGGATGGCAGCTTCCGGATCTTCGAGTTGGGGATCGGTTTTCGGTTGTCATGGCCCAGATCACGCCGGATGCCCTGCCCAGGGACGGACACCATGGGTCTGAAGACTTTTAGTCAAGTCTCTCTCGGCACCTCCTCGCCAGGAACAGCACCTCAGGCAAACGCGCAGCCTAACCCTTCCCCATACCTGTGGGGCGGGGACGTGCCGTCGGAGAGTCATGTTCTGCACTTGGGACGGTAATGTGCGCACGGCCTGGGGAATACCTCGAAGTGAAAGCCGACAGGATGGTTGGTTGGACCCAAACCCGAAAGAGGCTCAGAAGATGGCGCTCCATTCCGAGAACACTGACAGCCTCTGCAAACCCCGCATCTGACACACAGCGGCTCGACCCTACAGCCTCTATATAATATACGTATCTATTCAGAACATCTTCGAAGGGCTGCGAGTTAGCCGGCCTCTAGACCGTAATATGTCATGCTTGGCCTTGAGAAACACTGCACCATAGACCCTGGAATGATCCGGCCAACGAAGTCCGGAGCACCTAGTGCGTCGTCGTAGAGTCCTCCATGGATGAACAAGGCATCGCCGACAATCACGGCGAGCTGCCTCAGAACTGATTTATGCATGATAACCATCGATGGCCCATAGCTTCCTTATTATCCTGCTTGCAGGTTCACCAACGACATCTCGAAAGTTTGCGCGAACTTTTTCACGACTCGACGGGTGCAAGAAGACGGCGGCTGCAGAGAGCTAGAGCTAAACGTACGAGCGCGCGGCATCACTTCCTTTATCCTCCTTCTTCTCCGAGAAACCCCACGTGCAGGAGGTCCAGCATCCAGGGATCCGCTCCGCTGGGGTCCACCGCATCTCCTAGGCCAATCACTCTTTGACATGGTGGTCAAGGTAAAGCTTGCGAGCTGCTTGCATTGTCTTCACAGCAACCGATTTCCAGGGGGTTGTGGCGGATCAAGTCGAATTCGACTGCAGATTGCTCGGGCCTATATCGCAGGGGGAGCTGTGACAATTAGACTGCTGCGTCCTCCTACCAACAATAGGCACAATGCCCCTCACACAAATGCCACAGCTACTGTGTCTGCAGAGCAGTATGCCGGCATGCCGAAGATGATGAACAAACTGCTTCATTCGCAAGCAAGAGACAGAAAACCGTCGCGGCGAAAAAGCACTGACTGGGACGCGTGGAGACCGACTGGCTTTCATAAGATGTCCTGGACGATACCTGCAAGAGCTGTGATTAAACTTCGGTAGCGGCCGGCTTTTGATTTCGTTGGCCACACAGCTACCTCCTCATGAAAGCTTGTTCTGCCGTGCGTCGGTAGCTTTGAACCACCTGAGCTGACAATCTGGCGTCTACAGGTCAACGAACCGAAGGGGACCCCGTTCTGAACAGAAATGCTCGTGGCCCAGGACTGGAACGCCTGATTCGCCTGGCTCAGGACCTGCCTCATGCATGAAACCCTGCGTCTGAATCACTGCACGTGACTGTCGGGCTTACGGAGGTACAGCCTTCGAAGCGGAATTGCCTTTGTGACAGACTCAAGGGTTAAACCTTCCGAAGTTATCAGATGGGGTACGTCTGCGGTACTGGTAGCAGCAACAGTGGCATGAGTTGTCGCAAGCGCACTCTTCATCATGCTTCCATCGCTGCCGAAACAGTGAAAACAGGTGTGTTATTCACCAGCCCAGCCCCAATCGCTAGTTAAGCCGCATATGTCAAGAGACAATATAATAAGACAAGAGGTGGTGATTATGAGGACGCACTTCTAGCCTGCAACTCGTCAGGTGCAGCCATGTGCAGCTGTGCGGCAGCCTCATCGGTGGCAGATCTGCCGAGAAGGGCGAGCTCGTGCCTCCCGCGTTTCAGGTTATTCACTGAGAGTTGACGTTGGGTTTGGGGTCCGGGACGGTTCCGGCTGCTTAGCGTTTTCTTCGTGGCCCATGCTGGTGCGGAGACCGCCGTGCAATTCACTCTTATCTTCTCGTATTTCCCTTGAGGTTCATCTCTCCCACGCGTGTAATCGCAGAAGCAACGCAGGAGCAACGCTCCCCGGAAATGCACTATATTATTATTGAAAAAAGCAGGTCTCCAAAGCATCGTTTGTTCAACTACGGCCAACGGTCCCGTACTTCGACCTCGCCTTCGGGTCTTGAATGTCGTTGTCTGACCTGTCAGTCGGCAAACAATGTCCCCTCAATCCCTGTACCCTAAACCCTAATGTTGCAGACTTGAGAGCATCGTGGCTTGGCTTCCATCGGTCTGTTTCGCTGGCCAACTACCCAGGATAGATCGAATCGATAAATCCTTTGGAGTGTAAACACGTCCCCTGGCACTCTTCATACGGTCTCTCGAGATGCTTCAGGTCTAGCCGTCTAGCAGAGACTACTTCGGCTGAGGACCGGACATCCCATGTTGCAGTCCAGCACCCAACGAACTGTGCTAACATGACCCCGCTGCAAGCTATTCCTGAGCTGGTGTTGATGCTGGAATGCGCGTGCGCTCAGAAAAACATAGACCTGTGGCTGTGTTGCCGCATTCATGAACACCGACGATTCTGCTAACTCAGGCCAGGCTAAGGCCTTCTGTCCTCTAAGCAGTCAACCACTGACGGCCTTTCTCAGCACACACAAGTCTGTGGCAGAATCCGAACTTGTTCTTGAAACACTCGGGAAGCGAGCGTCGCTGTCATGTGACTCTGCAGAGAGATTCGGCTCGCGGAAAGGGGGGGTGTCCCAGACGAGTGTCAGCCCCATGTCCACCGAGCACAACGATCCACTGGTTGAGCATCAGCATCCCATGCGAGCATCGGCAGCAGGTTTTTCCCACCCTTCTGAAACCCAGCACGCATTATGAGAATGAGCTCCAAGCGCGAAGCAGGTTTGAGCATCGGTTGCATCCGAGCCTAGCACTCCCACATCGAGTATCGTTAGCCAGCGTCAATCTGCAAAGAAACCACCGAACAGCTAGATGTAGCGACACATGGTTCGAGGAACCTGTACCCCTTGACTACCGGAGCCTCTTGTCTGCAAGATCCAAGGGCAGGATTGACAGTGAGCACATATCAGGCAGGCTTCTCGCGCAGGTAGTCATCGTAATCCGGGAAAGGCGCCGGCTTCGGAATCCAGTAGGCCTTAAAACTCGCGTTTCGCAACATGCCGGACAGAGCTGCTGGTGCTACAGTTTCTTGTGAACGGGTGGTTTGCAAGCAAGCTCCGGTCATGCGAGCCTGGCGAGAAAAAAAATGGCGTTGCTGGGCATAGAATGCTACTTTGAAGCCTCGCTTGAATGCCAGGTCTGTCCCACCGCCCCCTGGCTCCAACCCCCATGGTCCAACTTTCTGAGGCTTGCTCAGCATCCTTAAAGCCTTCAGAGCTCAAATTCCAATGAACTGCTGCTCAAGGTGCACCACCCTTCTCCTCGAAGCTCGCACCGTCCTCACCGGACGCCAGCTCAGCGTAGAAGCGCAGTTTGCCTAGCGCACGGAGGACGTCATGAGGCTCTTATTCAGCAACTGCGTAATGCTTGAGTGGCACATCTGCGCTTGCGATAGCTAAGCAGCTCGTCTAGAGTTTTGAATTGCTTCTGCAGTTCCAGCGGGCTCATAAGCACCACTTTCGGGCGAATGTCAAAGAACACCCTAGCCGTGGTATAGTTCGCCAGTAGGCCCGCATAAGGGCATGGGTACCCTTTCTTGAAAACGAGACCCTCTTCCAACCAAGGCAGCAAGGGCACTACTGGTGGACCATGCCCTACGCTATCATTCAATTCCAGGCCTTGTTCGGCCAGGGGACAACAAACACTGCTACGGACTAGACTATGACTAGGCCCGCAGGAGAACGCGTGGCGGAAGAACGATGAGATTGATTGCATACTTGGAGGGAAGGTATCCTCCTAGATAGGACGTCTCTCGAGACATCCGGTACACTGGCTGTGAAGGAGCTTGCACTTGCATGTAGGGCATACAGGTCGCGGGCTGGACGATGCGCATCGTCACTCGAGGAGCCGTGCGGTGGACCCCCTTGATGATCACCCGAGGATGTTGGATGGTGCCCGGGAAAGCCATGCAACGACTCCCATCGACGAGAAGCGATGAGGCCGGCTTTGCCACTGTCACCACTGACTTTGGGACTGCTCCGCTGTAGCCAGGATGGCCTGCAAAGGTGATTGCACAAGATGACTATAGGCCTTGGGGTCTTCAAGTCTTATAGGGTTCGAGAGGGTGAAATTCCAGCTTGATTCCGGCACTACACTCACACTTGGATGCTCCAAGCTTTTGCACCCTCGCAACTCCATGCTATCTGGGTTTCGGGTTTCGTTGAGGCTTGTGGCTGGTTGGCAAGTTGGAACTTGGCGGAAGCCCGTGATGCTGCGAGCGCTTGCGCACTGCGGATATCTGGGCACAACGAGAGCTCAAGGCTGCCGGCGCCACAGTCGTGGCCAGTCCAGCTGGCAATGCCTTGGGCATCTTCTTTGCAACTGAGTCTGCAGCCACATCGGGCTTTGGAGCCAACCAACACCGCCGTTGGTGTTCCTCGATTTCCGGCTGCCAGACAAGGTCTTCCTTGCCACCGACGTAGAGTTCAGGGCACAAGTCCAGCACCATGATTAGCTAATACCAGTCAGTGCTCTTAGACTCTTGGAGCCTGAAAGTCACAACCCCATACCGCGACGATTGAATACTTCAAGCTCGCTTTTGGATGATTCCTCCACGAGAGTCTTTGGAGCCGAAATGAGCACGGGATGGTCGTATCATGGTGCATCTATTAGCAGAGCGCACGGTGGACGTCATGAGGCTCTATGCAGCAACTGAATGATCCTTGAGTGGCACATCTGCTTGCAATGGCGAGTCCAGGGTTTTGAATTGCGCTTCTGCAGTTCCAGCACGCTCATAAGCACCACTTTTGGCCGAATGTCAAAGACACACGGTAGCTGTGCTATAGTTCGCCAGTACGCCCTTATAAAGGCATGGGTACCCTTCCCGCCTACAAGCACGACTCAGTCTTGAAAACGAGTCCCTCTTCAAACCAACGTTGCAAGGGCACTACTGGTGGATCATGCACTATGCTGTCATTCAATTCCAAGCCTTTTTCGGCCATGGGGGCAAGAAACACTGCTACGGACTAGACTATGACTAGGCCCGCAGGAGAACGCGTGGCGGAAGAACGATGAGATTGATTGCATATTGGAGGGAAGGCATCCTCCTAGATAGGACGTCTCTCGAGAGATCCGGTACACTGGCTGTGAAGGAGCTGGCACTTGCATGTAGGGCATAAAGGTCGCGGGCTGTACGATGCGCATCGTCACTCGAGGAGCCGTGCGGTGGACCCCCTTGATGATCACCCGACAATGTTGGATGGTGCCCGGGAAAGCCATGCAACGACTCCGATCGACGAGAAGCGATGAGGCCGGCTTTGCCACTGTCACCACTGACTCCGGGACTGCTCCGCTGTAGCCAGGATGGCCTGCAAAGGTGATTGCACAAGATGACTATAGGCCTTGGGGTCTTCAAGTCTTATAGGGTTCGAGAGGGTGAAATTCCAGCTTGATTCCGGCACTACACTCCCACTCGGATGCTCCAAGCTTTTGCACCCTCGCAACTCCATGCTATCTGGGTTCCGGGTTTCGTTGAGGCTTCGGGCTGGTTGGCAAGTTGGAACTTGGCGGAAGCCCGTGATGCTGCGAGCGCTTGCATAGGTCCTGGAGAGCTTCTGCGCTGGGGATATCTGAGCATAACAAGAGCTCAAGGCTGCCGGCGCCACAGTCGTGGCCAGTCCAGCTGGTAATGCCTTGGGCATCTTCTTTGTAACTGGGTCTGCAGCCACATCGGGCTTTGGAGCCAACCAACACCGCCGTTGGTGTTCCTCGATTTCCGGCTGCCAGACAAGGTCTTCCTTGCCACCGACGTAGAACTCAGGGCACAAGTCCAGCACCATGATTAGCTAATACCAGTCAGTGCTCTTAGACTCTTGGAGCCTGAAAGTCACAACCCCATACCGTGAAACAATTGAATTCTACTTCAAGCTCGCTTTTGGATGATTCCTCCAGGATGAGTCTTTTGAGCCGAAATGAGCACGGGATGGTCGTATCATGGTGCATCTATTAGCAGAGCGCACTGAGTGATCCTTGAGTGGCACGTCTGCTTGCAATAGCGAGCCCAACGTATTGAATTGCTTCTGCAGTTCCAGCGGGCTCATAAGCAACACTTTTGGCCGAATGTCAAAGACACACGGTAGCTGTGGTATAGTTCGCCAGTACGCCCTTATAAAGGCATGGGTACCCTTCCCGCCTACAAGCACGACTCAGTCTTGAAAACGAGTCCCTCTTCAAACCAACGTTGCAAGGGCACTACTGGTGGATCATGCGCTATGCTGTCATTCAATTCCAAGCCGAAGAACGATGAAATTGATTGCATACTTGGAGGGAAGGTATCCTCCTGGATAGGACGTCTCTCGAGAGATCCGGTACACTGGCTGTGAAGGAGCTGGCACTTGCATACAGGGCACAATGGTCGCGGGCTGGACGATGCGCATCGTCACTCGAGGTGCCGTGAGCCCCTTGATGATCACCCCAGGATGTTGGATGGTGCCCGGGATAGCCATGCAACGACTCCCATCGACGAGAAGCGATGAGGCCGGCTTTGCCACTGTCACCACTGACTCTGGGACTGCTCCGCTGTAGCCAGGATGGCCTGCAAAGGTGATTGCGCAAGATGACTATAGGCCTTGGGGTCTTCAAGTCTTATAGGGTTCGAGAGGGTGAAATTCCAGCTTGATTCCGGCACTACACTCCCACTCGGATGCTCCAAGCTTTTGCACCCTCGCAACTCCATGCTATCTGGGTTCCGGGTTTCGTTGAGGCTTCGGGCTGGTTGGCAAGTTGGAACTTGGCGGAAGCCCGTGATGCTGCGAGTGCTTGCATAGGTCCTGGAGAGCTTCTGCGCCTCTGCGCTGGGGATATCTGAGCATAACAAGAGCTCAAGGCTGCCGGCGCCACAGTCGTGGCCAGTCCAGTTGGTAATGCCTAGGGCATCTTCTTTGCTAGTGGGTCTGCAGCCACATCGGGCTTTGGAGCCAACCAACACCGCCGTTGGTGTTCCTCGATTTCCGGCTGCCAGAACAGGTCTTCCTTGCCACCGACGTAGAATTCAGGACACAATTCCAGCAACATGATTAGCTAATACCAGTGCTCTTAAACTCTTAGAGCCTGAAAGTGAACCAATTGAATTCTACTTCAAGCTCGCTTTTGGATGATTCCTCCAGGATGAGTCTTTGGAGCCGAAATGAGCACGGGATGGTCGTATCATGCCGCATCTACCAGCAGGGCATGTATGTATATACATGCGTGTCTACATATACATATATACTTATTATGTACACATGTATCTGTCTATATATATGTGTGTGTGTGTGTGTAAGTGCACATGTATCCACTTATGTACATGGGCAAGCAAACAAACAAACATACATACACATGCACATGCACACACACACACACACAAACACACTCCTACATATACATGTGCATATGCATGCATATATATATATACATGTGCACATCCCCACCGAGCGCTGAACATATGGTGCAAGACAAGCTGCAAATGTCTCGGTTTCCCAAAACGATGAAAACCTGATTGGCACGGCATGCAGACTGTGTGCTCTAGTCCGGTGTAGAACCGTCACAGGTCCTACCAGGTCGGAAGGTTCGGCACAAGGCTTTCAGGCTGTTGGAGGGCATTGGAGGCGCATGCACCCCTCTGCCGCGACACATGCGTGTACTAGCATGTTGCAAAGCTTTTGCTGTCCAAGCAACTCTTGACCAGTAGCGCTGCTTGAGGGAGAGGAGGGTCTTCACGACCCGAATATCGCCTGGGCCCTTGTCCACTGCATCGCCTTCGCTGCCAACAGAACTCAAGGCCAAGGCGAGGGTGAGCTCTGTGAGCGGAAGCATGTCCGCTTTGCTATGGATTGTGCCGGGCTCGTACCCTGACACAGTACTGACATCGCCCAGGACCTAGTATGTCGCCTCGCATTGATTTAGCCCCCAGATTGTAAGGACACACATTTAGCCATCTGGACATCGTGTTCGAGCCTCCGAAGACCAGGTAGCCGCCTTCTCGCATGCAAAGCTGGCCCGGGCCCCAGGCCCCCTGCTCCTGGCAGCACCGAGCTCCAGTTCCAACAAGATGCGCATGATCAAGTCGCCAATGCTATTACGCAGCATCAAGAAACACTGCAAGCAACAGTAAAAACAACACAGCAACAGCAACGACTACTACTACGACGATGGCTATTACTCCTACTCCAACTCCTACTGCTACGGCTACAGCTGCTCTTGCTGCTGCTTCTGCTGCTGCTACTATACGATTACTAATAATACCTGCTTCTGCCACTGCCAGTGCTACGAATAGTAATAGTAGCGATGGTGGTAGCCGTGTAGGTACCAGAAACGGAAGCAGAAGTAGTAGCAGTAGCAGGGGTAGTAGTACCAGCAGCAACTGCAATAGTAGTATTCGTAGCAGTAGTAGTAGTCGTCGTCGTCGTCGTAGTGGTAGTGGTAGTGGTAGTGGTAGTGGTAGTAGTAGTAGCAGTAGCAGTAGCAGTAGCAGTAGCAGTAGCAGTAGTAGTAGTAGCAGTAGCAGTAGCAGTAGCAGTAGTAGTAGTAGTAGTAGTAGTAGTAGTAGTAGTAGTAGTAGTAGTAGTAGTAGTAGAAATAGAAGTAGAAGTAGAAGTAGGAAGTAGGAGTAGAAGTAGAAGTAGTAGTCGCAGCACTAGCAGCTAGTCACTAGCAGCAGCATCAGCAATCGTAATAATGTAATCACACAGTTCCTTTATCCAGCACAATAACAATGACCAATGTGATTTTGTTTCTAGACTGCTAGAGATATCGTCCCTTTCTGAGTTACGCTCTCGGAACTCGGACTCCGCCAGACGAGGTCTCTCGGTCCACAAGTACGTTGACTGAACTACGGCTAGCTGACGGAGATGATTTCTACACCACCCGAGCTAAGGAAGTAGCATCAGAAAGTGTTAGATGTTGTCATTTATGCTGATTGTTACATGCATAGGGTGGCGCACATGTAGGTATGCATGCATGTGCTTGTGTACGCTTGTTTGTTCCTGTGTGTATCCTGCGTATGTACACGCATTCCTGCAGGCATTCGGGTGTTGAGCTTGTGTGCATGTCGAATACGTACGCATGTACGTAGGCATGTTTGCAGGTTTAAGTATGTATGTATGTAAGTGTGCATGTACAATGCATTTATTGTATGGTCATGTACTGCCCCGATCCTGAGGCCCCGTTTCAATGCTTTCCAACATATTGGAGGATTTGGAACTTCGGCGCTCACGTCCGCACGCGCCCTCTGTAGTAAGTATATAGGGAACAAGATACCACTAGCGCAAACTACGCACCACACCACGGCGGCCGTGTGTCCCGGGAACCCCCGTCACGTGCACCTCTCACAGACACATACACATGCTCTCATCAACTCTCTTGAACCACACTATACTTCTGAACCCTATAGTCTCTATAGTGTGTACAGCACAGCTTGAGGAATCCACATTGGCCAACTGTGCACAGTTATCATCCACTGTCTTGCGTCCATGCCACTTACTGTACATGCCGGATCGTTTATCGCACGCGGATACATCAGAACAGTAAGCACATGCCTGATGCTTACAAATCTTGAAGCACATGGACGGGATACACGAAAAGTCTGATTACCCTAGTTGCAATCAACCTCTTTGCCCGCCTCGCCATCCCAAAACAGGATATGGCTCAAAGAAACAAAGTGGACCTCATGCGCGGCATGCTGTCTGCACGGGGGACGTAAGGAAACTTCGAGATCATGCTGGTAGCATCAGCTACAGCGAGGGATTCCATGTTGCAGCGAGAAACAGACACTTTCATCTCTGCAGCCGACTTGCCATGTATTCCCAGTTTCCCTCGACATCTGTCAGGAACTCGACAGTCCTGGGAGGCGTCTGGTTTTGGAGTTTCGCAGAAGCGGTGGGCCTGCTGCCTTAGGCGTTGCCAGGGCACATATCATCAGTGATCTTTGTCACTTCCGGGATCGCCCCCAACCTTGCAGTCGCATTCTTCATTTGTTTCTAGATAAGTATACAGACACAGATATTCATGCATACATGTTTCAATGTAGCCTGGGAGGATTCAAACCTCTGACCGCACGTCATGGCAGCCGCGCGCATTCAGATTCACTCGAAAGCCCACAGCCATAGTACCCTGAGACACATTCAGCGCAGATTAAGCAACCATCTGACTATTCACTGCCAACTGTGCAGGTAGGTGTAAACATCTCTGAAAGCTGCAAAAGACTCCAAGCCACTGTGGGAAGCGCTGCTTCGCCAGGTTCAAAGCCGACGAGCTCCTGGGTCTCGGGACCGTGACATGCAATGCCCGCACGAAGATCTGCCTTCTTGGGCCCTGCTGAACTGTGGCAGGACACGTGCTCGGAAACCAAAACTGTGAGTTGTCTGAGAAGGAGGCATGGAGAAAGTACAGCAATGCTTGTCTATGTGTCTTGCACATGCTTCATTCGATCGGGTGTCTGGAGTGCCCTGCAGCCGGGGAGCGTGGTGGCTGGCTGGCGGCTCTCATCAAAAAGCCACCTCGTGAATGCCTCGCAGCCTGACACGCACAGAACTCGAAAAGCTGCAACAGCCGAAGCCTGAAGCCGTCAAAAGGATCATAAAACAATCAAGGCCTCCAAACAGCGACCAGAGTGTACGCGCTTCTCCCTAAACTTGATCTGAAACTGATCCGAGCTGAGCAACTGATGGGCGCATCCTCCGCGATGCCGGCTGCCCGCAGGATCTTCCTCGGGAGTGACTCGTCAATGGGGGCGGAACTGTAATCAAGGGGTAAGGGGTATTTAGTACGACTACCCTTTGTTAGTGGTTCAGTGGTAAGATCTCGGTTTTTCATTTGCGCAACTTGGACAAGGAATGGCTTAGGGGCTTGGGGGAACTTGAAGTTGCTGGGCGGTGCTCGAGTACAACACTGCCCACATCTTTGGTCTGCTTACTGCCCTCCTGGGACATAGGGCCTAGCAGGTTGCGGGATTTGTGTACGGCCGGCCTGGATCTGGGAGTTTCCGAAAATTAGGGGTACCTTATTTTGGGGCCTTATAATAAGGGTCCTATTATTTGGGGTACCATATTAGGGTCCCCTATTTTCGAAAACTCCCATCTGGGAGCTTGCAGAACTATACAGGGCTCTGCCCTGAAAGGGCATTGGAGTTGAAGGGCATTGCATGCATCATTTAGCCCGTGGCAGCGGGGAGAAGATGATTGGCTTCCGTGCAGGCTGCAGCCTAATGGTCGACCAAACGTCCCCAAGCTGAAACCTGACAGCATGCCAGGAATCAGCGAACTCTACCAGGGTCTGAACAACGCCGAGCACTACGATCGCCTTCCTGAATACCCCAACAATTACTGTAAGCCTCACGAGCCAAGGCTCAGGAGGTCTTCATCCGTCCAGCAAGGGTCGAGTCGACCTCACTTGCGAGCAGCTCGCGAGGGCGAGTCACAGAGCGAAGCCGAGAGGCCCAAGGCTTCGAGGAGAAGAGACCGGTCGACTGTGTCGCCTCAGGTCTCCGTAGGAAGCTAGGAGATTGTATGAGACATCAGACTGAGCAATGCCGCGTTAAACCGTCCCCGACAACAGGTCGTGAGTCCAATCGGACAGTAACCGTTGATTGAGCCAGCCAAGCTATGGCACTCCCATCCGTTGCCAAGACTTGCAGCGATTGCGCAATTCCTGGGCTGTAGGGGGATAGGAGTCTTGCAGGCACAAAAACTGCTTTCATGACAAAAGCAACCCAGTTCTGCCCGAGAAACGCTCGCAAGTTGATGGGTCCATGGCTTAAGCCGACATCGGTCGATCCATGTCCGGTCTCTCAGAACTTCTCTTGCTTTTTGGTTTGTGTAGGCTCCGAAAAGACGTTGCACTAGAGTTGATCGTGCACTGAGCTGGCACCCCTTGCTGCTCTTAGTTCAGGCGAAATTGAAAGACTGCTTCCTGGGTTGCCGAAAGATGTTCTCGTCGTTGTGCAGACGGATCTGCAGATTTGGGTGGCGACTTGCAGGATGTGTACGGATCTGGCAGCCAAATTCAACGGGATAGGAAGGCATGCAGCCTAGTGTCACAAAGTCTCCACTCACTGCCTGACCAGCCACCAAGCAAGACACGGCCCGGAACATCATACACTCCAGGCAATGCAGCGGCTGCAAATCCCACACCAGCAACATACTGAACCTGTGGCGGGAACTCTTGGGGCCAGGCACGTTGTTAACCTTGTCGTTTGCAGCAGTGGCTCTGGCCTTCATGAGCATCTCCGGCGTCCTCAACAAGGACCAGCGTGCAACCGGTCAGGGATCAGCACCAGATGAATTCAGGAGAAAGCTTCGTTAAGTTCCCGACATGTCAACGCCAAGGACATGTCCTTTCGGCCCAACCTGTCAACAGATAGGCAATACTCGGCACTAGCAGCTAGCAGGGCTGATGGTAAACAGCGCCGAATAACTCATGCGGACCTGCTTTGCTGCAATGAAGCAGTCCATACCCGCCCCGCTGCCCAGGTCCAACACCACCTGGCTTGCGGGGCTCACCGACAACTCGTGCTGCCCGCCCGAAAACCCCCAAAAGCTGTCTTGATGAAACACAGCATTGCAACTTGCTGAGGCTGCGACCCAGTGCAGGTCAGAAGAAATTAGTGTGAAGTGCAGTGCACGCAAAAACAAGCTGTCATGTTAGAGGCTGGAAAATTGGTGCCACATGTTCTTCATGTTACGGCCACTGAAGATGGTCTCACCGTATAATCCACTACAGTAACTCAGTATACAGCATATGATGCTAGATTACAGTGCTGCTTTGTGCCCACGTTGCCCACGTGCCTCACCCGGCTGCAGGTTGGCGGTGGTGAGGGGATTGCCACATCCCAAGCCTCCACAACGCGCTAAAGCTCCAGTCTTGGTGACTTAGACTTGGAAAGATGATCTGGTTTCTACCATCAGGATTCCTACCGGGTCTTCCAGCAAGTACTTTAAGATACTTTAAGTGTCATACTGTGCTTTCTGATTCTACTCTTCAGAGCAGAACAACCTTTCCAATTCTGGTTGCTGAAAGTTAAGAGCTCGCCATACTATTATTCTTGGCTCCCACTTGGCACGTCGCTGACGCCACATTGTTCATTGTCGGATGTGCGAGCATGCAAAGGATTTCTCGGAGGTCGGCGGCGCATAGAGATATGCAGAAGTGCTCTCACATGTCTTGGGAGGATGGGGAGGGCCTATCTTGTTTCTTACTGATAGCTTGCAGGATCTCTCCTAGCATGTCCTAGTAGAAGAGAGAGGGGAACCCCAGCTGAGAAGTAAAGGAGCTTTTTGACGTCTTCTGTTTATTGAAGGGGCAGCCTGAATCAGAGAGAAGCAAACGCAATGCAAAAGATTCAAGAACAACCCGACGTACCTGCAGATGTGAAGGCGTGGATTTCCGGGTACGGGGTACCAATACGGTTTTGTGTATATCTTGTCATTTGTAACATCTATATGATACATACAATCTCAGCTGAACATATGTGTGAGTACTGTGTGGAAAGATATAGACCCAGAGAGAGCCAGCGAGAGAACGAGAAAAGGAAAGAGGCGCACAGGAAGGCCTGAAAGCGAAACCTTTTGATATTTGGATTACCATTATGCACATCACATCAAGCGCCTAAATCCGCAGACTCGTTCACGTCGCCCTCCTCGTAACCTGTGCCAAGTGCAAAAGCTTTGCGTGGACCGCGTTTCTCAATTGAAAAGATTCCTTGTGATCCACCGAACTGGAAGAAAGCCACCGGAGCAAAATCATATTGCGCATCGGACCAGCATCAAAAAGCAAAGAAACAGGAAGGAAAGCTGGGCTCCCTTCCAGACAGGCCGGTATCGAGCCACTCGGGACGGCACCGAGCAGCTTGCGACGCTTCTGAATGTCACCGACATCAAGAGGAAGGACCTTCAGCACTGGGTCTTCCGAAAAAGGGCCTTCTGAGGCTTCGTCTGCATTCTACATGGATTTATGCTGGGCAGCAAGTATAGATGTTTGAATGGCACCGCAGGCTGGGCACGAAGAACATGCCACAGCCACTGAAGCCCTTCCATCGCCACTGTTCTTCGGTCTTACGTACTCCACTCAAGATCTAAACCATCAGGAATGCCGCTGTCCTTTACACCAAGCCGATGTTTTGGCCGATGACGAAAAAATGCAATCGCATGGGTCCTGGACGTTGCTTCGATTCAGAAGCGACCAGACCAGCTACGCACAATTAGATGTGGCAGATTCTCTATGGTATGTGACGGTGCCGAAGTGAAACAGCTCAGCACGGACATCTCAGAGCTCTTCGGGCGCAAGTTTCCGGGCGAGCCAGCCGAGAGGCCAACCCGGGAGCCAAAAGGCTTTGCCTCCCAGGCAGCTCGAGGACTTCGCTCTTGGGATGCCTTATGTTATATCATAAAATTATACTAGACCATAATAACGCAAAGTTTTGTATATTATAGTATATGAGAAGGTATCATAGTGTATCATGTCTCGTTCTAGTATACTATCAGCTTCATGCGCCCACTTGGAGGGTCAATGCCGGTGTAAAGGCGGCAATGCACGTGATGCTTGTATGAACGGCTACGTCACGGCATTGCCGAGGCTGTAGTCCAGCTTGAACCAATGAAATCAGGACATGCAACCCATAAACCAGCAGTGGTGTCCTGTGGCATATCAAGACAAACGGACGGGGTCGAAGCACCCAACGTTACAAACTGCTTTGACTTTGGGAGAGTTTGGCGGCTCGATGACACAACGAGCCACCAACGATACTGCGTTCATTAAAAACATTGTAAAATCAATGTCAACATAGAAGGTCGCTCAGGGACTGCACGGTTGAGACTCTTCTTGGGTTTCATGAGCCCATTAGCGCTAAACCAATTTCTTCTCTGTGCCTTTTGGAAAGATAAGGTACGAATCGCGGCCGGTCCTCGGCAAAGGGGCATGGGGCAGGTGCTCTTTTTCATTTTTTGAGAAAACTCCATGCTTCTGAGTGGGCCTGATATAAGTAGGGACTATAAGTCATTATAAGTATAGTTATCTGCTTATTTATAACCCCAGTGACTAAGTCCCATTGGGCCTGACATGGACTACAAACGACCAGATATGCGTTGGGACCCAACTTCCCCTCAGTAAAGTAAGATGCAACGTAAGCAATCTCGCGCGGGGGTGTGCTGCAAACGCGGGGCCGGCCTAATGCTTGTCTTCTGGTTGAGTAGGAAGAACCTACTCACACCGAACCCGGCTGAAGCCTTACTGTAGGGACCGTAATAAGTAGAACAAGGTTTTGGGGCCCATTGTGCCATTGTTATAATAAGGAACCCAGTCATTAAGGCCCCTATATTACACAGTTCAGCTGGGCATCGGTGCAAGCAGCTCCTCAGGCGGTTCAAGCCGTTTACCGAAGGCGGCTCCCGGAGGTACCACCTTCAGGCTCGCTCTTCTCAAAGGGACCCTTGGGGGGGTAGGGGGGAGGGGGGTAGGGGACTGTACTTCCTTAAAGCAGCCTTATTAAGTCCTTATTTTAAGTATTAATGCCCCTACCCCCCTCCCCCCTGCCCCCCAAGGGTCCTTGTGATCTTCTGTGGTTTCTGCAGGCCCTTGGTCGATTGCATCTGTGCTGATTTGAGCAACATGCTCGTCAAGTTAGGTTCCACCTTACTCCCGAACTCCAGGAATAGCAGAAACGACCGGATGCGATTGTGCCCATCACTGCGACCCAAAGCTCGCAGCCGGAAGTTCTTGGGACCGCACGTTGACAAGAAGCTGCGGATAATTACATATACAGATACATACACCAAACCGCTCTTCCACTCCTCTAGGCAACCAAGAAGATCCAAAGAAATCCCTGCCCACACAGCATATGGCCTGGAAGTTCTGCGAGCCAAAGCCTCACCAAGTACGGAGGGGTAAACGAAGATGCTCTTCGGGCTTTGAGCGTTTGGGGGCTGGCTTGGCCAGGGTACGAATTGCATAGGGCAACTTGGAGAATGTTTTTCGCGACGGGTAATATAGTGGGCTTTACTTATCTCTGATACGAGCAAAGAGAAAGAACTCGGAACAGCGAACTTGTTTTCATGCTCATGTGGCGGGCATGTCAAGCAACCTATGGACCTATGCAACCTTGGCAACAGCAACACCACCACGTAAAAAGCATTTACTTCACCAACTCAGAAGCAACAAAAACATGGATTGCTGTTCTAGGTTCTGAGACTCTGTGACTTCCAGCCCATGACCACCAACATGTTAATATAAACATCTCCGGTCAGCCTGTAGCTCGTCGCGCGTTAAAACGAACGTTTCCTTGACTCTTCTTCCGCATTCGTTGGCATCAAATCTCTTAAGATCATGAACAACTGCCGACATCGCCTCGCATAGTAGACCAAGACCTAACTGTTCCGACTGGTTGACCAGTTCTTGAAACTACTTCTTAACAATGGGTCACGGAAAAGCTATACGTAGCCTACAGCTGCTATATCTTGCTCAGGGGTCCTATTCCCTTACATCACTAGGACACGTAGCTACCTGCTACCTCAATATCAAACACCGTGACGTGCATAAGCTTCCTAGTGTAGAACTAAATCCCACTCAAATCTGCTAGGCTAACTAGCAAACGTCGCCAGGCGTCACTACTCTTCCCGAAATTGGCCGGAATACGAACGCCTTGAGGTCCCTTTAAGGACCGTGCACGCACTTGGTGATAAACGGAAGAGCACTAACATCCCGTAAACATGCATATACAAGTACAGGCACCAACAGGTAAAACTAACATACAGAGAGAGTGAGAGAGAGGGAGGGAGTTTAGATCGGGATCAGGAGGCATAGGTCCGCTCTTTGCAGAACGGGCAGCCGTTGATCCACTCGTAGCCCCTGCTATCGAGCTTGAAGACGTCGGTAATCTCAAAATGTTCCCAATCACCTGAACGGCATTTCGCGGCAGCTCGAGGTCAGGTCTGAAGAGAAGAGTGTTAAAGGCAACATGTTCGCAGATGCATGTGTCGCTGCCGATTTAAAGAGAAAAGACTCAGAATGAGAGGCTGTACACAGAAAACCAAACTGCCAACACCCTCCCCTTCCCAATCAGCATTAACCTCGTCATCATCAGCATGCCCATCCGTGTCTTCTTCTCGATACCAGCATTACCTCGTCCGCGGTGAATACCATTACAAAAATGACTCTCGCCGTCACCACCGTCCTCCTCACAACCATCATCATCATCACCACAAGATCGCCATTGCGCTGTCTTGCGTTTCAGCGGGATGCATTTGCAGAAGCATATTGGCATATTATCCGGCTTGACAGGCTTTTCTCTCAGCGACAGAAGCTGGACAGCTGGACTCTACAGGTCCACAATTCAGTCCACGTCAATGTCACCGTTGTATGGACCATCGCCGGCACCACCGTCACCATCATTTACATGGTCGTCACCACCATCTTTGGCTTCAGTCCCACGAACCAGCACTGCGGCTGTAGCCACCATCATCACCACTGCCGCATCCTCCTCTACTACCATCGCCACCACCGCTTGTTACCACTCACCAAAAATTGACCACAACTTCCTCCTCAGCACCAGGATCATTATCGATTCCTCTGCCGATGCTACTCGCACAGGCTGTCTTCGGCAGGTGGTGGAGTATTCTTGCTGCAACTCGGACTGCTGCTGCTGCTGCTGCTGCTTCTTGGTTCTCATGGTGAGGGTCTTCACGCTCACGATGAGGACATGCTCCATCATCATCAGATTGCAGGCTTACTCATACGCATGTGCTACCGAGCTACGTCCCATTGCCTCCTCCGCTGTCGCCGCTGTGGAACCCGCGTTGGGGCGTCTCAAGACACCAAGCCTGTGGTCAAACGAAGCTGTTCAGGTGACGGAAGGTTTGAAGGTTGCACAAACTCGCAAAATTTGGTTTTTGCTACATGGCTGCTAAGTGCAGCCGTGGTGCTCTGCGAAGCATGCGTGCACGGCGCTGTAGATGGCTCCAGCAGAACTCTTGTCAGAGGCGAGACCAGACTCGTAGCAAATGTACGCTGGATGAATTTGCTCGCCACTCCTCCCGACACGCTAGGACAACGACACAGAACCCACTCCTCTATAGACATTACCAGACCATGGCATGACGATGCTCGGCTACACAAGTCACACACGCGCACGCACAAAAACAAAACACAAGTGCTCCTTTGGCACACTTCAAATGGTGCGTGTTGCAGAGCATATTCATCTGACATGGCACCACCAGCGATCAATGTGTCTGGATCCTCAGTGTGATGTTCTGTTGCTCGGGACCCCTGCATCGAACCAATAAAATGCGTCTCCGATCGTTCAAGTGTTGAACCAGGCGCAGTGACCGTGGGTTGCCGTCTTCCTTGTGGGATGCTGCGTGCAACTTTACAAGAGTATACGGTAGTGTCTGAAAACTCATTCTTTCCGCGAATCGCGGCAAGCGAAATCGCCCACAATGTCCAGCTAGTAAAACCAGGTCTCAACGTCCCTCCACCTGTCAAAATCCTTGCTGCTGCCCGTAGACTGTCCCCATTGTAATCTTCGGCCCGGATAAGTAAAGTTCATGGATCTTCTGGAATGGTTTCGAACTGAAGACTGATACACGTCCCATCTGCCCATGCATATATCAGGACACCATCCCCGTCAAGATGCCCACAAGATCGTACGGCAGGAGGCTGGCAGCGCCCGCAGGAAAGCCCTCCGGCACAGTTGGAATGCACGGACGGGTAACAGACACATAACACGCAGGACTTCTTCATGTCACATGCCGCCTGAGCTAGACTCACACACAGCTATCAGACAAGACTCAAGTGACGAGTCACACTTGTAATCTTTGTTTGCTGCTCTAAACGCATGGACAGCCATGTCTCCAACCCCACGTAGTACGACGACTTTCTATTTGCAGGACGGTTTGTCAGATGCCTTTCGGCGGATGCGAAGCGCTCTTTGCGCCCAGCCACGGGCCCTGCGTGACACATTGAATAACTAATATAGTATAAAAGGCTTGGGATTCTTGGACAGCGTCTACGCAGTTCGAGTTAGGAGCCAATTCGTCGGAAGCAAGCAGAGTTGCAGTTGATCTGCTGCGTCTGAACAGCACGAAGACGCCAGCATGCACTATACGAACTACCAGAAACTGTACCGACGACCCAGCTTCAGCATGCACGACGTCAAATAGCCCATTGTTGGTCTACAAACGAGCTCGCGAGACGGTGCTTCCCCTCTCCGGCATCCCTTCGATTTCTGAGTCGCAGCCGGTGTGCTGACCCGCTTACCCCTCAATCGGACTAACTGTGACTAACTGCAACCTCACACAGCCTGGAAGCCGCGCAAAGGGCTTGGACGGCTTGTTGGTCGCATGCAAGTCCAGCAACACGTCCAAGCCTCCTTGGAAATGGCCACGACTGAAATAGCTCCACAGTTTGTGGACGCCTGCCATACTTACACTCAACTCATATCGGCCGGATGTCCATGGCCGACAGCGGACACACTGCTGAAAACCATATACCACGATGCTTTTCTCATCGTGGAGCCAAGCTGCTCAGCAACGGCATCAGTACCTGCATCAATGTTCGCAAAAATCCACACCAGGCAAAACAGATTGCCTCTTGAATAAGGCGGCGTGGAAAGTCTCAGACTCTGCCTCTGCCTCTATAATGCCACATCTTTCAGCGATATTAGAATGCCGCAGATGTATGGCAAACAGTACTATGCCGGCCGCGGAAGAATGTTGCATCCAAACACAGCGCCAGCCGCACTGTGCCTTGGCACGGGACTGCTCATGCTCCATGCCCAGTGGCATGGCTGGATCTCCACCAACCTGCGGCGAAGTCGCTTTTGGCAGATGCTTGGGGCTTGGGGAGCTCCTGCAGCTTCGAGTGAGTTTCATAGCACCATCCAACATCAAATCCAAAGGCAGCTTGTAGAGTTGGGTGTTTTGAGCGGCGAGTTACGGCGAGTTGCCAGCATGCCCTTCTGGTACGGCTGGTGCGGCTCACGTGGCTCCCTTTCTGCCATGAACCCGACCGACATTCTGGTCACAACCTGAAACAAGCGAATCATACTGCTGGCACCTCCTGGAAGCAGCGGTTGAGATCCTGGTGGACAAACCTGCGCTGCGGTATTTCAGTCAGAGGCTTCCATTGGCTCAAGATAGAACAGGAATCAATGTGAGGGTCTTTCGTCTGCAGGGTCGCGACGCGTAGACTGTAGTACACTGGGCCAGGAAGCCGAACCCCCCGGCTCACCGCCGGAGGATTGCCGATAGCGAGAGTGATCTCCCCCTGGACTTGCTCCTGCCAAAAAACAACCCTCGGACCAAAAGAGCTGATTCGCCTCTGGAAGCTGCGTGATTCCATACATACGTCATGTGTACCGTGACTACTTACTGAAATTACATACTGCTTCCGGGCAGAGGCATCTTCTGCTCTAGGAGATTCTACGAAGCCACCAGGAAGCCAGTTGTGTTGCCACAGCTCCATAGCACAGCTTTGCACTGCGATCAGCTCCAAGGCACAAGCTGGCCAGCAGCCTGTCTCCCTACTCAGGCTCAGACCCGCTTAAACAAACAAACGAATGCCCTCTTTGACCCTGAGCCCCTGGGGTCCGGTTTGTTGCACATCTCCGAGACCAGTCGCTGCACCACCTCCACACCGCTTAGCCTGCCGAGCACTGGGTTTAGACTCCCACTTCCTCTCCACGCGCAGCATGGTGAAGCTAATGCACGAAGAAGGCGCGCTTATGGACTTGCCCAAAATCAACCGGTTCATGCGCACGGTCTGAAAAAATTACTCGATCCTTCCTCTGTATATATGCCAAGCGACTCATTCCCGTGCACGCCGCCCAGCACCACCACCCTGGGTCGGCCTTCTCCCACGCGCCACACGGAGGGGGCAATCCTTCCGTTTCGCGTGTCTCACGAAGTCCACAGACCGGCAAGAGCTCAAAGTAAGTCAAGGCCAAGGTGCTCGGAAAGCCGGGCAGCTGCACCGAAGCAACGCCGAGCACCGGCAACAGATCGAAAATTTGCGATGCACGAGACCATTGCTTCGAGTCTGAACAAAATCCTTGCGCCGATTTAAACTAGCTGGTCAAAAGGCCATCCAGGGTTTCGATGGAACCGTTGGAAGCGGTCTTGAAAACATGAAACCCCGGTCTGACATGGCAGGCTTCGTGGGGCATTTATTCGTGCTTGCTGCCCTCGGATGTTGCTGGCTGCTCTAACAAGGCCGTCGCTGGCCCATGTGGTGCCCGTAGTTGTCCCTCTTGCTAGCAAGCATCCCTCTTTGTCTCTGGCATTCTCTGGCTACACACGTAGTTGTTCTCGAAACCCAAGCTTTTTTGCTGAGAGGGCTAATGGTCGCTGTCAAACTGATCCCCTGCATCGCATGTCTTAGCAGTTCGGCAGAGCTTGTTCTCCTTTACTGAGCCTCAAAGGAGCATAGCTGAGAGTCAATGCTGAGGCATCTCGACTGTCACAGCCTCCGAAAGGCCGGTCGCTCCTATGTTTCACTTCTTGTCCTCCGATTCTTATTCTTATGTTTCTTGTTATTTTTCTCGCCGGCTCTTTCGCTCTCCGTGTGTGTGTGTGTGTGTGTGTGTGTGTGACTCGACTCTTGTCCCACTTCTGCATAAAACTTGAACCAGCAAGCTGGGGGCTTCATCCACATCACCGGAGGACTAGCATGCACTGGGCCGTGGGGATGAGATTGTCCCGATGCAAGCTGTGCTAAGGCCCTGGCACCTGCGCCGCCCACCTGTCTCAACTTTGCTGCAAAGCTTTCCGCTTCGGCTCCGTGGATGGGGTTCGGGGTCTTGCTCTGCATCCTCAGCTGCTGCAGGCTTGATACAGCGTAGGGCTTAGGGAACCAACTTCGTGTGAGGACAGGGGACCATGGACTCGCAGCTCCGACCCCTCAAACTAAGACTCTCTCTCTCTCTCTCTCTATCCCTCTCTGGCCCCATTCCTCTTGAAGACGCAGGTAGCTGCCAGAGATAGCCACCGGTCACTTCACTTTGGGGCCCCTGCGGCCGTCTGAGCGTAAGCACCGCGCACAATCTCGGATTAAGCTGGCTTGCTGGTTCAACTGCCATACCAGTTACTAAGGTTTGATGTTAGTACATGCGGGAGCGAGGTTTTGTTTCCTATGCGACCCATGACCCACTGGAATACCGTTATTGATGAGACTCTGATAACATCATGATGGAACATTCGGTCCTATGATCTTTGCAGCGCTTGCTTCTGACACTATTCTTGGCGTGAGACTTTGCCTGCAACCTTAGAGAGAAGTCTGATGACTGAAACCTGAAAACCCAAGCGAAGTCGCAAAGAAGTGCTGCCAAACCTCGCTTTTGAACTCTGCAATTACACCGCGACAGCCCTGCTCTCGTAGGTCTCGGACGTCCCGAACATCGCCAGTGGCCTGTGAAGCTGCCTGGCAAAGGTGTCGCAGCGACGCTCAACCGATTGAAACGTCTGACAAGACGAAAACTACATCGAACAGGAAACAGCAGAAACAGGTCGCTTTGGTGACGAACAAACATTTTTGGAAGGCATGCTTGGGTTGGTTCGAACCCCTGCGAAGCTCTGATACGAGATGGTTACATCATGTGTTGAACAAGGGGCACTCTCTAACTCATGGGGCTGTCGGTGTACCAGACAGTACATCTGGCAAGTGCTGCTTTTCTGCACTTCCTCCCGCCTAGCGCTTCTTTCCCTGCAGCCCCGTACCGTTTCGGTGCGGCTTGGCTCAGTCTTCGGGTTGGGGAGGTGGTCGTGTGCCGCGCAGCACCGCGACAACTGCATCTACCTGCCACCAGGGTTGTGCGAGACTCCACAGAGCTGAGTTGCACGGAAACTTGGAACAGCTAACGAAGATTTCCTGGGCAACACTTTGTTTGAAGCTGGCTTCACACAAACGAACATGATGAAACTAAGTGACGTCTCCCCCATGCCCCCGGTGCCCGCGCGTTCGCGTAAGTCTCATGATCATCTTATACCTTTGGGCTCTGTACAACCGACCTCGTCCTGGTAGATCGTTGCTTTGGGAAGGTTTCCTCAGACATTCTTGTCAGCGGCAACTCTTCAACAACAAGGATGCATATGAGTCTTCAGCTCCACTCCACTTCGCAGGGTCAGGGGCTGGAATCTTGACTGTGCGGAGAAGTGACGGCGGTGTGCCTGCCGTGCCAACAGCATACTGAGCTTCATTACATCATGAAACTATTCAGCAGAAAGGAAGTGCCCTTTCTCCTGACTCTGGTCTGGTGCAAAAGCTTCTCCAGACGAGTGACCATCCCATTCAGTACCTTTAACAATGGCAACGATCCCCTACGTGCTGCTTAACGGTTGAATCGCCGACAACCGACACAAACCACATTCCGAAGTCAATCCTCATGACCGGGTGTCTTCTCCAGTTTCGCCGTCCGTTTTCCGGCGGATACCTCGGCACCACGGCTCCAAAAAGCAACTTTTAGTTCATTGCCAGAGTATGCTACCGACGGACACTCTGGCAAGCATGGGCACCATCGGCCAATCAGATGAGAAACGTTGCTTGTACTCGTATGGCCCGGTGCAAACAAGGGCAACAGGCGGTGGCATGTGCGAGAGCAGCAAGGGGTGTGGCATACTTAATTCCATGTCTTGCCAACTTCAAGGAAAATCTGTGTCATTCTACATCAGAAGAATGCAGGAAGAACAACAGAATGGCTCGTTTGAACATCAATCTGAACCCCAAGCCAGCAGTTGGGCATAGTACAGCTCAAACAATACCTTGAATCTGAGGCCAAGCTGCATCTGGTCTAAGGCCAGTTCGGCGCAGTCGGCCACTTTGGCGGCCTACAGTTCGCGATTCCAGGGCTTTCGTCAGGAGCTGGTGGTGTCGCTTAGAGCACACTAGAGTTTGGACACGCTGATGCAGCAAGGGATTCGGGGGTTGTATACGTTCAGGGCGAAGCTTCGCGGGTCGGGGGGAATAGAAAGCCTTGCATGATACTACCCACGGGCAAATACAGGAGCCGGAAATGCAAGGAGAACAATGCGGCTTTCCGGGTATATTTGGAGGAAATGCTAAGACAAAGCGAAAAGCTGCAGGTGCCACATGGGGCAGCCTCTGCTTAAAGGTCTATCCACGCTCGCAATGTGTCGAAACCAAGCCTCATCAGCATCAGCGTAGTGGCCCAGGAAAATGAGCCGCTCACTTTGGCGGTCTCTAACCTGCCAGTCTTCATGCCAACGGTTGTGGCTCTCCGGGGATTTTCGATCAGATTTCTGGGGAGGTCATTCGACACAAGATCCCGAAGCCGACGCAGCTCGAACTCCCAACTTTGTCTTTCAGTCGCCTTCACCTCCCAGAACCACTTCTCGGAGGACCAGAAAACGCTCTCATACCTGGCATCGGCCGGCGAGGTTTCCTCACGAATGAAGCCTTCCGAAGTGTATGTCTGCGCAGGGGGGAGGGGCGGAATACCCTGCCTATGCATGCTTATTATGGCACCACTTTCGTGGAAATCCGACACCAGGAGTGGGGCATGCAAGGAACAAAAACTGCAGGGCTTCCTCCGCTCGGAGCTCTTCCGGACAGAGGCGAGGCACTCGGATGACCCTGATCTTACCTTTGGTTAGTAGGGAATGAAGGAATGGTGTTTAGGGTTTCGGCTAGTAGGGTAGTAGGGAATGGAGGAATGGGGTAGAATGATAACTACTTACTACTACCATTCTTCCATTCCCTACTAACCAAAGGTAAGGAATCCGGAACCGAAGTGCTGAGGGCAGTGCTTGTCTTCAGGATCGCCACCGGCTCGCCGAGCCACCTGTGTGCCTACACATAGCGTCGCTCAAGAATCGTACGGGGTGAGAGAGTTGCGTACGTCTTCGATTCCGATGTTGCCGGGACTGTCTTGAAGCTTCGGGTGTATCTTGAAGCTTCGAGTGGCTCGTCCGTCCGCCTCAGACTCGGAGGAAGATCATGGTTGGTAGTACACTGCACTGACTTTCCGCCGCATGCTGGAGGCTGGGCACAAAGCCATGCAGGGGTTGTGCAAGATACACTTCCTCACGTCTTCGCGCTGGTACAAAGGAATCTTTTTCTGACCTGTTCGATGTCCAGTGATTCAAAGACGAAGCTTCGGACGTCGAATGAGAGCACGTTGCAGGACTACTCAAGCAACCTGTAACTCGTAGAGTAACCGTAGTGGTACAGTACTAGCAATGGTGGTGGTAGTAGTAAGTAGTATGGGTATAGGTAGTACTGGTGTTGGTGGTGGTGGGGTGCTAGGAGTGGCAGTCGTCGTGGTTGTGGTGGTAGTGGTGGTGGCGGCGGTGGTGGCGGCGGGGGTGGTGGTGGTGGTGGTGGTGGTGGTGGTGGTGGTGGTGGTGGTGGTGGTGGTGGTGGTGGTGGTGGTGGTGGTGGTGGTGGTGGTGGTGGTGCTGGGAGCAGCAGCAACTGCAGCACCTGTAGCTGTGTAGTAGGAGTAGCACATGCAGCGAAAGCAGCGGTAGCAGTAGCAGCAGTGCTCTGTAGTGTTTACAGCAGAATCAGCAGAAGCACTGCATTACTACATCTGCGCGAACGTCGAAATCAGAGACGAACACATCGAACAGATAGACATTCAGTACAAATTCGAACGATCTGGCAAAAGGAACCTTCGACATCCAAAACCCGACTAACATCCCTCGACATGTGGCTCCCAGTCGGACTTCAGTTTGAAAATGGCGTTTGCCATTGCAGCCGCCTCAAACAATTCTTGGACTTACCTTGACGTGAGCCACGTGCACAGGCGAGCCACAGGTCCGCAAGGCCCTCCTGAATCCAGCCTTTGTGGAGAGAATAACATATACGTGTAAGAACCTATGCATTCATGAGTGCATGTAGACCAATAACGATGATAAGTGTATGCACATACGTTAATCTGCACATATGTAAATACAATATATATATATATATATATATATACATATGCGCGCATTTATGCGCGCTACAGGCACGACAAACTAACATGAGCACTAACTCTCTGAGATTCCACACCCACACCTGGACATGCACCATGCCAGCTAGGTGTCTAGTGACAAAAACAACTCATCCAGTCGGCGAGCAGAGCGCGCAAGAGATGGCAAGGGCGTGGAGCCGGATGGAACAAATCTTCGCAGAGGATCGTGTTTTGGCTTGGGCCATCCGCTGGGCTGTGGCCACCAGAAACTGCTAGGCACAAAGTTTCCATGCCTGGATGCTGTGCAAATCGAAATTGATGGTCCGCAGGGCACGGAACGTCTCGATCACTTGCAGGGCTGTGGTGTAGTACATTTGCAGAACTTGCTGACAAAACGCATGGCCGGGATCTCTGGATGGGGGTCAGAAAGCTACATGTTTGGGCTTCGGGGCACGAGTGCTGCCTTGCCTGAACCCTGCATCACGAGATGTCGTCCCTGCACGAGCCCGGAAAATAGAAGACGCATGCTCGAGTTGCAAACTGATCACCCAACGGTAAGCTACGTCACTGGCAAGACTTCCGTGTGTGTAAGTATATATATGTATATATGTATGTATATATAGATAGATGAGATGGACATGAGATCGAAATACAAATAAACAACAATCCTGTACATATCTGTGTCCTGTGTATCCAGCGTACATAAGCTCATAGGGCACTCGCCAAGCAGTACAACGCAATGTTCAACGTTGGGCCGCTTGCACCTCAACCGATGGCTCCTTTTCTTATCTCTTTTTCTCAGACGTCTTGAGCTTTGCATTCTCCTCCTGTGCGAGCAAACTAGCACCGAAGTTGCAAAGTGCAAACACCAGAGAACATGCTTCGGCAGATATCGTGTCGCTAGAGGCTACACTTGTTGATACAAGGTTGAACGGTTTCCCATGCAATCGACCCCCGTCGCGGGAGACTGCAGCGATTGTTTTGCAAGTATAGCTGTGTAATGATGGAATGTGCTCTCAATATAAAATGTCCTTGTACGACACTGACACTATGCCAGTGTCGCACCATACTCTCTCTCTCTCTCTCTCTCTCTCTCTCTCTCTCTCTCTCTGCCCCCATGTCTCTAAAGCATACATCCATACAGTCTTGGAGATTCCCCAGGATAGGTAACGTGCCCCTTTCCTCGAGGGTCTGGACTCTCTTCCGGAGCTTGTCCAACTCTGCCTGACGAAGGTGCGGTGCCATGTCTGTTGCTGTTGGCTTCGCTTCGACCTTAAGGTACTGCTTTTCGTGCATGCAAGTCCTTCAGGGACAACTTGCGGACCAATCCTGGCATTCACACCTCTTCCACCCATAAACGAATTTCAGTATATATTTACTGTTCGCGGCTTCGAAGACACGTGTCCGCAAGCGCTGGGTTCAAGATCTGCCTGTAACCATACCCAAATAAAGGATACGAGTAGGACGGTACGGTATCTGTGGAAAGATCCGTGGTGGCCGAGAACCCGGTGCGGGCCTCCGTGTCTCTTCGTTTCGCTCGCATGTTGATACGCCACTCCTGGCAGGTGATTCGAGCCACGCCATGAACAACAGCGACAGAACAGCAAGCCATGCCAAGAAGTGCAACCGTAATTGCGGATGATACCAGGTGACCGAATAACATCTGCGATTCTGCAAAACATCCCCTGCACCTACCGGCACAGGGGTCAGGATTTGAAGGTTTGGGCTTCACAGAGGTGTAGAGGATCTCAAACACGCAAAACCCGAGGCAGGAAACTCTAAACTCCAAACATCTCGTTATGTCGTGCGCCCGCTCTGATCCCTCGCTGCCGTAACCATAGATCTTTAGACTGCATGACAAAGCCAAGTTGGATTCAACGGGCTCTTCACGCTCCCTTCTGCGATGCGTCGTCAAAAAAACTTTCCTCAAGGGCTGTGATGCCAACAGGAGCTCGACGAAGGACTTGTGAGCCGGCAAGCCAACATCAACAGCACATCTTGAAAGCGCATGAGACTCCATCAGACCATACCAGACCATGCTGTTCTGTTGCAAGGTGTTCTACATTGCTGCCAGGCTTCGACCCAGCAGACACGACGGTTTCATCATACTGAATAGCTAAACAGCCAGTCGATCAGGAACGTTCGAGCGGAACTCCCTCCCTCTCTCTCTCTCTCTCTCTTTTTCTGCGGTGCCATCCGCTTTTTTCTTGCCTCGACAATGTAAGGTGGCACATGCACCTTCACACGCACAAACACTCGCATTCGCACACACACACACACACACACTCTCACTCACATTTATTCTTACCCTCTCTGCTCTCTCCCGGCTGAGGCTCACGTGTCAACAGCTTGCGCTTGTCCTTGAGCTTCTCGCCATGCTGAGTGAAAACTGAATCGATCCACAATCGCACGATCCCGGAAGAGATCGTTAGTGCAATCCTTAACCCGTGCATTCATCTCTACTGGTAGTTGCGTTCATGCAAGGTCCCTGCCCAAGTCATCTGCAATGCAGGCCGTGATAAGGCCACAGCAGAAGCACGACCGCAAGGAGGATCTCCAAGCCCACTATCCTCAGACACACAACGCATCCATCTTGGAGCTGAGGATACGTTCAGTCCTGCGTCCCAGACGGCTCGGTCTGCTCAAGCGCACAAGCCGAGGTTCCATCGCCACCAGCCACGAACCAGCCAGGCTAAGAACAGGGAAAAGAAACCCACGCCGACCCCGATCTTCCAACCTCAGGTTGTGGCCAACGCCACTTGCGATGCTGCGGCTGATGCGCTGTGCAGCTTCGGAATTAGCAGGAAAGGCCCGCCTATACCCTTCCTAGCATGTAACTTCATAGTTCGGGCGCATTAGCTTGTGCGGGAGGGTATCACCGGGCCCCGATGTGGCATCCTTGCCAGGGCCACCGAGCTGCTTTCCATGAGGATTTGGACGCTGACTATTTCGGCCACGAGGTAGAAAACACACACCTTAGCGCAACGAGTTTGAGAAGGCGAAAATTCCATGACAGGCACCGAAATTTCCCATCTGTCTTGTGTTTCCGAACTTCGGGGTCTTTTTCCCTCCCAACTTCGGGGTCTAGAGTCTAGGGTTGGCAAAAGTTGGAACCGAAGGGTCCTGAACAGGCGAGCTCGGTTCCTCGGTTCCAACATGTTCCAACAAATACTGGCAGCCACACCCTTGTCGAGCTGAAGAGGCTGAGAACTCAAGCAGTCTCCCGCGGCTATTCATGAGCAGTCTCTTAACCCTGGGAAATGGGAGTTTCCGAAAACTAGGGGTACCTTGTTTTGGGGTCCTTATAACAAAGATCCTGCTTTTTAGGGTACTACATCAGGGTCCCCCATTTTCGGAAACTCCCGAATGCGACCAAGCCATGCGGGACAGGATTCCAAAAGGACGCACAATCATCGGCTCAGCAGAATTGCAGAAACCAAGGAAGTGCGAAAGCATGGAGGCGAGTCAAACTCCGAGCTCTCGGATTCTTGGACGAGCAGCTGCATCTGCCAGAAGGGGCCATAGCCAGTTGAGAATAATCACCTCGACAGACATGGGCCAAGTCTGACAAACGACACAGCAGACACTAGCACACCACTGGCTCGCAAGCTGCTGGAAGGGGATCTAGAATGCCATTCCGAGATTGGTCCCAAGAGCAGTGTTCAGCACCCTCTCAGCCATGTAACCTGGCGAAACGCATCGCCGAACACCCCGCAACCTTTCTGCAAACACACGGGGCATCGGAATGGAACCAGCTGGCTTGGCCGTCTGGAGATCCGTAACAAGGACCGCTCGTCTAGCCCAAGCGGCAACATCGATGACGAAGAAGTTCATGAATATTGACAGTGCCTCTTCCGATCGGGCGCTGAAGTTTCCGAACCTGCATGAGGAGTAAAGGAAGTTATAGCACGCCAAATCTCAGAACCGTGAAGTAGCTTTCTTGGACAGCATGTAATCATGTAATATGCACTCGCTTGGAACATGTCTTGGGGCCACCGGCATCATGCGTCTCACTGGCGACTTGAAGCCACTGGCCACAACAGGCTGTCGTGGTTTTGATTGTGAGTGGTGAAGTATGCGTCCGCAAGAGCATCCATTCTGAGGCCCCAGCTTGATGTCCATAGCATAGCAGCCAGCTGCGAGTAGCCCAAGCAGCATGAGCAACCGGCCAATCCACACCTGCTGGGAGTCTGGGATACGAGAGTCCGGTGATGGAACTTACTCCATCGAGCACGACCGAGCATCAACAACTTCTCCAGGATACTGAGTGAAGAGTTTACTGAGTGATTAAACGAGGGTGGCATATGGCAGTCTCCGGCGGATTAGCCACATCAATCAATCGCGACTGTCTGCTGTCGGGCATGGCTCCATATCCGTTCAGTGTCAGCTGCACTCTAACGGACGACACCTTCATTAAGCGTACGGAAATTCTGACTTTCTGAAACCCTACAGTAGACGGAACTCTGCCATGAAAGTTCTCAAGACGCCTTTACGGACCAAGAGAGGAAAATCCGGTCAGGGAGCCCAGTCGACCAGCCACAGTACGCTCCGAGCCACGATCGTCTTCCTAGGGCGCCCAAGGGCGAGATTCCGTGACTCGCCAACCCGAGAGACCAGCAACGGGGCTATAAGTTCGAAGCATGAAACAAAGAGGGCTTCGTGCTCTGCTTCCCGCCAACATTGGCTTCGACTTCCAATGCCAAGCAGGCTTGGCGATGCAAAATTGAGGAAGGCCTGGTGGCTAAAGCTCAACTCTCGGCTCAGCAAAAATGTCATGGAGTGTTGCACACTGTTTGCTCAACTGGCTCAACGGAAGAGCCCAAGAGTTCCTCAGGACTGTCCATGTTCAATTTCATCCAAGGCACAGCACGAATCCACCCATTGGGCTGAGCAGCGTACTCATGCCAATCGACCAAACCTGGGCCAGGATTCAAGCACAATGCGAGCCTGGAAGCCGTATAAACCAGCCATCTGTGTACTTGCAACCATATATGGCGTAAGACAACTTGCGAAGCGTGTGTTCGCAAACCACACATTCATTCAGGCAAAGATGTGGTATGTAGGCAAAAGTTCTCCAGGGTTGCTTGTGTCTGCTTACCATGCTGCGATTGACGCGGTGAATGGGGCATGGAGGTTGAAGCATAAGAAGTGATCGAAACAAGCAGCAACTAGGCTTTGCAACTGCAGGCTCTACATTCCTTACTTCGGCCTACGCCTGTGAATCCAGACAATCCAGACTGCTTTGGAGATTTCGAAATCGAACATGCCCGCATTGTGAACGACGGAAAGCCCCGATTTGAAATGATGCATCCTGGCAGTGGATGTCGTCCACCGCTAAGGCGTGAGGCCGTTCCATATTCATAGCACCTTGTGGGATGGACAGTCGAGGAGCTTCCATCTCAGGTCGCTCTTCACCTGCAACAAGGAACTCAGTTTTGCATGGTTGCAGGTTACCGATGCACGTGAGGCTGGTGACGGTGATGCGGCCGATGATACTGTAAGTGTAGAGCAACAGCAGAGGCAGCAGAACGAGTATAGTGGAAAAAACAACCCTCTGTACCTCACGTCATTGAAAAACCTGCCGTTGAACTTCTGCAGCCCGGCACTTCGAGAGACAGCACGGTCCAGTTTATACTCCTCAGGATGTCGTTGCGGCGATCGGGCCGTAGCGTTGAGTATTGTGGGATGAGATCTGTGGTCTGTAGCCTCTCTTGAAACTCGACAGATTGATTCCACCGAGCAAGCCCAGGGCCTAAGGTCCCTCAATAGACTCAGCAGAGGTGGGAGTTTCCGAAAATAGGGGACCCTAATATACTACCCTAAATAGCAGGATCCTTATTACAAGGACTCCAAAATAAGGTACCCCCCATTTTCGGAAAGCCCCAGGTATCCGAGCCTAGATCCACCCCGAAGGTGTCGTAGATCTTCCGCCGCTCGCTGTCGGAGAGGATCCTGGGGTCATCTCCGGGTTTCTGGCTTGAAACCTAATTTAAAAGGTTTCGGCGCTCACACTCGGACAAACCAGGCGAGGCATATGAGTTCGAGTCTGCAAAGTGAAACGACACTAAGAGGCTTCGTCACTACGTTTCAGCAACAAAGGCTATCAACACATAAAGTAACTGTACCTGTCTGCGAAACCTCTCCTCGGAATCCAAGTTGAAGCATCAGGGACATTCGGACTCCAAGGCAGTAGACTCGGCAGATCGCTCAGGGTCAGGGGGATAGGGATCAAGCCCTACAATATTCAGTAGTTATATGCGACAGGGAAGAGCCGGGTTGACTCAGGCACTGCGATCTGTTGTGGGGATCAAACACTCGATGATCCCCAAAGGTCAGCTTATTACCGACATTACGAGCATCTAATTCTGACATTATCGATGACGAAGGTGAAACGATTGGAGTATGTGAAACAACCTACATATGATTTGAACTAGTTTCCCCGACTCGACTAGAGAAATTTCCCCTCGTAGCCACAGGACGATATAATTACATTGCAGTATGATGATCCGATGCTTCTTTGTGAACAAATTCTAGCATGCACCCCCTCAGTATATGAATTAGCTCACTGGATGATGTCTAGACATGATTGAATGCAACGCGAACATCGCACTCAATCGTATCTAGTCACCTCATGGCAGACGACGTCGCATGTTCCAGGTCGTTCATATCTGCCAGAGCAGCCGAAAACGGCGCTAATGGCAAAAGCATGCAGAGGTGTGGACACAGGTTGTTATGAATTCGCACTTCATCTTCAAGAGCCCTTCATGCAGTCTCTTGCAGTCATATAATGTAGGCCAACTGACCGTCGTCCTCAAGTTTGCCTGGTCAGCCATATCTTCCCCGTGTTGTGCTTGCCATCATGCAATAAATTCCAGAAGGAATGGCCTCCAAATATATACGGCAAAGCGTTTCTCATGCAGTTATCCATAGGGGAAGTCGCCGTCAGTGACTTGGGAAGGCGTCAACCACATCGCTGAGGTTCCTGCTTCATGCAAACAAATTCCAGAAAACCAGCAGGGTTGTTCTCACAGCGAGAGGTCATAATGGCTCTTTGGTCAACTGTCTTGCTGCCCATATTATACACCCAGCGTGCAGACACACATGTTCAGGCTCTTTTGTCATTTGGCAGCTGAGGTCGTGCAGACATGGAGATGTTTGGCAGCGGAGGCCATGCATATGTAGTTGTAAATTCCATGCAGTCCATGGCAGGCATTGATCATGCAGCTCATACATCTTGCAACACGTCCAGTCCATTCGACAGTGCCATGTGATCGGCGCAGGGCGTGGGTTAGTGGTTTCTTAAGGTTTACTGGCCGAATAAATCAGGGCCCGATGTGGAGTATGCTCAATACGAAGATAACACTAGATTAGCCATAGACGACCAGGACAAAGGATGTAAAACATGCTAAAGTGAGGGATAAATAGGGGTAGGGACATAATGGGGTGACGCAACACAGAATGCAGTATGGCAGGGAAGTTATAATAGTAGGCAAGCCCCAAAGATATCAAAGGCAAACCCCACACATACCAGGCCCTCCATGGAGTGTATCTTACACACACTCCTGCCACTGTCGAGAATTACGCCCCTGCGACAGCATCCACAGGCCAAGGCAGCGTGGCTTGGGAGTCTGAGGTACAGGAATCGACTTGAGTGGGCCGAGGGCGTTTAGTTGTGCTCAGACTACTTGCATGTGTTGTAGGGGGGAGGTCAGCTGCCTCTGTATGTGTAACCTGATCATCTTCGCTGTCGCTAAGTACCAAGGTTACCGGAAGGCCCTGTTAAAAGGTTTAGGGTTTAGGGTTTATAGGGTAATAGTGTAGGGGCCTCAATACTTACCTATACTATTTTTTTTTTTTTTTTGGGGGGGGGTCCTATGATAATTAGAGTGTAATGGGCCCCAAAACCCTTATCTAATTATTAATTAATATAATTATTAAATAATAAAGGCCCCTACATTACAGGGCTTCGGCTTTCGCGCTTCGGACTGTCTGACAGGGCAATCAATGAAGACTGGGTTTCGACGTCTTCGTGCAGGCACGTATCCACTGATTCTCCCGTCGCTCTCTGAACGCGTCGCTTGCTCTCTTCTCATTTCTTCTTCGTGTCCAAGAGGGTGCCAAGCCCCAACGACTCCGGCACTGGACCCGCAAATGCCCAGGATACCCAAGGCCCAAGGGTTAAACAGTGCCAGGATGCTCTTTCGCATTCTTGATCTCATTGAACTTATTCGTCGCATCGACGCCTCCACCCACCTTGTCTGGATGGTTCCTCAGGAAACATCGATGGCTCACATGTGTTGCTATGGGGCCTTGACACCGTGCGCTCCGGTTTCTGTGCTCCAGTTGACCTGCCTACTTGAACCTACTTGAACAGCGGCTTTCTCGGGTCAGGCATTGCCAGTCAGACTAAAGGAGCCTCGACTCTACATTCTATTTGGAACAGGGGCAGAAACTCAGGTCAGAAAAGCTTACGTTCTGCGACTGCTGCACCAAAGTCCGCATTTCAGTGCAGTACCAATCTAAACGCAACAAGTTAGAGCATTGGACGTGCCCAGGCTCTGGAGTGACATCTTGCGAAACGCTTGCTTGATGTCATCTTCCTGTCCCCAGTCAGAGCGGATGAGATGGTTGCAAGCTGGAACCGTAGGCGACATGGGACAACGAGGAAACTGCAACCGTCCTTGCAGTCCAAGGCGACGCCAAGCACATCGTAGGCATCAATCATGGCCCGGCACTCAAAATCCCCAGGCCCTTGGGCCTGGGGTAACCAGTGCCTATTGGCAGTCCTAGAAATCTCATGGGAACTATACTCTCGTTATTCTGCAACCGTGAAGTTGACTCTAAAGTTGGTGCAGGTGCGACGAAGGTGGGTGCAGGGTCACGGGTGTCGTGCAGCAGGCAATGATAAGGGACATGGTCGTCATGGCAAGCTTGAGCCGTGGAAGCCGTGTGACTCACGATGTCCGCTCGAGGGTTGACACAGTAAGTTTCTGCTGAAGGGTGCAAGGTTGTGGTGGATGAACTCGTGCGGGTAGTCTCCACTCTCTCCGCCCCGCTCCCCCTTACTCCCTCCTGTCCTGCCTCTGCTCCATGCATGTCAAAAGAAACTGTGGGCTTTTGTGTCTGCACACCCTTATGTCTACACACGCAGACATGCGTGCACGCATGCAGGCATATGCATATACATATATATATATATATATGCCTCGCCAAACACGCATAATCATGTACGAGTAAGAGTACTTTTCACGCATAGCTGTAAAATCCAAGAATACCAGTACACGAGACTCAAACTGATCAAGAGCATACAAAATACAAACGCTGCCAAACCACTGAAAAACATGCAGTGACATGAACAAACCAGAATGGTGCTTGAGAAGGACTAATGCCAAAGTACATAGTACATATGTCATGCTTATAAATATATGCATAGGGCATAGGACTAATGCGAAGTACATAGTATATCTGTCACAACCATCATTGGGAGTTTCGTCAGTCCAGGACCGGATTCGCTACGTACTTGCATGCAGGTCAACCCTTGGGCCTCGACGTGGCGGCCTTAGCCTTGGCGAGGAGAGTCTGAAACAGGTGGTTTGGGGTACCCATAGGCTCCATAGTAGTTCCTTTTTGGGATTGCATTATAGGATTCTATATATGAACCCCAAAAAGGAACTACTTTGGAGCCCTAGGGTAGGTGCTCATCGGGGTGTCTCGGGACTGCGTCGTGCGACTTTGGAACTCAACAGGAGACGAGCAGTAGACGGTGGCTCGAAAAGGCTGGAGAAGTGTCGATCGGCTTCACGGGGTTCCCAAGGACTTTGTGCAACTCTTGGGGGTCTGAGATGGTCTGAGTATGTAAGCTTACCCATAGGCCCCAAAGTAGCTCCTTTTGGGAATTCTTTATACGAACCCCCAAAAGGAACTACTTTGGGGCCTTAGGGTAGTTTTCCTGAGCCAAGCAGGCGGTGTGTGATAGTATGGCAGCCATAATCACACAATGTGCGGGGTAGTGCATAGACCTGACTCCAGCGCAAGAAGCGCGCTCAAGCTGAACAAGACTACCGAGAGCAGACAAACTGATGTGATGGCTGCTTTCGCTTCGCTGCAGTAAATGCCGAGACTGTCATCCTATCCTTGCAAAGTGAAAACCCCCCATTCATGCACCTCCCGCCTCACAAGTACCCGCAGAGATGCCAAATTCCCCTGCGCCTCTCTGCTTCCAAGAGGCTCTGGGGTAAAAGCGCACTGCCCGAGGCACAGCGCCAGTAGTGACAGCGCGGCCTGAAGACTCTGCATTTCTGCATGTTGGTTCTGCACGTCCACTGCTCCATTTGGGAGTTTCCTAGATAGGGGACCCTAATATAGTACCCTAAATAGTCGGATCCTTATTTTCAGTCATTATTATAAGGACCCCAAAATAGGGTACCCCCAATCTTCGGAAACTCCCATTTCACTTGCTTGACTATTCATGCAAGTCCAAATCCTTCAGGCTGCACTGCCAAGCAGTGCGATCGTGCCCCGGTAAGTTCACGAAAAGCAATCTGCGTGAAGACATGACACTCGCTAGTTTCCCGCCAATGTGTCAGCTGCAACAAAAATCACCCTACAGGCTTGGACAACACTCTGGTAAGAGTTGCATGCGCAATCTTGAAGCACATGCAGTATGTGCAGTCACAACTTGCTGCAAACATCTGCAAACACCGGTGTTGAAAGCCATGTTGTACCTGCAAGTTCCGTGCTTTTATTCGCTGCTGCCCGGCATGGGAATTCTGGTTGTAATACCAAAGTCATGGACACTTGCGAGCATCCCAAGCTGGCCAGCACAGCCTCATCTGAAAATGTGACACAAGAGATGAAGGCTGTTCGACTCGGAGGGGGAACTGTGCTTTCGACACTCACCCAGAACGTTTATTGTTATCTGGTCCAACTGGTGTACAGTTGTTCCTTGTGGAGCTATGGTTGCTGCGCTTGCTATCCGCTGTGTCCACGAGATGCAGACTCGGACAAGGCACCAGATGCCAGCGTTGTCGAGAGCAGCGGCGCGGATCACGCCGAGCCCATGGCTCTTCCAGTACCATCTTACGAAAGAGATTGTTGAAGCCAGCTGTGCATGCTTTCATAACTGTACAGGCGCATATGAAGTTTGGAAGGAGAGATGTGTGTGTGTGTGTGTGTGAGCACGTGCGCATCTGCATACATGCACCCATGGTTTGTGCAAGCGCATGTTATAGCTGATTTCTAAATTGGGTGCTATTGAGTCTAGACAACAAGCTGGGCGCGTGCACTGTTGGAAGGGGCAGCTCCGCAGAATCTGTGCCGAGATGTGTGCTAAGGCTGTTAAGGTGGCAGCAGAGGACGCACAATGTCCGCGGCAATTCTACAAGCTTGGACAGAATCCGAAAGCAAAGCGCTTGATGTCGTCAGGGTTGCAGATCAGGACATAATCCAGCGAGTCATGACGGCAAGAAGGCCATGCTTTCCCAATGTATCCGTATGTCATGTCCTGTTCGGCTCCTGGACCTGAGAGAAGGGAAATGAAGATTGTCCCCAGTTGGCCTAAACAACATGGTAGCCGACATAACGGCCCAAAGCGTTTCATAGCTGTAGTATGGAACTCGTTTGTCGTAAACCTGCCTGACAGTCACAGCACCTGGCACAAGAAACCGCAGAGGTTGAATACCCAAACAGTCAATATCCTCATCAGCGTCGAGGATGCTCGGTTCTGCCTTCTCCTTCGCTGACTGCAAGCTTTGTGCCACAGCGGCCGCAGTACATGCTGGGCCCACAAGCTCCGCCCTGGGCAGGAGCAGGGGTCTAGCAGATTGCAATCTGCACTTTGTACTCAAACATACATGTACATGATGGTGGGTTTGGCAACCAACTCCCGGAAAAACACCCCATGTGCGAATCCCCTCCTACGGCAGCGCTTGCTCAATGACATGCACGAACTTCAGCCGAGGAGCTAAAACCACCTCCTTACCCTTAAAGTCTCAGCTTCCGGCAGGTGGTCGGTCGCCGGCGGTGCATACACGCGAACCACGGGGAGTTGGGCACCAACCCCTGGGAAGCTTGCCCTACAACGATGTTTCTGACAAGGCTGTTTGTTGGGCACGAGAGCAAAAACTTCTCGAGCTAACTAGACACTGCCAAAAATCTCCAAGCCATGCAGGTATTAAGTGATTCAAAACTAAAGTATGTCATTGAGTTCGATGGGGCCGACTCAGACATGACATTGTGGCACCAGAACGGCACCAGAAGCCTTCGGAAAGGTCAACGCCGAGCCACCAGCAAAAAGGTCGCAAAGAAACATGGTCTTAGTTGCCAACCCCTGAACATCATTTGAAGAACATAGCCGGTTTCGTTCTTGGACAAGCTGTGCAATGCTACAAGTACCACACCCCCCCCCCCCCCGCACAAGGATGCTCAAACGCAATAGTCTTTAAATCGAAATAGCTACAGACTTGTTGCTTCGAGACAACTCTGGCAGTCTCTAGCAGCTAGCATCATTCCCTTGCCGGCCGTACCGCTCTGCTGCTCTTAGGGCCGTGCCCTTCTCCAACGCAAGCTCCTCCGCTGAGTCAATGCCGACGTCAACACCTGGGTTCTGGTTCCAGCATTGCACATCAAAAATCACAATGACACAATGTTTGTAATCTTAGCCACAAGGACAGACTATGTGAGCGACGTCAACCCTGCTCTTTGATGTTGATAACTCACAACTTCTCGAGAGATACGCTTTTTGCATTGACTCAGAGTCGAGCTTACGCACTTCACTCCCCACGTCGTGGATAGCTTTTCCAGGTCCTGCTAGATGACGGTCCATAACCCTTTCTTACCCTATCTTCGCGCGTCGATGCATGTGTGCACTGGCCCTATGCCGGCCTACAGTGCAAAACTATCCTCGGAAATGCACGTGACACTGCGCAGCAAGAACCGCATCAATGCGTGAACAATCATTACTTTCTGCCCTTTCTCTCCCTGACTCCAGTTGGCCGTCCTCCACTGCGAAGCCGCTTTTGGACCTGGAAAAGTGTGGCAAACACTCCAAAGCGCACTGCTGCTCTATTACATACCGCAAGGGCCGGCGCTTTTGCATCAACATACTTGCGAGTTCGTGCCAGTCCTGCGAACGACCTCGCTATTTTCCCCTCGGAGTGTTGTGCTGCTGAGCTTTTCGCCAGCCAGCATAGAAGAGGAAGCAGACCTCACGTCTCAACATCCACAAGGGTTCGGGTAGGTTCCCGAAGAGATGCACTCAGCTGCCAGGACCGCGACAAAAGAATATCCCGACGAGACAAGGCCAGCAATGGTTTTTGCGGCATACTACAGAACCCTAGGCCGCCGGAATCCGCTTGAGATAAACTTGGGGCTTGGCCAATTCCCCTGGCGAAGCGCTCTGCAACCTCAGCAAAGAAGCTAACCAGCCAAGAAGCTCACTGACAAGTCTTCGAGGTTCACCGGTTCAGCCGCCAAGCTTATCAGCAGCTTTCGCATGGTATGCCGTGCATGGACCCACCCAAAGCGGGCGAGGGAGCCTCTGGAGCGAAATCTGAGGGCAAGAAAGTATGAA